CAAGAGATGCATTAGAGTTGCAGACATCGTTTTCCGATATTTGCAGTCAGTATAAATTTCTTGCAATCATGGTATGGCTGACGGAAGTTACATTGTGTCTAGTAATTGAGTTTCATAAGTGAATAAAAAGGCAACAACATGTTGCTGTGCAGTTTGTTTTTAAATTTTCAACCAAAAAAGTTTTTTCGGTTATCAGAGAGTAACTTAAAAGGTTTCCAACCAACCATGACGGTGACGTTGGCGCGTAGCAACGTCACATCAAGATAGGGCTTTTCATCATGCTACCTCGGTTACTGTCAAGTCATTATCACTGAAACCGATATTTTTACAGCAGACAATCATACTCAAATTTTCACCCTTAAACTGACAGAAACTCTCTGCTCTAATTTGGTACGCAAGCTTGGCAACTTTACGTCGATTTTACTCTCATACGCGCACGTACGCGCCGTATGCGTAACGTTTTTAGCATGTTCACGCTGAGAAAATGTAGCCAGTGTTTGTCGAGACCTCCTTGCAAACATTCACGTGTACCAAATTAGCTAGATTCTGTAAATTCTATCCTAAATCGAAAATTCGTGGGATTCATTGGGCGGGGGGATTTGTTGGCTTTGGAATAACACAGCTACTCTCAGCCATTAAGACTATCGTCGGAAGGCTTGAATGATAATCCTATGAGAAAGATAAATGCTCTGGCGAACTCAGTGCGCAAGAAAATCAAGGCTGTTACTGATGCGCACGGGAGATGATGAGAATTTTCATTTTAATTTTGGGGGGTATCGACATATCAATTTCAATAACTCAGGAATTATAAGTCAAAGTCACACAAGATTTCAGTTACCTGTTGTTAAAAGTTGGATTAAATTGTTTGATAACAATACTGGAAAACATGTTGGAAATAAAAGTTTTAATTTTATTCAAAAGTTTATTATGCGTTTCTTTTTCCTTTCAGTATATTTATGTTATGAAGGTATCTTAAAATATAATACGAGACTGAAGGAAATGGAATGCAAACATGATTATAATAATTATTTAGTGGTTTCTGCATTTAAAGAAGACAAAAATCTTGTATCTAAAATATCTTGGCAAAAGAAACTGTCTTCATTACTTCAAAAATTAAATACAGTTCTTTGGATATATCTCACATAACTTTGAAAAAACAAAAAATTACAAGAGCATTACCAAAACAAGATATATGAACTACTGAAAAATGTTAGCAAATCAGACTCTGGAAAGTTAGCATTTTATAGCAAAATTGTGAATCAAGATGAATACAAACTGCAAAGTTATTTAAAACTACCTTTGAAAAAAAATTGTAGATCTTTATTAACAAAATTAAGGATCAGTGCCCATCCACTGTATATTGAAACGGGTAGATACTGTAAACCCCCTATTCCTAGAGAAAAACGTTTATGTTATTCATGTAAGTTGTTTGTTGAGGACGAAAAACATTTTGTTCTTTAATCTTTATTGTCCAAAATATGTCCAATTTAGATGCAATTATAATGATATATTTAATGTAAACACATATATTAGTGATAACCCCATTAGAAAAATTGTCAATCCTACAAATATTTCAACTGCTAGAAGGATATGTTGTTTTTTGAAAAAGTGCTCAGACACCAGAAAAGAAAGTCAAAGTTGAATATTAATATTGAGAAATACACAATTTTGTTCACCTCATATTTCTCACTTTGTATATGCATGTATTAATTGTGTTAATTTATGTTAGGTTATTAATGTTCATGACTGTATGCCGACATGGTAATTATCAATAAAGTGAATTGAATATTTCATCAACAATATGTATGGTCCTCAATCCAACTCAGACACACAGCTGCATCGAACTAAATTTTTTTTTGCAAAAACTCAAAATTGCAAAGTGGTTTTATCTAAAGTTTTGATGTTCTGATTTTCGAAATATGGTCCATTTCTTGGCCATTGCGGTGTGTTTATTTTTAATTTCAAGAAGAATGCTTCAAATAATGAGGTGCCAATTACCTAAATGATTAAAATTTCTATACAAATACTTCCAGTCTGTGTCCGTAAAATGAAAAAAAAATTCAAAATGAGTCACAGAAAATTTGAAGAGATACATAATTTTCAAGTACCCTTAATGAGCGTTACACGGCACAGAATACCCGGTATCTGGAAGATTTTCCTTTAAATTAACAAGTTTTAAAATGCTCTCTTATCTCAAATATGAATGTCATCATAGTGAATTGAAAATACATAGATTACAAGAAGTCGAGATCGACACAAGTGACAAGGATGAATAAAACCTGTGTTTGTACAAGTTTGATTAAAGGATATCTCTATAACATACACACAAAAAAGTCCTCTGTGCTTCTCTCGTCGGCGAGGCTTTCTCGAGATTTCAGAGATTTGACAGGTTTCTAGTATTTATTTTTCATGTTGAAATTTAATGTTTATCTTTTCCCTTCTGTTTTTGTTATTGACATAAATGATTTATGTCCTGCAGCATTTGTTTCTTATATTTTCACTGCCAAAATTATTTTTAGTGTATAGTTTAGTGTAATGTTGTCACTACTCATGTTCAGTAATTTAGTTTAAAAACCGTGCAGAAATTCCTTCGTTGGTGTCTACTTGCACACTGTTGCATCAATTTTAACTGAAATTTAACAGTAAAATAATTTGCAAATCTCGTCAAATTGTAACCATTTAAACAAATCAAACGTCTCTTCACCTCGGATTTTGCGTTCTGCCAGCACTAAAGCTGCAGCGAGAAGACGGGCTCAAGGGCCCACAAATTAAAAAAGATTGGCCAAAAAATACTATCAAATGACTTCTCCACATTTGAATAGCTTTGCACTTGAAAATAGAAAGAACAATAATAAAAACGCCATTTGCATGTGTTTCAAATAAAATCCGACGTCTAAACCCTCATTTTTGAAGTACTGAGATTGTGTATCTATGAAATATTTTTATTGTCAAATAAAGATCACTTTTCTATATAGAGAGCTCTACCTTGATAGGTTTTCGTTAGATGAGGAGGAATTCGTTATGAATCTTAAGCTTTCTGGCTGGACGCCTCCAATGTTATAAAAGACAAGATATGAAATTTTGACCTGTTTTATATATGCTCCATCAGGAGTACGGAGTAGGTATATGGCTCGTTTGACTTTCGTTCACCCCGAATTCATTTTACAGTTGGGTGAATATCAGTTTATCAGAATATCGACGGACCAGACTATGTGAGTTCCCAGATTGTCTTTAACTAAATATAAAGCACCCAGTAATCTCCACCATTCTTTTATTCTCTTTAAGAAATTCAAACTTTGTGTCACTTTTCAATTTGCAGAGCTGGGCAGTAAAATAAAATCCACTCGACGCCTTCGGTGACAAAATAATAATTTTATTTCTAGAATAAAATGTGTGTTCTACAGTTTATATACCTTTAGCGTTGCTCTCTTGAATACTACTGTGTGTGTGTGTCTTTAAGGTTTGAGTAAATGTTTCAGAAAAAAAAATCTTTTGAAATTTCATTTTAAATTCAGCCGCTCTAATATTATTCTTACAAACGTGGACAATTGCACTCAAGGTTATTTTCCTCGTGGCAATGCATGAGGATTAAATCTCATTTCAAAACAAACTAAAGAGTGCAAAAACTGATATATATATATTTTTTTACAACTGTATTTTGTTGATACTCGTGTTTTCTTTCGAGGACACTGCAGTTCATGTATAAACATGCATACAGAATTTCTTGTATTAATTTCTTTGATCTTCTTGCTATTAGCTGAAAGTAAACAAGCATGGCCGAACTGTTTGCTTGTTCGTCACAGATCATTCCAAGGGATAATGGATGTCTCTTGCAAACTCTTGTAGAGTTCATTGCAATGCTTGTATTTTGCTTCACCCAATACCTTATTTATTTGTTTTCTAGTGAATAAAACTTTAATCAAAGAATATTAACTTTCATTGTGTTCAAAGCAATGCCTGTGAAAAAGAATCTCCTAAAAGTATGTAAAATATATATAAATATGAATTAAACGAACAGTATTCAAGCTCAAAATTCCATAAACTATACAAAATAAGAGCAGAGCAAACGCGGATCTCCAAAACATCAGAGATGGGATCAGGTGCCATGTATGAGTGAGCATCCCCTGCCGACCGTTCACCGACATGTTGTGCCCGTAGTTATGATTGGAAAATAACAGAAAATAACGTGGACAATTGGTATGTAAATAATGGCCGAACAAATAATATGGAAAACATCAGTCTGTATTTTAATTAAGGTTAGATTGTATTTGATGATATCGACAATATGACTTACAAAATGGTGACTTTAAACAAGACTGCTGATATTCTTGTTTCATCAACTTGTTTGTCGATAACTTACCCCGTTTTAGAAATTGCTCATACGTGGAGTATGCGCTTGCGTATCGCATCGACTTAGGAGATATAAAACCAGTATGCAGATGAGGAAGGTATTGCTGCATAAATAAGAGAAATTGACGATTGAAAGGTTAAAATCATCACGTTTATCATAAAGCTTGCTTGTTAGATTACCATTAACGTATTTTTCTAGTAAAATATCCAAATATGGAACAGATGTGTCAGACTCTGTGGTATAAAAAATTTGTTTCAATATACTCGGGGTTGTTGATATTGCATTCATAATTCTTTCTATTCCAAGACAATAAGATTTAAAAGACAGTAAATTCATTTACATTTTTATTTCTTTACTATTCTTTTCTCTTTGTAAACAATCATAACAAACTTGTAACAACAATATATACATGTAAGTCAGTTCATGGAATGTAAACAACATTGTTCATGATACACGAATAATACTGCAATTATAAGAAGCATGCATTGGTATGATAAAGCATGCATTGGTATAATACGTCCACCGTCAAATGAATGATACCCCTACCAAATTTACGACAATGTCCCTGTCCTTAAGATGGATTCAATGATGCAGTATTAGATCCCAGTTTAAAATGTTTGAACACATTGAACAGTAAATGAGATCGGTATTTTCATGAAGCCCGAAGCAGCGATGGTTTGAATACAAATTATACTTTATTTGGATAGGTAAATTTTGCAATAAGAGATAAACGAATCCTCCTTGGTCCATTGCACCAACGAATAAGTATCACAGTCAGTAGCCATATTTGATAAACGGCAACGAGGTTCTCAAAAGCCTCAGTAATTTTCTTTGGCCCCTTGTAATTTTGCATTCACAAAGAATGTCTGTATCAATCATTGTATTTTCTCTTCTCTTCATCAGCATTGCACTTTTGCCATTTTCAATATTTGAGATCATATAAATGTTATTTTATTATATCCATAGGATTATGTCTATAATACGAGAGGACATTCCATTGTGCCCTCTCGGATGGCTGTGTTTGCGATATTTTCCCAGTCGGACAAATACGGAGAACAGGTTTTTGCGAGCTCTCCAAACCGGACTTTTCCGGTGATGAGGAAAGTCCCTCGTCCATTTCTCACTTGACATTTTTTATGAACAACTATTCTGCCATATTGTTGCTGAATGTCTGCTTTGGGCTCGAAATACAGTGTGCTTAACTTCCTGACAACGCGTGTCACGTGGAATTGCACTTCCGATTTGTCATCTTCTTCTCTGTGTCTGACTTGTCCCATTTCGCCGACAAAAACTAAATAATAGAAAATGAAATATGTAAGTGATAATTTTAACGTTTTATATAAAAATAGAAAATTACTATTAGATTTGTCTTTTTGAGTCAACGTGGAGTTTTGGAATAGAAAATTATTAGCATTTAGACTCTACCATCGGAATCATATCAAACTGTTTTTTGTTGCAAACTCAAATTAAAGGCAATGGATTTGTAATTGAAGATGGTGATCATTTAGTGTATTTGTATATTATAGTATTCTAGTATTTTCGTAATCTGTCTTACCGAAATCACTGGTGCAGTATGACCGAATTAATTCTTGGGTATCACATGGACGACAATCTGCAAAAGAAGACAAAATGCAGGTCAATGTCGAGCTACTTGACAGATAACATGAAAAAGTACAAGGTTTAAAGATGATCCCAAGATTGCTAAGCATTGTCTGTAATCAGTTTGTCTGCTCGCTAAGAAAACTTATTGATAGCTATGCATCCGGGTGTGTTTAACAAGTATAGAAACAAAACTCGTTTTTAAAGATCTTGTTAGAGATTAATTGGTACTTAAACAAACCAAGGCCATTTGCAACAAACTTTCTTATTGACTGTTATATTTGAAAGGCGTTTGAGATTAGTTGGATAAGAGGGTAAATGGACTTATCGGGAGGGACATCTATTTAAAATCTGGGTTTTGTTCTCGGTTCTTTCTTTCGTGTTCACTTTATTCCCGCTCAAGTGACAAAGGATTACGTGTAAGCAACGTCAAAAAGTCGTCAAATGTTGAGGGACAAAAAGAAACATAAAAAAACAAAGATTTGTCCAAGCCGATAAGGTATAGGTTTTGTTCTCGAGGACTTTCCACTACAAACTGTAGGACTCATGTCGAGTTCAAACAAACAAAAGCTTAAGAGAAAATCACTTTTTCTTCTGGACAATGTCATGTGTCATTTTTTGCTTTAATTATCAGGTGTGGACACCTAGTTTTTTTTTCTACACTGAGGTTGTTTTGTGTCCTTTGTTTACTTCTTACCTCAGTTGCTGTCAGTTTTTACTTTAATAAGTATCAGTTACAGAACAGACAACGAAATGATTCACCTAACGGGTTAAACCTCTATTTAGCCGCCATGTTTTGGACATCCAATTTAAAAATTCTTTGTTCACAAACACACTTTGTTTGTTGTCTGAGGAAAGATGTATCACTTAACATTCCAGCAAATTTTAATCAGGTTTTGTTCTTTAAAACAAAATTATTTTTGCAATTTTTCATTTTCTTTCAAGTGGTTATCACTTTGGCTGTGAGTTCAGGCGACCATATTGCTCTGCCAAGGTACATATCAATTATAAGCTATCTTTTGCTGGGCGCAACATATGCCTAAATTACAAGTGTTACCAGATAGGGGAAAATTACGTAATTAAAAGAGGTTTTACTCTTCTCATTAAAGCTGTTCAAGCGAAAAAATTGTGTGCTGTTGGTCTTTCTTACAAAGACGCCTTTACGATAAACCAATTCTCCCCATCATTAAGAGAGTATCAGATAGCCGATGGGTTGCACTGTTGATGTTACGAAGAAAAAAGAAGTTGTCGAGTCTTCAAAATGCACCATTGCATGTTTAATACTGCACTTCCCAAACTTCTGTTGTGGTTGTCAAAGACGAATAGCAACAAAAAATTATAATGTCAGAAACGCAATTTGATTTTTTTGGAAGAAGAAAACACCACGAGAAGGGCAAAACAAACAGTGGTAGTTTTGAATTTTCCCAAAGTGTTTCCTTTCTACTTAAAGACTATCGGTATCAGGAATTTCAATTTAACTCCACACAAATCTGCTTGGCTGTTTGATGACTTTTCTATTGCAGTCCCCCGTATACTGTTTTTGTTGTGTGTTTGATCGCCGTGTGACAATATTTACATTCTGCCTTGACAAAGTTCTAACGGTGTAACCCCCCAGAGCACAGATTCACAATCGCTGATTAAATACTCATGTAAGATTATCACAAGAGAAGACGAAACAAGATCTCTTTTATCCAAAAAGAATTATTCGCTAATTTATTGACTTTGTCGCTTGCTTATCCCATTAGCTTTTCAGGTTTTATCGCAATGTTTCCTCATTTCTTGACATTTTTCTTTTAGTTTATCAATTTTCAGAATTTCTCACAAAAATTCTCCAAAATACTAGTAAATAAGAATAAAGATACACAAGTAAAATCATGACATAACACCAGGAGGTAGCTTTTTTAAAGAAAGAGGAAGACGAAGAAAACGTTGGAAGTCAATATTTTGCTTTTGGAATTTTTGCACGTTAATGGCCTAAATTTGAGTCAAATGACCGATCTCATTACCGGCTTAAAATGGACATGATCGTCCTTCAAATGTGCCATACAAACAGTTCATTTAAGGAAGGGCTTGATACAAAAAAAAAAATCTCCCTGGACGCAGGTAGAAAGAGTCCATCTGAGGAAACGACTATTGTACTGTCATCCGTAAAAGGCTTATGGCAGGTAGCACCTTTCGCGCTGATAACTTCTTGATTTGTGTTTACTGCAGGGTTGCTTATACACCTGAGCGTATTGGAGTCGAACAATAAAGTTAACCATTAAGGTATCTACTCCCCTCCGTTCGTGTCAGGACCTGAAACACCTTTCTTATACAAGATATGACCGAGATTTCTATTTCTTTTCATCTTTTGTCAACAAATACTCAGTGGTAACGTTTGCCTTTACCTACAATTAAATTACTAGTCGGAGATCAAATTTTTCAATAAATAGAGTTTTTATCGGGTTGTAGCATTCTAGGTCTGACCTAGTGGTACTCTGCATAAACACTGCTGATTAAGGTAGCCTACTTTAATTCACTTATCAACAATTTATTGTATGGAATGCAAGGTTTATCTCTTTTTCTTTCTAATAAAAGCGACAGTGTCATCGTCAAGCTCGTAATTATGGGTTCTTGGTGTACTTTGAAAACTCAGGTCCTATTTTATTGCTCAATTTTGAATTCGACATCAGAAATGATAGTTGTTTTTTTTTTTATTTTTGGTGCAGAAACCCAGGATTTTCAGTTAAAAAAGTGTAATTCAAATAAGATCCTTACCCTCCAAATCATTTTCTAAATGTTTAGGAGTCTTTCTTTCTAACACATACTGTAGATTCATCCGGGGAAATCCAGACATATCATGAGTTCGTTCTGGTTCTAAATATAGCAGAACGGGAGTGTTCGAATATAAACAATATTCATTAGTCCTTCCGTTTACACTGAATAATGTTTTAAGCAATGATGACTGTGGTAAAACTTTTGCAAGATGTGATTTAGAGTTCTTCCAAGACTCTTGAGACACTTTGATTTTCACATTTTCTGTCTGTACTTTGAAACACGCTTCGTACAGCCCGCCAGTTGTGTAACTCAGTTCCACGCGTAACGCTCCATAAGGGCTGATCCACTCGATGTTACCAGAATTACATAATGTCTTGATATTCTGTACTCCTGGCACTTCTATGTTCAAATCACTGAAAAAGATAAAATCAGGTTTAAAATTGATTGAGATTAACTAAAGTTTAAAAGTTTATCGATGTGTAATGTTGTGAACTTAATGTGAACAATGACATTTAAGGATGATACAGCAATCGACCAATTGTGTGTGACGTGACAATTTTAGATTAAAGTATGTAAAATTATGCTGCAGTTTTTACTCGATAGACCAAATTATAATGATAACAGCCTGTTTTCAGACAGATTTTACATTAAAATTCAAACTTCAGAAATTTAGAAGATAATACATCAAGTCGGTTAAAAAGACATATATTTAGTGTCGTCTGTGCATCCTCCCTTTCATGTTCTTTGTACTTTTGCAATCTCCGCTTAAGTTGCGTCGAGATCATCAAACCATAAAAATACATCTGAAGTATACAATTATATACTTCTATTATTCGGCTTTCAGTTTTGAATATATATGATATCTTGTGGTTTTATCTTCCCTCTTCTATTCCTAGCCTAATTTGCATGTTCTTTGTATCGTTTCCACATCACCTTCATACCGAAGTTACGTATCTGTCGCCCGAAGATATGGCTAGCCTGGTAAAGATTCCTTTATTTCTTCGTCTCAAACTTTACCCTATACCCAGTAATACGTTAAAAAGAGATAAAACCCAATTATATGTGAAAGGTACATTCGTCTACTCCCTCATTATGACGGTATATTCAGTCTTTTCAAATTGCAGCGAACACTTAACTTGCCAGCCCTGATTGCCAGGCGCGGCGGGTCTCGAGATGTACCCGTATGTAAAAGGTCGACCACACAAATACTGCTGAAGATAAGTAGGTACACTTTAAACAGGGTTTCTTCCCGTGATAAGAGGATTTAATCACATCGCCCTGTCCCAGATTAATGACACTGAAATCAGCAACACCGAGAAATGCCGAGTACACTGCAAATCTCTCCTATTGACAAACCCAGTGCATTCCTGCGGCTCCCAAATCCGCTGATGTCGAACGCACTGTAAAGGGATCAGTCCTTAATTCCCAACTTTTATTTGAAATGTGAAAAATTGAATTTCTATAGTGTCTTTGGGTTTGAAATATTGAAGATATTCTGGTTGTTACATGAGAAAGATTTAGAAGGACAATTTGTTGCTTTTATCAAAAGCTTTCGGAGATGTCTGTCACTTCAGTAGTTTTTGTTGACACAGTGAATAGGTGCTATCAACCAGTGTAGAAAGACGTGGTTTAGTTAAAGTTGTCCGATTACTATTTGTGTTCCTATAGGCTACTTGTTTTTATCAAACAAGCTCATGATTTATCATGTTTGGTTGTCTTGTTTGCTTGAATGAGCTTATAAAATTTACAATAACGTTCGAAAGTTTCAATCTTGCATGATTCATTTTGTTGAAATTGATTTTCCTTTCTTTTGAGAGGAGAAATTTGTCCTGTTCATAGCTGGAAAAGAACGGTAGTGGAAATACCTGACACTATGATTTCAGTGGGCAGATTTTATCTCTAAACGCACTTGCTTTTCCCGCATAATTGCTCATGGTTATATCATTTGAACAATCCAAATTATTAAAGTGAAAATTTTAAATTCGACAACTTAATTTCGGGTCATAAAATTGCTATTCATTACACAAGGTTTTTTTCTTGACAGAAAGCAAAAACCATGCGTCGGTCTTGCACTTTGGCTAATTTAAATCTCGTAATTGTACAGAGTGAACATAAATAATCTCGTAAAGATCAAAGAGACTGGAAGTACTGGTGTAATATGCGTTATGTAAATCAGATCAAGATTTAAAACCGAAGTAAATATGTAATGCTCTAACGAACTTCAAGCATAAAAACATAACTGCGCGCACCTGAGCCGGTTTAATTAGAATAGCCTATACACCTTTTTTGAAGGTGAAATGGCAAGTAAGTATGTTACATACATCATAGTGTCGCTCACGCGAGTTATGGCCTGGCACCTTGCCTACGTTTTTGTTCAAATGTTCATAAAATTTTAGAAAAATAATAAAATATGAAAAATGATCACTTAACAAACAAAATTTGAATTCCTGGTGAATGCACTTTGAAAAAGATATTGGGTATGTAAACATGGCTGGTTTTATTAAACATTTGTTTTAGATTACATTAAATTGACATTTGGCATATTAGTACTTAATGTGAAAGTATCAAAATGTTCATAAATTCTTCGTAAAAAGTATTTTAAAAAGTTAATTTAAATAAAATTCATGTAGAAATTATACGAGAAAAATTACCTTATGGAGCAGTCACACAAGTCACACACTTTAGCCAGGTATCCATGCAGACATAAAATCACAATACACAACAAGCACTGTCCATGAAATGGGTATAGATTCATGATCCTAATGGCGCTCTCAGGACATTGTACAAAAAAAGCTACATAATTTGTAACTTTAATCCACAATTTTAAATAATCACAACTAATATACAGCTAAGCAATGCACACATACAGACTTATTTGTCAAGAATCCGACAAGTGGTTTTTCAATACTTACTACTATCGCCTTCACAGCCAATCATAGCGTTGCATGACACGCGCAATCGCGAAAGTGGGCGGGGTTTATTCGTATGACACGCCTGTTTCACCTGATGCGCGCTTACCTGAGTGACAATTTCTTGGCATCTGAGTGAATATTATTTTTCCCTGTCAAGAATACTTAAAAAAGTAATCAGTCATAATATTAAACTGGGCAATACACAACCAAATGAAAATAATTATACAGACCTACGTTGAATAAATATCATCAATCAATTTTAGATATATCATAATTATAAAGCTGTGAACAAAAAATTTAAACATTTAAAATTTGGGTTTTAGTAGTTTTTTTATTCATGATTTTTTTGCTCAATATATTTTAATATATTTTTCAAATATACATAATTACACGTCGGAGATTTTTTTTCTAGTAACTTTTTTTAGAAGTACTTCCTTGAATGAGTATCAATTTGCTATTTCTGCAATTATGCTTAAATTAATTTTGAGTAAAATCCATTTTCTGCAGAAGATTAAACAATGCTGTCATTTAGGTAAAATGATGCTATCATTTGTATTTCGTGAGGATGAATGTTTCCGTGCATTTGCGGTCTTTTAGTCGCCTTGCTCGCGTGTTTTCCTTGTGGCTGTACCGAATGTCTTCATCGGCGACATTTTTAAAAATAGGCGTCCTTGAAAAAGTTTTTCTAAATGGCAAAAACAATATACAGGTAACCGTATGTTCGATAGATATTTGTTATCTAAAGATTAATACATGTACCAACGTTGAATATTTCAAATTCAAAGGTGAGTTTTATTTCCTATTTTCAAAAATATTCAGACCCCCTTACAGCAATTTATTTAGATCACGAGGTGCAAACGGAATACTTTTTTTTCCCTTGAACGATAGATCATTTTGCACCTGTCGTTATATCAGCGAGACGTTATGTCCTTAATGCAATTATACGCCCAAAATCTGATACACACCAAATTTGTCTACGGTTTACCTTTACAAAAGAGTAACAAAATAGCATAAAATATAATTTTACCTGAAGGCATTTTATACCAAGGATAAAGATGTGTATAAAACATTGCACATTTATAGAATGTACATGCATGTGCAATGGACATCTAGTTCCACCTATATACATTGTAATGGGGTTTGTTTGAATAGTTGAAATGAAATGCAAAGGGATTTTAGCTTTGTTTTTCTAAATGTCTAAACTATGTTTTCCCCGTACTGTGTTATAATTTTCAGTTAAATGCCGCTGTTGGTGATTGATTTTGTATTAGATGCGAGTTTTATTCTTCTGTAAAATAATAGATTAACGTTTTACTACAGAGTTACAAGGCATTAGAAGAATGTCAATTTAAAAGTTTACAAATTTGACACCAATTAAGTATATCATACTTTAGATACATTTTTTCTTCATACACCATTTCTTATTTTATCCCCACCCACAAATATTTACTAAAACTGGTACGTAAAGTGGACGAAACAGTTGGCGGGAAAACTTTTTTTTTTACTATTGCATTTATTATTTCCCGCCAAATGTTATTCTGCGATAAACAAAGTAAAACCGTAAGAATTGCAAAAACGCTATAAAAGTAAGGAATGGCCCTGCTAGACAATAATTACTACCGACTAAAACCAGCGCAAAAAAGTTTGGACGTTTTTCTTATCCATTTTTCCCAGCCTTGTGGTTCACTGTGTTCCTTGTGCGGGTTTTATAGTGTTAAATCTTGTTAGGGGGGACAATATATGTCTTTCTGATCTGGTATATAAAACAAGACAAAACACACACTTGCAATAAAGAACCGATTCTTCTCACGGAGATTTTCGACATTACCTACATTCGATTCTGTCACACAGAAATGTGTCCTCTAATAGGGGCATGTGATTTTAACCCGAAGGCCATCTTCTTCTTTCACACCAACTGTCTTTATGGTCGGTTAGCGAAAGACGAATACAATTCATGTCAAATTTATGCATTTTTAATGATTTAGCGAATTGAAAAATCGGATTAACATCGATTAAATTGTCTCCAGACATATGGTACGAAATTCTAGGGACATTATGTAAATTTTGTACAGTATATAATTGAATAAGGAAATTGCCGAGACTCGAAAAAAAAATCATGTCAGTTGTTAACTAAAGGGTATTAAGAAAGTTCTTCCACATTTTTCTTTTATTTTCAAAAAAGAAATACGATTAGAAGATACATGTATTTACAATTTGTGACATTTTATGTTTACAGAGTCCATTCTTGCTACTGATGAGGTTTTAACGGTTTTTTGTTGAATCAATAATGGGAGGGCAGGTTTTAAAACAGATGATGTCTGTTCAGAAAAAATACGGATGATGCATATTTGTGACATAAATTAATCACGCAGGTCAAAATATCCTTTCAAATACTATGCAAAAATTATCAAATCTGTGAAATATTTCAAATGACAAACCTATTCTTTTGAAAAGTGATATATCGTTCTTGTACCTCCGCTCATCAGCTTGCCTGATGCAAGATAATCTTTAAAGAAAGAAAGGTAAATAATCCTTTATTTTCACTCAAAGTGACCAGCATTTCTATCATTCGGGTGTTTTAAAGATTTTAAATATTTTTTCCTGTGGAAGAAAAATCCTATTTAATTTCCTGATAGAAATGATTTGTTATAAATCTAAAGCACACTCTTGTGATTTTGTCAGGCTTGAAAATTCATCTCTTTAGTTAAGCACTACTTTGAAATTGAAAATATTTCATCCCGGAACGAACTTTCTTAACACCCCTTATATAATAAGGGCATGCAAAGCGGAGGATCCCATCGCATAGATTGTCTATTCGACATTGATCCCGATGCAAATAACGTTACTTCCGTTTCGCACAGGAAATAACACACAAACAAATACCCTCACACACACAATTAACTCTGTTGCGAGGGAATAATTATGCATATATACATGCATGTACACGGTGCTTTAACTTCTATAGAAAGGGTGGGGTTGGTTCAAGAGCTTTATTTCGTTGATTTTACTCGGGTTTAATTCTAAGCAATGCACAACTCAAATAAGACAAGTCAACAAAAGCGAATGATCATATGCTGCCTTTGGTTTATTAGATTGTTCTGGTCACAATTCTTTTATTGATATGAAGATTAACAGGGATCAGTTTATACACTGAGGCAGCACTAACGGTACACCGGCAGTGGTTATGTAAATATACATTACCCAAATGTCCAGGTTAATTTCCTTTCCCTTTTCATGAGGACACGACACCTTAAAAATATTTGGACAATTCTGTTGAAAACGAACAAAGCAGGTGATCGATATATATATTCATTGCTGTACGATGGGTCCTTAACGACATTTGAAATGACCAAATGTAAAGTGTCAATTCAGACGTAACAAAGAAAATTGTGCGGTCACGTCCAAGGTTGAAATTGTAATTGAACACGGACATTTAGAGCATTAATTTCTTGTTTTTGAAGAACACCTGTGTCCACAAGTAAAAGAAGCCTCTAATTCTAATTATATACTGATGCACCCCACCAGGCATTTAGAAGGTCTGATGAAGGTGCTTATTTTCATCTCTTGGTTATTATGATTGGGTCTGGTGGGGTGATTGTGTATTGTTCAACGTTATCCAAGACAGTGGTTGGTCAAAGAGCATAACGGATTAAAGTGCCTTGCCGTCAAAATGTATAGAAAAATGATACATGCCATATTGAAAAGTTTTAACAATAACACGGCGCAGAATTTCGGTTCTTTTAACCCCATAGTTGATAGGATTTTGCAGGTATGCAATTCGTCAGCCACTTCTGAAAAATGGAATTGTCACAAACTATCATTTTCTTAATTGTGCATGAATTTGCAGGCCATTGCCTAAACCTTTAATAAGATAGTAGCCTTCACATTTATGCAAAAATGACCATAATAATACCTGAATTTTATAGTCATAATGACCACCTTTCTGAAATATACACCCTGCTGTTCGCGGATTTTACGATGCAGGGGAGTACACAGATTTAGAGGGTCAAAAGACATCTTACATCTGTCCTAAGCTGTTAAACATGCCATCAGAATTCAGAATGACAGTTAATGTATCTGCAAAAATAAAGTGTAGGCCAATTAAGCCGTGACATTCCAAAAGAATCTGCAAAAACAAACATCTTTTATCGGGTTCCCAGCGGCGTGGTTTCGGCCCTCTGACATCAAGTTCCCAGAAATTAAGAGAAGACACATGTCTTGGTGATAGAATTACGGACTCTACATTATCCAGATGGGAATGTTTTCTGTTTGTTGGAGGGTCGAATAATGGGACTAACCCCCACGATACGGTGTTATATACAGTGCATTGCTGACCTTGCTCATGAGGGATATCGCACCTTATAGAAGTCTTTAAACGTATCAAAAACTATGCACTTTCATTGATGTTGAAAGTAAAACAAAATGGGTACATAAAACTGGGAAAAAAATCTTACAAAATATTATAGTCTCATTTTGAGAGAGATGGGGGGGGGGCACCGTGTAATTCATGGACTGGAGTCTTGGAGTGGAGTTATGGAGTGGAATTTCAGTGGAGTTTGGAGTCAATTTTGGAGTCAGATTTTCTTTAAACACAATTCAATTTTTTTTCAGAAATGGCATTTGTGCCTGTCTTTAATATTCTAAAATAATCTATTGGCAAGATAAACCTCTAATTTAATAAATATTTGGTACATTTGCATATACATTGTAAGTATGTTGAACCTCATTATTGAACTAATAACCACCTAAATCAAAATTAATTGATAACTTCCTACAACTATTAACCTAAAAAAACTGAATTTTTCAAAGACCTAATAATTCTAGCAAACGTTGTAATTTAAAATATCTAAGAAAATTAAGTTGCATTTGTCACTACATGTAAAAAATAAGTCAATTAAAGCAATGTAATTTTTTCAATTTAATATACCCCTCTTAGAAACCAGGAGTGAATATAGTAAGATGTTTGTGATCTGTCTGTACCTTTTCTGTTACACTTTGTTGTACCCTACGAGAATCTTTTTGTGCACTTTATTTTACTTTTTTCCGTTTCCTTGCAAAACATGGAACTGCCATAATATTCATATGTGACAATTTTTGAATATACAAAAAAAAATGAAAAGAGGGTGCAGTGTGTTCTGCTTAAATGATTTTTTTTGTAAGGCACTTGTATCCCTTATACAATACTCTCAGAATGTTTAGGGTATTATTTTATAAGAACTACATAAAAATGATAGAGGTTATTATGTATGTGTACAAATTTGCAAAAATCAAACAACCTTGTAACAGTTTACTAACCTACATATACAGCTGTGTGGTCCAAATCCTGTAAAAGTTTTAACAGACATAACAGAGATGTGACAGAAAGATATAATTTAGATTAGGGGTTTTAATCACCTTCCAATTATGCACTGAAAGCAATAGGTTTCATAATTGATATAACAGTTAAATTTAATTAAACAGGATATACTGTGTGTTTTAGGTAACATACTAAATAATTAATATTACATTCAAAGAATTTGTTACATAATTATGTTTGAAAATCTCAGACTCCAAAAATTGACTCCAAACTCCACTCCATAACTCCACATACTTACAATGTATATACAAATGTACCAAATATTTATTAAATTAGTTTATTTTGCCAATAGATTATTTTAGAATATTTAACACAATCATACAAAATTTCTGAAAAAAAAGTTCTGCATAATTATGTTTAAAGAAAATCTCAGACTCCAAAAATTGACTCCAAACTCCACTCCAAACTCCATTCCATAACTCCACTCCAAGACTCCAGTCCATGAATTACACGGTGCCGGGGGGGGGGGGGGAGTGAAATTGTTACCTTATTGGTAGGAAACAATTTCAGTTACGGGTGGGTACAATCAAACACATTCAATTTGGGTGTGCCTTCAACAAGAACTAGGACTAATTATTGAGCTAGGGGTTAACCCGGCCCCTTTCCGGGTTTCTACGGCATCGAGTACGTGAACATTCAAAAATGCATTTTTGGTGATCTCCAAACGTTTCAAGAAAATCAATTTGCATTTGCAAAGCTGACTTAGTTGATGCAAAAACTGACAGTTCAGGGAACGTAAAGATTTTTGTGAGGGGTTTTTTTACACTGTCTTGTAAGATATACGAGAACTTTTTGGGCGTTTTTCTGTTTTCCGTTTCCTTGAACTCTTAAAATAAATACAATTTTTGGAATATACCCTGGCAATTTATGACTGGTGTTTTTGTAGATGTTCAATCATATTTCCGTTTTTTATACTTGGAAGGAGGGTAGGGGGTAAGGGATGTCATGAAAAAAATTCTGCAGAGTCTGTTTCTCATGCAGAACTCTTCTAACATATTTAACAGTATTGCATTCAAATTTTGGAATGTGCCAGTGATCGGAGTGTCCTCTAGATGTGGCTGTGCAATAAGGTTTTGGAATTTCGATTTTCAACCTCAGGCTTGGGACAACTGAACTGGGGGTAAAAAAAAAATATTCTACAAAAAACTAGTTCCCTGAATTCCTCTTTCAATTTTTGCATCGATCAACTCACTTTTTGAAATTTGATTGGTAGTGTCCTGTCAATTTGCAATAAAGTTTCAATATTACGATTTTCATCTTGTAGGCGACTGAACCAAAAAAAAAAAAAAAAAAAACACACACACACACACATTCTCTCTCTCACACACACAAACTTTTTGCATCTATTAATTTTTGTTATTTGATTGTTTTTAATTTATGAAATGCTTGGCAATCATATTTTTGGTTGAATACATTTACAAATATTACACGTTATATTGGAGTCAAGGGTGCATTTCCTTCCTTTCTTTTTTACCCCTATCTTTTTTACGTGTATCTAGGTGCATGATTTTACAATCAAAAGAAATTATTTCCTGTTGCAAATACACTCTTTTATTATCATAAAGATGCGTTATCTTATTTTCCAAATTAAAAGAAAGTTTTCTTATTCAGAAATGAGATTTTGCGTCTCTTTTAAATATATTGTATAAACCACAAGCTAAAAGAGTTCGGGATCGACATCCAATAAATATCAGTTTTGTATTTCGAATTTCCTCACTGAAAAGAGTTTTAAAGCCATGAAAGTAGTTTTACTGCTATGATAGCTGTTAATTCTTTGCCTGCAAATCTTTTGACCGGAAATTCGAAAATAAATAATACAGCGCCGTATGACAGATGTGGTAAGTGTTTATAAATACAGATTGATGAAATTTATTTTATAAAACGGAAGGAATTTTCAAACTATTCACAGTGCAGCTCCGTCGCCTCGTCACAAAGTGTCACAACATGTACTTGGGTCTTGGTTTATAAATATCTATATACGTACTAATATATAAAAGAGATATCAACACTGATAAATTAGTAGGGACTGTGTAAATATCTATAAACCAGAAACAAGTACATGTACTTTTATATTATATTGTTTTTATTTTTTGACAATTTTAAAGTCATTTTAAATTTTGTATTCAGAATATACTGTGTGGACTTTGTAATTTCAGAGCATCATTATACCTGTATACAATGGAGAGAAATGGATTGATGAATGTTTAAGGGCTGTTAGGGATCAAAATTTTAGTGGTCACCTAGAAGTATCCATTTTCAATGATGGATCAACAGTGAGTCCTCTTCTTCGTCCATACGAGTTTAACTTTAGGTAGAGCATCATATTCGAGTCCTCCTGGTTATAATCCACTATTATGTTTCCCATAAATGTCAATGTAATTGTTTTCACAAATACTGTAAACATATTACATTTAGCTGTGTATTCTTTTAGGTGCCTTTCTCTGAAAGCTATTTCCGCTAAATCCGGTACAATACTAAATGTCTTGCACATATATTCATATGTAAGAACATTAAGAAATGTGCTAAATCAAGTCTATGCTAAGTCGCTAACTTGTTTAGAAATCAAATTCCGCCAATTTGGGTCCAAATTGCTTCAATTTATTCTCTCTCACTGGTTGAATCTCAAGGTCACTGATAGCACATGTCAGATTTGCTGCACAGCAAATTAATTTTGTTGCAATTTCATTTAAGATTTTCATTAAAAGATGACTGCATAAATGTAATTTCTATAAATTACAGTGATTTTTCTACAATTTTTAAAAGGGGCCTGGGCCTTTTCAGTTGGGAAAAATTGTCGACATTTGTGTCAAATTGGGAAAAACAATAAGATTGTAATTAGCCTTCATACTGACAAGTAAAATAAAATATATATGTAAATTTAATATCATTTAATAACTTTATTTGCTACAAAATTTTCAACAAAATGGACACAGTTCTATATTTTTAATTTCTTTCATTTTTGTTCTTTGATTGTCCTATATTCCATTTTTTGCCATAATGGTAGACATAATTGAGAAAAAATCATTCCCGATTTCTCGTTATTGCTCGCATTGGAGCTGGAATAATCTTGACACGATTTACAAGCATGTATTGCTGTATTTCTCTGCAATGCTCGTATCTACAGGATGAAGAAACACTTTAAATTTCGTGAAATCAAGGAAGCTTGTTGTAGAACTACTAATACTTGCAATTTACAAATAAAGCTACGTTTAACCGATTCACATGAATATTTAAATTTTTTACGATAGTTTGACATCCACATGATCGATGTGTTTTTCCAAGTCTTGCAAACACACAAATAAACTGCTGTTTTTCGCCATTATTTTAAGCATACTTGCCAACCTCCAGCATGTAAAAATCTGGTCATGACCAGATTTGGAAAGTAAAAAATCTGGTCATAACGCGTAACGACATTCACGGCATATTTACCATGATTAAATTTTATACATATATATATATATACAAAGTATTTGTGTATTAAGAATTCTTTTATTGAAAAAGGATTTAATTTACTATGACAAAACATTCATACATAATTTGATTTAATTTACATGTTAAAAAATGAGAATTGAAGGTTTCATATTTCAGTATTGACCTGAAGTTAACTGTGCATTTTTTTTTTTTTTAAAAAAAAAGCCTTTTCAGTTTCTGCTAAATTTGAAAGTATACCAATTTCAGTTTTGAAGTTCTTTTTTTCTCTCTGTTAATTAATTAACTACTACAATGTGTTTTAAATGTGAAGTTAGGCCCACACTGTCTTCGATCACTTTATTTTATCTAGAATGAAAGTTTTTTTTCTTCCCAAGATTCCTTGATATGTATACTCGATTCTCATTATATCGCGGGTTTCATTGTATCGCGGTATGTCGCAAAAAATTGGATACATAGTCTTTATTCTTTTTATTGATGGACAATATGTTTATGTTGTCTGAATGTTTACTTTTTTGATGATTAAGAAGTATGGAACATTCGTTTGAAAAAAATTATTTAAAAAAAACGTAATTTTTCAGATTTTCAGTCACGTTTTGATTATTTTTAAGCATTAAATCTATAACCTTGTAAAAATTATACTATAGCTCATCTCTTAAAGGTCTTAAGTTTGTATATTTATTTTCTTTTTCTGTAGAATTACACAGTAAATTCAAAAATAAAAATTGAGGTCCATGTAATCTACAAGTTTCCATGTTTTCCCATACCGCGATACAATGAGACTCTCCAATTTTGGAGGTAAATAAGACTTCCTGTTTTAAAAATAGACAATAACTTAAACGATGCAAGCTTGGGATATAATTTTACACTAAAAAGTTAGTCCATAGATTGGTTTATTAATATTTTTTATGAAAGTTAAAAGTAAAAAATTGGAATAGCACTTTTTATGCAAAAGGATTAAGTAACGCGATATAATGAGACACCAGTATACATAAATATCGTTTCTCTTTTTCTTGGTTCAATCAGAGACATGTGTTTGGTTCAATTTGTTCCTGTTGGCCCTGATAACGATCTAGTTCTATCGGAAGCCATTTTAATTGACTTCAAACATTGATTTGTCAAAACAACACCCAGTTAATTGTTTACACCTGCACTGATGGTTAATCCATCGACATTGTTTACGTAGATCTAAGCTTGGGTTGTAACTGGTAGTTAAAAGTGCAACCTAATTTACGAACCAAATCCAGAAATCGGGAGATTTTCGGGTTGTTCGGCAAAAATCGGGTGATAAGCATGACCCGCCGGGTCATAAAAAATAATCGGGTTATGGGTTGAAAAATCGGGTGTGACCCGACGAAATCGGGTGAGTTGGCAACTATGAATTTTTAAGCGTCCGAATGACCAAAAACAATAGCGTTCCATTTTAGATAAGTCGTACTTAAAAAAATCAATATAACCAAAACAATACGTTTTGATTTTGGGAAAAAAGCAGTTGAATATTGGGAAAAAATCGGTAATTTTTGAGAGGGGAAAGGGCCGATATTCGGACCTAAATTGAGTGTAGAAAAATCACTGAATTAAGAAGTAAGTTCCTACTGTACATATCTAGACTTCATGTAGAAATTAAGCTGGTACAGTGTATATATGCTATGAAAAAATCTTTTATTCCAATGAGGATAATTAACATGATTTTCTCATATCATTTTCACTTCATTACTGACTTGTTTATACATGTACCTTAATGTGCCATACATTGTCAACAATACTGACATTATATTTTTCATGTAATTATTTACGTAATTATATATTTTGATAATATTTACATATGAAAGGATGGGACTCTTAACAAACTGGAAGAGTGGAAGGAGGTTCTGAAGCAAAAGTCATTTTCTGTCATCATAGGAGGTCATAGTTCAAGTCCAAGAGGAGGCATGTCTATTTCATTTACTTTTATTTCTATTTCATTTACAAAACCTACTTCTAATCGAATCGTAAAAAAAAAACCAGTCAGAAAAAAAATATTGCAAAATGAATAAAACATATTACAGATTTTTTTTCAATGCTATTATTTCAGAAAAGCCCTTGTGTTTTGAGACAGATGACAAGTAACAAAATGATATCATGTCTTTTGTCTCTCTTTAAAGTTGGGTATGCAAAGAATCGAGCAGTGGAACAGAGTAATGGGGCCTACTTGTGTTTCCAGGACATTGTAAGTTTTCTAAGCAAATGTTCCACCTTTTTGCAGGTAAAACAATTCAATTCTGTATACAGGGAAATTTTCGCCCCTTTCGCCCTTGTCACAAGTGGGTGCATTTAAAATGGGGCGAATTCAAAGAACAGAATATAAATTCTTAAATAGAACTTTGACTGGACGAATTTAAAATGGGCCAAAATTGTTAACAAGTGTAAAAGGGTGATAACATGGGGCAAAAATAATCCTGTATACAGTATTTTGTTTTCTTTGATATTTTTAGGATGATGTGATGTCCCCTGACAGAGTGTCCAGACAGTATCAGGCCGCTAAATCTGAACCAAAGAGTGTAAGTCAAGGCATCTCTGTAACAGTGGAACCAATATTTCATTTTGTTGGCAATTTAATGAAGTCTTTAGTTGAAAATTGATATTTAAAAATTCCTCTAAAGTTATCGTGTGACAGTTATCTTCTATGTAGATTATAGGAAGCAGGTTCCACAGAGAACCGGAAGGGTCTACAGAAAGGTTTACCCACTGGGCCAATAATCTGACCAGTAGTCAACTTTATTCACAGGTAAATACATCTAGCTACACTTTGAATTAATTTTACATACATTTTAAGCTCACCTTAATGAACTCGAGATGAGCTTATGCTATAGTTATCTCCAACATCGGAGTCAGTTTCAGCGTCGATGCTCCAGTTGAAGTTTAATGAGCAGGTCCATTCCCAAGAAACTATAAGCCTTACCTGGACCAAACTTGCATGGATGATCGATGCATCCAGGGATGGACACTTACAGACTCACTTCTGATGCTGGGTCTGACCTATATTTTCCAGATGAGTGACAAGGTATAAGTTTTAGGGACAGGTCCATTACCTAGTAACTTGAAGCCCTACCTGGACCAAACTTGCATGGATGATGCATCTAGAGATGGACACTTACAGACTCACTTCGGATGCTGGATCTCAGTGATATTTTCTGGATAAGTGACCAGGTTAAAGTTTAGGAGCAGATCCATTCCCAAGTAACTAGAAGCTCTACCTATTTTCCTGATGAGTCAACAAGGTAAAGTTTTTGGACTACAGTAGTTCAAAATGTTATGACCTTTTATATAAAACTTGAATGGATGATGCTCCTAAGGATTGACTCTTCCAGAATTGCTCCAAATCTTTGGACTGACAGAAATTTTCCTTGATAAGTGAATAGGTAAAAGTTTATGAAGCAGGTCCATTCTCAAGTAAATATAAGACCTAATTAAACCAAATTTGCATGGATATTGATCCATTAGGGATGCACTCATTCATTAGAAAAAAAGAAGTGATGTGATATTTGCCCTACTAAAAGATTACATTTGTGGAAATGAGCTTTGTAATCTTTGATTACCTATGTTTATACATAATATTTAAAAGAATTATTTAAAACCTTTGGACTGTATTTTATAATTTTAATATTGATAAATTGGTCAAAACTTCATTTTAAAATTAAGGTTTTATGTTCATGTAGATTTTTAATAAATGATTGCTTATATAAATGTACTTAAATGTAAGTTACAGATGTAAATAGATACCGGTACACATTTATAAATATTTGCAGTATAAAAATTGTTTACATTTAATTGAGACTGTTGAAAGAAAGTTTATGCATTTGCCTGCTGATATTTTTAAACTAAACATTATTAAGGTGTGAAAAAGAAGCTGCAGGTGAAGCCTCATTTGTCACTTAGCCAGGCAGATTCTCCATTCTCAGTCAATACAAATGTCTGTATTTACAAACTTTTTGATAAATGGGTTTTAATAAACATGCTAGTTTTCTGGAAAAAATCAGTTAGCAAGTATTTCAATTTGGTTGGCATGTGTGACAAGGAACACAGCCAAGAATTGGCAGCAACACAAAACAGCAGAGCAAAACATAAGTTGGAGGTCAAAGTTGAAGTCATCTGCAGCATGTGACATGGTTTTGAATTTCCACTGGCTAACATGCTGTGCAGTTCAGTGTCACTTGCATGTTTGATAGTAATATCCACAACAAAAACTTCATCTGACAGCTTGACATAGAAAGATAAATGAAATTCTATACAGTTATTTTATTTATTTTTTATTTCATTTAAAAAACAGAAAATACGGTGCAGGATCAAGTTTTAGATTGTTATGTAATGTGAACAATTGCTTAATTTTTCAGTCTAAGACTTGGTATTGTGAGTGATGTATTTTTCTTTGAAAATTGACACCTTTTGTGAGAAGTGGGGCTTTTTCTTTTGAAGATTTACACCTCTCATGGCCCGACTCTCATCATGCCCACTTGGTTTTGTCATCGAGCTGTTTTCAACAAAGTTGGAGGCTTCAATGAGGGTGGAAAGGTATTCAGTTTTGATGAATGTTTAAAGTAACTTTAAAATTTCTTTCAAATTTAGTAAATAAATTGAAGTTTCTGTACATAAATACCATACTGCAATTTAAATAATATTTATAAAATTTGAATGCATTATCCAGTGCTAATCTTATCATTGAAATTGTAAAAGTAATTTATAGTATGACTAATACACAAAATTTAACCTCACTTCAAAGTTTATATTTCAAAAAAGTAATTGAAATGTTCCTCATCATCTGTGATGTTGATACAGGGGGTACCAGAGGATTTGATCTTCTTCCTGCAGCACTTGGAGTTGGGAGGGGGACTATATCGGGTGGATGCAGACCTCCTAATGTACCGGTACCACCCCGGGGCCACCACCTTCTCCATTTCTGAGTAAGATAATGCCATCAGCTGATGGAAACTCATTGTTACACAATTACAGTTTTAAATTCAAATATTGTAGAGAACACTAGGGATGCAGCAAAGATTTTAGACATCAATGTGAACCATTTTTAGCTCACCTGAGCCGAAGGCTCAAGTGAGCTTTTCTGATCACATTTTGTCCGTTGTCCGTCCGTCCGTTTGTAAACTTTTCACATTTTCGACTTCTTCTCAAGAACCAGTGAGCCAATTTTGACCAAACTTGGTACAAAACATTCATGGGTGAAGGGGAATTTAAATTTTTAAAATGAAGGGCCCAGTCCACTCACAAGGGGAGATAATCAAGAAAAGACAAAAATAGGGTGGGGTCATTAAAAAATCTTCTTCTCAAGAACCACTGGGCCAGAAAAGCTGAAACTTATGTGGAAGCATCCTGAGGTAATGTAGATTCTAAATTGTTCAAATCATGACCCCCGGGGGTTGGGCTGGGCCACAATGGGGAATCTAAATTTTACATAGAAATATATATGGAAAATCTTTAAAAATCTTCTTCTCAAGAACCACTGGGCCAGAAAAGCTGAAACTCATGTGGAAGCATCCTTAGGTAATGTAGATTCTAAATTATACAAATCATGACCCCTGGGGGTTGGGCAGGGCCACAATGGGGTATCAAAGTTTTACATAGAAATTAGGGATGTCAACGAATATTCGAATATTCGAATATTCATTCGATGAGTTGATATTCGAATATAAATTTATGATTCGAATATTCGTTTTTAAGTATACAAGCATTAAAAAGAGAGAAAAACCTGGCAAGTTTTATTAGAAATTGAATAAAGTTTGTACAAAATTAAAAAAAAAACCACTCCTCTTGGATTACCTTAAAGGTGTGAAGAGTGTATCTGTTAGAGTAATTTATTTATTTGTTCACTTAATTAGTAGTATATATAGTCTTTAAAAATCCAGTACTTACAGTCAGCTTGTATTGTTGTAAGGACATAGTTTTACAGTAAACACACAGACCCCTTGTTTATGTAAATATTAAAAATCATTATCAGGAAATCATAATTTGCAAAACCTAATTGTTTTTAATATTTCACCGTTATTATTGTTATGCTTGGTATAAATTTGTAGGAGTTATCAGTGTAGACTTTACAATTTTTATGATACGATCAATAATTAATCTTTAGAACATACTGTGACCTAGAATCTTTTTAATTTTCTAACAATCATTACATTTGGGATGTATACTATTCAATATTCAATAATCAATCTGGAACATACTAAAGAATCTTTTTAATTTTCTAACAATCATTACATTTGGGATGTATACTATTCAATATTTCTTTTAAACAATATAATTGCAGTATATTTACCGAACTCCACATTAGTTTTTATTCCAAATAATGGCATAAACTCAACACTACTTGACAGGAGAGTGAATATATATATTTAATAATGCAAGATGTATTTATTTTATCGGGGCTCTAATTATATAGTGAAAATATAATTCTTTGAAAATCTTCTTCTCTGCTCCTATGTTTTAAATAAACTATTCGAATATCAATTATTGACAATTTTGACATCCCTAATAGAAATATATAGGAAAAATCTTTAAAAATCTTCTTCTTAAGAACCACTAAGCCAGAAAAGCTGAAACTTATTGTGGAAGCATCCTGGGTAGGGTTTCTAGTGTTAGGGCGAATTGTTATATAGTGAAAATACATGAATTCTTTGAAAATCTTCACAATGTTTTAAATAAAGTTTTACATAGAAATATATAGGAAAAATCTTTAAAAATTGTTTTTAAAAACCACTGGGCGGGGCAGATTATATAGTGAAAATACATGAATTCTAAATTGTTCTCTGCTCCTAATTAAATAAACTACCCGGGGGTATGATGAGCAAGGGCCACCAAAATTATGGGAATGGCAAAGTTTTACATAGAAATATATAGGAAAAATCTTTAAAAATCTTCTTCTCTTCCTATGTTTTAAATAAACTAACTGGGCCAGAAAAGCTGAAACTTATTGTGGATTTTAGCATCCTGAGGTAGTGTAGATTACACATTATAGTGAAAAAACATTAATCTTTGAATTTTTCTTCTTGGGTGTATTAAGCATGGCCACATATAGGGGAATCAAAGTTTTACATAGAAATAAGAAAGCTGAAATATACGTAATGTTGTAAATCTGCATCCTGGGTATTAATCAAATATTTTTGAAAAGCAAAGATGTTTTTAAAAATTCTGATCAGTGGGTTATGTGTGGGGTCACAATTATTGTATATTACTGATTTGTTGAAATCTTTTTTGGCCTATGGGTATTAAATAACCAAACTAAGCAACTGCTAAGTGTATAGTTATGATGATCAAAATTGTAAATGCTATTATAATAGCATCTGGTTCACAATTTTTATGATACAGTATGAAATGGTACAATTACATTTTTACACAATGCTAGTATTTGTTCAGTGGATTTGATCTTTAGTTCTTGGTTCATATAAAAGTTGGGTGTTTGTCACAGATTAAAAAAATCAGCATTTGTTCTTTTCTGTATATACATCTATTTTTAGGTCACCTGAGTCACTCAGGTGACCTATTGTTATTCGTTTTTGTCCGTCGTTGTGCGTTGTGTGTCCTGTGTTTTGAACATTTTCAGCTTCTTCTCTGAAACCAAACCAATTTCAACCAAATTTGGTATACAGCATTTATGGGTGAAGGGGAACAAAAATTGTGAATTTCATGGTCCCCGTCCCCCTGGGGCCTGAGGGGTGGGGCCTAAACCACTAAAATTAATAAAATCTTTAAAAATCTTTTTCTTTACTCCTGGACATCAAGCAGTCAAACTGTTGGCATGAATGTAATGAGCATTGAGTCCTCTACCAAAATTGTGAAGTTCATGGCCCCAGAGGCAGGGGTTCTAGTGTTAGGGTGGGGCTCTATTGATTATATAGTGAAAATGCATTAATTCTTTGAAAATCTTCTTCTGTGCTTGTGGGTATTAAATAAACTAACTAAGTACATAGTTATGATGAGCAAGAGTGCCTCTTCCAAAATTGTGAATTTTATGGCCCCAGGGTCAGGGGTTCTGGTGTTGGGGCAGGGCTCTGTAATTTGATTATATAGTGAAAATACATTAAAATCTTTTCTTTAGCTCCTGGGTATTATGCCAATGATCCAAGTATATATATTTATGATGAAGAAAGGTGCATCTAGCAAAATTGTTAATTTCACGCCAGGGTCATGCCCCTGGCATGAAATCATTCATGAATTAATGCTTTGAAAACTGCTCATCGGTATTAATCAACCATTTATGATGAAATAAAATTCATGATAAAATTTTCAAAATTTTGAAATATGTGGCCCCAGGATCAGTGGTTCCTTTGGGATGGGGTGCACAACTGGTTGTAAAGTAGAAGTGCATTTTCTTTTTCTTACTCTGATTTACCTCAGTCTAGGTATTAAGTAACTAGGGTAAGCATGCTAAGTGTATGATTATAAGCAATGGTGCCTCTTTAAAAATTGTGAATTTCATGGCATCTGGTTTAAAACATGAACTAATTTCAATTGTTGGAAAGTTGTTGCATGATACTCAGGTGACCTCTTGTATCAATGTTGCAAAAATAGTGTATGTTCCAGAGATTCTATATGGAGGATAAGAATGGAGTATGTCCAGAAACAGGTGATAGAGAAGTGGGAGACATTTACAATCTGGAATGCTGGGAAACAAGGAAGGAAGTTTTACAGATCCTTGACAACAGCCAATCAAAAGAAGGTAAGTTTTAACTCTTTTCCCCCTGTTCTTTTCCCTAATATTCAAATAATGCAAATACAGTAAAACTCAGATTTCAAGATCTTGCTTATTAGGAAATCTTAGTTATTAAGAAGCATTCTTGAAGTCTGTAGAAGACTTTGAACTATGTTGTAAGGATATGAAGAATCTCAGTTATATAAGGAAGCAAAACCTGAAGTCCTTGTGACTTCTATGTAACAAAGTTTTTAACTTTAAAATATTCTCGTACTCTTTAGCTGGAGAACATTTCTCTTGATACAGATTTTCAATGTAATTATAACATTTTTAAAAAGAGCTAAATCACTTTCTGCCAAGATTTGTAGATTTTCTGACACCAAGTGTTAATGCTTGAAAAATGAAATGTACATCAAGTTTTAATTGCATTGTTCTAAAACTTGAGTGCATAGATGTAATTGTAAAAGGGGAAAAGAAAAAAAGAGGTTTGGTGCAGATTCATAATAGCATAATGCATGTAGAATATGAAAGTTAAAAAAATCAGATAGTGAGAAACATATACAGAGCAATTATAGATTCCAGTTATGAAGACATTTTCTGGTAGTGTATAATTTATTTCATATATAAAAGTCAAAGCAAATGTTCAGAACAAAATGTTTTATATTTGTTCAGTGTTTCATAGAATTTGACATTTAACAGTGAAATTAATTTTAAGTTCAAAGACATTATATAGACATTAAAGCACAAGGTAAAAATCTCTGGTTTGATTCCCAGTTTCCAGAAGTACCATTTAAAGTACAAATAATTCTGAAAGTTAAATCATAAAAAGTGTTGTTCTGAGGCTTTTCATCAATGGATCTTTTTCTTTGGGTTTAAAATTTTTGTTCCTATTGAGAGTGTAAAAGAGAAAGATGATCAATTTGATGTTAATGGGCTCCTCATTTAAACATCATTCAGGAACACATTTGAAATCCCTTAATATGATTATATTGATCCAAGGATTTACACTTACAGGCTTTAGATGACAAGTTAAATTGACTTCATTTTTTAACAAGTTTTACCTCTGTTTTAATGAGTTTATTTGACGTGAGAAGAAAATAACATATTAGTAAAAGTCCGTACTGCTCCTTTCTAAAATGGTTGGATAAAAAATGAAATGTGTTTAGAAAAGATGCCAGGTTCAAAAGTGATAAAAATAAAAAAGATTACTACATGTACAAGTTGTAAAAGTAAGAATTTTTTAACAAATCCCAATGAAAAGAGAAAAAAAAGAGCATGAAAACAGAAAGCATCTATACATTGTGTAAAAGAGGACAATGAATTTCATCAAAACTGTTTTTTTTTAAATTTTATCAGAACCATACTGTTTAATGTCAATTTGAGTATTATCATTTCAACTGAATTTATGTACACAGAAAAACAAGATTTTTTTTGTCAGTGGAAATTGTTGTGCAGTTCAAGGCCATGCATTCAGACTCCCATTCCATGAAAAATAGAAAATAATTTTAACATTTGTAAATGATTTTAATGGGTGAAAATATCATACAGATTCTACAAAAAAACTGAACAAATCAAAATTAGATCATTTGAAATGGGCTGTTTATTCTTTGGCTTGTTCATGTTTCTGTACGACAGTCATTGGAATTTGATGCAGATAGTGAATGATAAGAAATGTCAGAACTAATAGGTTAAAAAAGGTGATTAATGGGACCTTTAAGTGTCATCTTACAGGAAAATGCTTTAATAATTGTAGTCACAAATGTAGATGGACGAATTATATTTGGTGATATTTTCAGTAAATTGTGAAAAAAATTAATATTTATTTTATACACAGACAATTTACATGGATCGGTTATGATTTAATTACCAGTTATTTAGTACCAAAGGCCAGTGACAATGAATCATGCTATTAACTGTGCAGGAGATGAGATTTTTTTGCTGTTTATCAATATGCAAAATTTTATATACAAAATCTAGTTACAACTTCAAAATTATATGCAAATGGCTTATCACGATTGAAATCTCCAGCAGGTGCCTAAGAATTTACAAAGATAATGGAAGAAAACAAGATGAGAACAATTGTATGTAAATCTCCTCTAATTTCTAGCAGGGGATATTCAGGAGCATGTGTATTTAACAATTGACCATGGCTAATATCCCCCAACATGAAAGCTCCTCCTGCGGTAAGATCCAAAAATTAGATTTATCCCCCAGTTTTAAAATTGTTGGGGCGAAACAAATGAATTGGCTACAGCGTGGTCAAGTGAAAATGGAGAGTAGATAAGTAGGCTCTTGTCTGACACCGGCTGAACTTTACCTGCGCATACCTGAACTAATGAGGGTAAATAAGGTCGTAAATTTGGTCCGGTTTCTGTCATTTTCAGGTGAACTGGCAAATAGTGTCAAACATTACAGGATGAGATAATGAGCTCTTTATAGAATCTTGACATTTTTTAAGCTGAAACTTGATGGTTTTTTAAATGTTTTATATGATGCCATTTTTTGAGAGTTTAATGTGGACTGTACAAACTTGCTGGTTCTAAAGATGTTGAACTTTCATCTTCTCTCTTGTTGGCTATATTTGTAATCTTCACTTATACACTGTACTAAATTTTTTAAAAAGTCATTGTTTTCCCCAATTCATATTATATTTTTATCATGATATACAAAGTGTGTTTGTAGGAATTTAGGATAACAAAATCTGTTAGAAATGGTCCATTAAACAAATTCTTTTTTTTTAATTAAAAAATATCCTTTTGTATTCTACTTGATTAAATTTTGATTTCTTTCTTTAATTCAACAATTTGATCGGTTTGGCCAAAGTTTATGTGTACATTGTGTTTTGCATTTAGATTAGAATGACCCCAAACACATGTTGCCAAAGACCCCCCTGTATTCAAACAATAGCAGGTCCAAGCTTAGGAAACAAACTTTTTTATTAATACTTAAACATTCGTCCAAAAACTTTCTATTGCTTGTCTTTTTGACCGCCGCTGGCAAGCTAAAAGGACACAGGTTGATAACACAATGCATGTCCATCTGATTTCATTTTAATTTCACCCATATTAAATTCATAAGACTGTTTTTATACTGTCTCAAACCAGTATCAAATGTGGAGGTTTTATATTAGAGATGTTAATGGGATGCAAAGATTGAAATTTGACGATGCGTATCAATTAGGTATTCCAACTAACCTGTCGCCTCGTTAAATTCGTTGTCGGTGATGGAACACTTTTCAAAGACACCTTCGGGCCAGCCATTGTGAAATCGTTACAAAAGAGGGCTTCTTAAATTATTTATATTCCTTATATGAAATTTTTCAGACAAATTTTAAAAGAGGGATTATAAAACTTAATACTAGGTCTCTAATCTATTCATCACCTAGTGTCAAGATTGTATTTAGAATTCACAACTTTATACAAACTATCAAAATGATGAAAAAGCATAAAATATGATGCAGAGAGGCGTGAGATATAAGGCATAGGACTTTTTGAAATAAGTTCACTTTAAGACATAGTTGATTAGAACCATTCAGTGTTTTAGGAGATTTCAAAAGAAAAAAGACTTTATTCTGACAGATTATGAAGTTGAACAAGTTTATTCTCCACAGGATTTTTTTTAAAGGGGAAGGGGGGGTCAGAAAAAAATGTTTCTGACTTGGATCTTGCATTTTAGGCAAAGTAGCAATTACAATGAAATATAATACCGGTATATGTAAGAGCATTGAATTTGAGTACTGGAAAAACGTCATGCTGATAGACGTGCATGTATATAAATTGTGTACTGAATCATGGCTTCTTTACAGGCTTATAGTGAGAAATATAATTTGAAAGCAAATCATGAAAACATGAGCCGGAGATTGTATTTTGATGAATAATAAATTTGATAATAAAGGCACAGGTATTTTTTGCATCTTTTAACATACTAGTATATTTTTGTTATTGTGAAACATGTCCCTAAGTTCATGTAAATTGTAAAATGAACTTAAAGCTCCCAAAAAATTATTTTGATATCAGATGGATGAGTAACTGCCTATCAGATAATGGCTTTATATAGAGGTAATGTTACCATGATATTTTGTGCTTTTGAGTTTTAAAATTTTTTGACATGTTAAAGATGTTTGTTTCAATAACAGTATCATTTATAGCTCACCTGAGCCTAAGGCTGAAGTGAGCTTTTCTGATCAAAATTTGTCTGTTGTCTGTCATCATCGTTGTAAACTTTTCACATTTTCATCTTCTCAAGAACCACTGCGGCAATTTTAACCAAACTTGCTACAAAGCATCTTTGGGTGAAGGGGATTCAAGTTTATTCAAATGAAGGGCCACTCTCCCAAGGGAAGATAATTATGAATTAGTAAAAAATTAATAGCATTTTCCATAAATCTTCTCCTCAAGAACCATTGGGCCAGGAAAAATGAAATACATGTGGATTCATCCTCAGGTAGTGTATATTCAAGTTTGTCCAAATCATTACCCTCAGGGGTAGTGTGGGGCCACAATAGGCAATCAAAGTTTTACATAGGAATATATAGGAAAAAACCTTCTTCTCAAGAACCATAGGCACAGGAAAGATGAAACTCATGTGGAATCATCCTCAGGTAGCGTAGATTCAAGTTTGTTCAAAACATGACCCCCGGGGGGTAGGGTAAGACCAAAATGGCCGATCAAAGTTTTACATAGGAATACATGTATATAGGGAAATCTTTTAAAATCTTCTTCTCAAAGTACTGCAAAGCCATGATTAGTGATATTTATATGGAATCATCCTCAGGTAGTGTAGATTTTTAGTTTGTTCAAATCATAACCCCCAGGGGTAGGGTGGGGCCACAATGGGGGAGCCAAGTTTTACATTAAAATGTATTAAAAAAATCTTCTTCTCAAGAATAGCAAAGCCATGATTAGTGATATTTATATGGAAGCATCCTCAGGTAGCGTAGAATTAAATTTGTATAAATCATAACCCCAAGGGTACGGTGGGGACGCAATGGTGGATCAAAGTTTTACATAGGAAAATAAAGGGATAAATCCCAAGAACAGAAAAGCTATGTTTAGTCATATTGACATCCTTATGTATTGAAGATTTAAATTTGTTCAAATCATGACCCTTTGGGGTTAAGGGAGGGAAACAATGGGGAATCAAATTCAAATTATTACGAAGTAATATATAGGAAAAAAATGTTTTTAAAAAATCTTTAAAAATCTTTTTCTCAAGAACAGCAAAGTCATATATATGCTGTATTGATATGGAGGCATTCTCAAGTAGTATTAAAATTAAAGTCCCCCCCAGTAAATTTTTCAGTTCTGATCTGATTTCTGCTTTTTCCTAGCCTTTGTGCTCAGGTGAGCGATGTGGCCCCTGGGCCTCTTGTATATTAATTATTGACAACAGGTAATTTTACATAAAGATTTATTTTTAAATTAATTTTAGATTTATTCTTAAAGTAAAAAATTAATATCTGAAATCTAAATTCTAGTACTAAAAGCTGGCCAAGTCAAGATAAACTTTAAAATCCTGTTACCATTGATTTGAAAATGCATTAAAACTAATTTTTGGATAAATCATCCTGCCCATAAATGTCTTGTATCTTGAGGAATGAGAAATATTGATGCGCAGTAGATTGTCGCCAATTGGACAGGGGGTATCCAATTTCATTTACTTTTATTCTGATCACTTCACACTGGGCATGTCTGGTCAAAAATTACTGATTCACCCCTGACCTTAGCAGGGACAATTGGCTGACCCTTTGGTCAGTTCTTTTGAGGTCCGGTAACCCAAAATCACAACCTGTAAAGTAAACCAATTAACTTCTTAATATTGGGTTAGCTTTATAATGGAGCACTCTAATGACAGTGAAATTATTTGGGGATATCATGAATTTGAGAAAAGATTTACGATTTTCTCACAAATGAAAGGAAAACATAAGAGTACAAAGCCAAGCTTTGCCCAGTGCCTGGTTTCAGGAATGATTGAAGGAACGACCAAGATGTCCGACCATCTGCTGGTCAGTGAGAGAGGCTCATATTACAAGTCTCTCGTGATCTATGGTATCTTTTTATGGTCAGAAACCATTTAAATTCTCCCCCCATTCTGCAGTCTAGCTGTCCGTTCCAGTTTATCTCACTACAAGAGTCTTTGTGTCAGTCCTTTCTCCCGCTGGAGTTTTTTAGGTCCCCCTTAAAATTGTTTTTGTCCCCATATCTAAAGCCTCCTTTTGATCTATAAAGATACCTGTAAATTATTTTCCTTGATAAGGTATTTTGAATGTGATTAGATTCAATTATCTCATTTTAAATTGGGAAATTCCAAAACCACTAGGGACATTTACCAGCATACACACATATCAACTATAATAGAGCATTGAAAAAAATCTGAATTTTTAACATTTGTTGGAATTTTGTAAGTGTTTTCTATTTCAAAGAATGATTTAAAACAAAAGTGGAATGTCAGGACCTTCATAATTTATGGTAACTTCAAAGGCAATTTACAGCAGGTGGATTTAGGTTAAGTACTGTTAAAAATATCAATTTTCCCAGACGGATGCCAAAGAAGTTATAAATTCAACTGAAATCTATAAATGCAAATGATATTTTATTTTTATAAGTTTCAAAATAAAATAAATATCAATTATTGTGATGGATATGGCAATTTTAAATCAGACAAATTGAATTCCAAAGGCACTTGAAAACACACAACTGAAGAAAAATGTTTTTCAGCTATGACACATTAAATGGCAAATAAATTGATGAGCAATTTTTAAATGGACATTTATTCAGCAGATATCATATAATGTTCCATCATTTTTATGTTTGAATGGAGTTATTTGGTGGTCATTTTATTGATGTCTGATACACTGTTCAAAGGGAGATGTGTCTCACAAAGGTTAATGTATGATTCATAAGTCTAGAGTAAATGCAACGAGCCATTTTATTTCCAATTAAGTATTGCAGTTAAAAATGGACTTCAATAAAAGCAAGTTTCGAGAATGTTAACTTCTTTGTATTTGGGAAGTTTTTACACATGTAAATGACAAGTGAACAGGGTAGCAGGGTGATCTACTCAGTACGGCATTATTATCAGCATTCATGTAACTATTAAGGTTTTAATAAAGTTTTTAAAAGTCTGAGATTTTAATGATATTGAAATTGTTTGGATTGCTTTGTTGGACCTTTTATGATGGTTTTACATTAAGAAATGCATTAGTTTGGAGATTTGGCTTTGATTGAATGTATTGAAGTGGTTTAAATATAGGTGATTGGAAATGAATTTTATTGAAGTTTTATGAATTTGTGAAATTGAAAATTGGTTCAAAAATTCATGTAAATGGTATCATTTCTTTTTATTTTTAAAATTTTGTATGATGTCCCTTTAAAAAAAAAACATCTGCTTTTTGTACATACATGTTTATGATTTTTTTTAAAATGAAAAATCAACTTCTTTTTAAGTTCTTTATAAAATAGTGAATTTTTGTTATTGCTATATTTTTTAAAATTGAATTTCACTGATTTAAATATTATTAAATGAATTTAATTTTATTCACATTAATTGATGTTTTCTTTGTATCATGCATTTGTTCTTGGTCTATCTTTAAGTGAGGGTGGGATGAAATGCAGGAATTAGACAAATAAAGAAATTTATTAATGTTGTATATTAAATTGAATGTAGTGGGTGCTTTTTTATTCTGGATAAAAATTTAAAGAAACATTTTGTACATTAAAGGTATAGTTCATCAATGGTATAGTTAAACTTATGTGGTATAGCAATATATGACCCTAGACTGTAGTCATGACCTTGACCTCAAGTTAAGACTGTTGTTTTTACATTACTTATTTTGAAAAATTATGCATTAAAGTCTGCATACCAACTACAAATTAAGAATTCAAAGTTCTAAGTTCATGTAATATTGTCTTTAAAAACTGTCAAGATAAAATCTCTATGACCTTGACCTTAAAGATTCAAGACAATACGAAACGATTGGCATTTTGTCATGAGATTTTCACTAAATCTAGAGATTTTGAGATAGTATGTTAGATTTCAAAATCACTCAGCTGTTTTTATTCCCCTTTAGAAGTTCAAGAAGAAACTTGTAACCAATGAAAGCAGATCATTTTCAGTGTCAACTAAAGTAAAAGTGATTTTTGGTGAAAAGGTTGTTTTGAAATGTTATTCGTGTAATTGTAGTCATTAAAGTTGTTCCACATCTTTTCACCGATACATAAATATTTGACATCTATGTGAAACAATTTTAATCAAATTTCAAACTGTACTTTAGAACACAAAAGATTTTATTGAGCCATGATGAATGTCACAAACAGGGTTTAAGTTGCCTTTGTTAACCCTCATTTGCCAGAGTAGGTGGTCTGATTTGTTGGGTTTCTTGTACACCTATGCTAGGACATTGTCTGACTATGTTGTTGGGACAAGTCTTACAAGGTTTTTGCCTTCTTTAGACTGACCTTTGACAGGTACTTGTCCATCAAGTGCTAAATGTATTTTTGGAGATTTACAAAGAAATGACCAACCTTGTTATTGTTTTTTATAGGTGCAAAAAAAGCAAAACATGATAAACATTTTAGAATAATATCATAAGGTTGTAAAAGACAAATTGAGGTAGCTACCAATTAGATTCTTCATAAAAAAGTAATTTACTAGTAGTTTTTTTTAAGTTTGATACATTTATATTCTATACATAATTTTTCTAAATATTTTCAATTAATCCATAGAAATATACTTTTGGTGAAGTAAATTCTTAAAAATAATTGTCCTATTGAAGTACAAGATTATATATTAACTCAAATAAGTAATTGCCTGTATACAGTTCTATTTGGGACTAGCACTGTACTTAACATCCATTTTTCTTCACAGGTGGCAGCTTTCTGTGATGTGGATCCCAAGAAGATCAAATGTGGAGTCTATACATATCATGAATCTAAGGTACAGAATATTATATCATGGATATGTTGAAGTGATTTGGATGCCCAAACCACTAATTCTTTCAAGTATTTTTTACCCTATATACATTTCCAAAAAAGGGTTCTTGGATATATTTATATAGAAGTTTTTCCTCAGTCCCATCGAGTTTGAGTCAATGAGGTTTGACTGTATTTACATGTATAGTTATCACTCACAACAGAGTTGGAGGGGAAATAGAATGACCTGCCTGCGTGTGTTTGTTTGTGCTAGTAAGATAGTGATGTGCAAAACAAAAGTGCGCAATTAACATCGGAATTGATGTCAAAGCTGCGTTGATTTATAGGTATGCTATCTGTGAGGGGATGCTCTGCTTTGTGCATGGTGCCGATTGAACTCATTCTCGACTCTGAGTGCAACAATTGTCAAACCAAAAGTAACAGAAACAATCTTCACCTCACTAAAGTATTATCATACATTTATTTTTAAAATGTTTCAGTTATGAACAACTATTTCTGCAATTTTGATTACTTATCTGCAGAAATTCCTAATTCAGAACAGCATATTGATAAAATACAGTGTAAATTGCTACAATAATGCATTGTAACATTTTCAAGAATTCAGACAGATTCCCTTTCAAAAATTGCTTCAGCTATAATTAAATGACATGATTAACTTGAAAATATGAAAGATAAAGGTTAACTGAATGACTAGGGACTTAATGGGTGTAATTAGAGATCTTCAGCCAGGACAGTGCTGCTGGGAGGTGTCAACACAAACACATTTGATCAAATTAAAAACCTATGAATCCCTCTAAGCAACAGCTTCATATTTTGCAAGGAATAGATTTGAATAGATTTATTACAATAAAAATATTCATATTTCACTGAAAACTGCAGGGGGTTGTTAAAACTTGTGATCAAGAAATAATGGCAAGAATTTTGAATAAAGCACTGGACATGTTTGAAACAGGGTTCAGATGAAAAGTTGACTTCTGCTTGGGTGATTGACAATAGCTTGCCTGCAGACTCTGTTTCTACAAAACACAATGCAATGCATTGTCATGGTGTTCAATATCAAACAAATATTTGGAGGCTCATTTCAGGAGGCACCCGATGCTGTCTGATCTTGTCCAGGGACGGCCATTGTTCTTTTGTGGAAACTTAACATTAAGAGATCAAAACGAGCGACATTTATGTCAGGGAAAGAAAAAAAATGCCAACTGAATTTGGTTAAACGTTGTCAAAATGATTGTACTAGGTGCCCCACAGTGTTTGCTTAGATCTTTCCATTATCACATGAGTATTGACAATTCATTACAAATAAATCTTTGATTATTCTTCCATCTCTGTTTACAGATGAACATAAAACCCACAGTTCCAATTGTTCATTTCCAGTCTGCCAAGCCACCATTCATTATCTGCATGAAATTGGTAAGAAATGTGCATGTCCTTTAAAACTAATTACAATTTTTACACTTGTAATTTGTGTCTCAATTTTAAACCCAATAAGGGAACAAAAGTTCCAATCACTGTCAAAATGTTTGCTGTCCAATTTATTCTACTTTAGCGCAATTACAAATATGTGTATATAATGAAGATATATGTAGTAAATTGAAGTTCTCAACCATTCGGCCCATATTCTAGTAGGGTGATTTTAGTGTGCTTATTGAAAACGAAATAATTATTGATATACAGTTGCAAAGACATAAATACATCTCTGAAAGATCCCAAAACTCTAGCCGAGTTAAAGTTCCCAAACTAAAATTTCCCGAACTAAAATTTGAACTGGAGCACTGTGCCATTTTAAGTTTGATAGAGGACAATGCTATTTTATATAGTTTGTTTTATTTTCCTTGTTACTAATGAAAAGAATTATAAGGTGAATTGTTCTACAGGCATCAAATAATTTTAAATAAAACACCCAGAATAAGATATGCTATTGACAATTAATACAATTAAATGCCAAATTTTTTTTTCAAATCAATTTTGCAATGTTTTTAAGCATTTAACTCATCAATTTAGATAAACTCATTCCTGATTGTGAAATTTCACTCAAATTAATGACAAGCATTTCCACAACATTCCTTTCGTATTAAATTCTCTTTGCTATATTGTTTCATCTTTTAAAATTTATTGAATTAGATAATCAGTAATCAAGCTTATGTTATCCATTCTGAATTATTTGCAGGGCTTAACAGGAGGAGAATTTGAGAAGAATCTGGAATCCCTGAATCTCAAAGAAGGAGTTGATTTCTTCCATTTCAACTAGGAAATCAGAGAAACAGTTTATTAGGCTGTTTGGGCAGGGCTTTCGACTTCAGACTTTATAAAAAACAAGGAGGACTGTTTCACTAAAGGGTGATTCACATACATGTGAAATACATAATTTAGGAATTGAAAATGCAACAAAATCTTAAATGATTTCTGAGAGTAGATAAAGAGATTTCAATGTGCAAAAAAGGTTGACTTCAATGTTCAAAAATTGAAGAAATTTCAATACATATACTATAGGTCCATTTGCAATATACAAATATTATTACCGGTATTGTCCTAAAAGTTGATAGATATGTTATGAAGAAGACTGTTAGAAATCAAAAATTACATTTTGCCTGACAATCATGAGAGGTACATGTATAACCTGTACTCCATTATTGGAGGAGGAAATGATGTTGGTATCTGAAGCTTTTGTAAAGAATTCAAAATACTTTTCATAATAAACCTTGAAACAAAAAAATGTCGGTCTTGAGTATTTTGTCTTATATATTCCATTGCCAACCTTCACCTCATAACAATGAATTTTTCGGAGAAACAATGAATTGTTTGATCAAGTATGGTATATGGATTGCTGTATCAAGGGCAGTAACTCTCTTAATCAAACATAAAACAAACAAAACAGTGCATACATTTATTTCTAAATTTCATGTGAGAGTTGCTTTGAATTAAAAAAGCAGACAAATCATAGCATTTTAGGCATTTAACATTAAAAAAAATAAAGCATATATTTATATTTTGCCAGCTGATACAGGGTTTTCTTAGTATCATTTTTTCCATCATAACCTGAATTGTGCATACATAGTATTGTTGCCAACCTGTTACATTGCTACTAATGGAACATTAAACAATGTACATATCACATGTACTGATAATAAGCTCCAATTTATAGCATAAACTATACAGCAGATGTACTGCTCATGAAATTGATGTACTGCTGACAAAACTGCACTTTCTCTAATGCAAAACAATCCCTGTGCTACTATATATAGCAGATTCTCTCCATCATTTATAATGTACAAACTTCAATTACAATTGCACAAAACTGCATAAATGTCATTTCTCAGTCAAATAATTTGATCTTACATATGCTCTTTAAACAGAATATAGATGACAATTTATCAATTCATGAGGTCACAAAAACTGTAAGGTTTCGATAAACCTTCACTTTGACAATAATAATACTAATTGTTCTATTACAAACCAACAAGTCATCCCCTTAACCAGACTACAGGAGAATCGCCCTGTGTCAGCCTGGTCATATAAAAGTCATCAGGGAGAGAAAAATCAGTTTCAGTGATATGCCTATGAAATCATAAATTCCTTCAAACAGAATTCAGTTCATAAGTAAACATTAACATAGTGTATACTGGAATCAATTTTTCCCTCACCGAGCTTTGCCCCTATAATGTCTTAAGACCTACTAGAAATATATAAGAGGTCTTCTTATACAAACATGATCACATATTTAACTTGCTAACACTTCCATTTCAATCAAAAAACTAGGTGTTACAATACAGAAATTGTAATGATCATAATCTATTGGATTGGGTAACACACAGAATTAAATTTAACACTGTTCATCATAGAATATCATATCTTCAATTTCTCACATCAGTTGCTTAACTGAAAAAAATCATTTTTTAGAAAAATAAAACTGTAACAACTTCCATTTTTTGGATCACAAAACTAAGCAAACACAAAACATGCAAGCCAATTGCAACGAAAATATATCAGATGTGTACATGATACACAATACTAACAGTATCACTGACACCCCAGGTCCATAGGGACAGTGAACTTGGCTGCGATTCGGGGCTTGCGGGGGGATTTCTTTGGTGACTCTGACTTGTCACTCAGTGTGCTGGAATCTGATTTAATGGAGCTGGTTTCCAGAGGCAAGTCGTGTCGAAACATGTGGTCATATGACATCTCCTCTGAAGCAGCACAGGTATGCTCCAGCTTTCCCCTGCTGGGATTTTTGGGTGGCAGGTGGAGGGCTTGTAAGATCTGTTTAGCCGCCAGCTCTTGTAGAGGGGATGACTGGTACTTGGGTCCCTTAGCATTTCTCTCAGCATCCTCTCTCTGTGACTTATCTGCTGACACAGATGGACTAGATTTATCTGCACCTTTCGTTTCCTCTGACAGGTTCTTCTTAAATTGGTCGATCTCGTTCCCATTGATTTTCCACCATCCACTGCCCTTGATTAGGTCGAGTAACTCTTGACTGGCGGACTTTTTCTCCTCTTTAGATCCGGGCTCAGTGGAGGGAGGTCTTGAGATCAGACACTGTGCAGCCAGCTGAAGGAGCTCTGATGTTGGTGTCCTACAAAGGGGGGTCTTCTGTCCCTTCTTTTCTTCTTCACTTAGACTCCATATTCTCTCTGATATATCTGAGGTAAAAGGTATTTTTTAAGTTTTCTATTTTTTCAATTTTTTTTAATAACAAAGATCTACATTCAATGTACTAATCATACACCTTTTAACAGAAAAAAATTCAGAATAATCTTGAAATTGATATATATCAATCTGTCCTATTGTTTGCAAAATACTGTTTCATTGTCAATACCTGTGACACTTTCAAACTTCATGAGATCTAACTGTCTTGCAACAGGACGCAGGTCAGGGGAGGGGATGGCTGAAGGAACTGGGGCCCCCAGCAGATCTACAGCAGGTCCTGTTGAATGCTTCATAATGTCCTCCACTGAAAGATGCAGCACAAAACTGTTAAAGTATTGATTTTGTGATTATGAAATTAACTGTGTATCTACATGTAAATGGTTACATCGAGTTCATAATATCAGTAATTATATATTATTCCCAAACAGTAAGATTTTTAAAATGGGAATTTTACTAAACATACAGATGATCAAGAGAGAAAAGTAAACAGGGCAGTAGTAAATATTGTCGGAATCAAATGCTCATGACTTTAAAGTGAAAATAGCTATTTTGCAATTAATGGAGGACACTTCATTTAAACTCTTTGATATTTCTGCTTAACTTCAATGTTTCCGTGTAAGAAGTTGTTTACCTTCTGGGTGTGTATCTGTAACCCCTGAATCACTGGATTGAGTATCGGAATCTGCAGATGGTGACAATCTGACAAGGCCAGAGATAGGGGACCTACTCCCTGTTTGAAAAATTCAGCATAAGAGTCTTCATCAAAAAAATCTTTTGACATATGCATTTAGAAAAGACAAGGACATAAATCAATCAGGCATACCTGAAAATTCATCTGCCAGCTGTATAAATTTTCTTTGGCCTTTCCCTCCAAAAGTCACAATGTGTGGGATAGCCTGAAGTAGTGCCTCAATAGTGGGAAATCCATACAATGCCGGTTTGATCTCGATTCCAAAGTTCTCCCTGAAGGCCGAGTCAAAGTGAGACACAGCTATCTGTGTGTGATTGTGAAGCAGGATACGAGTGTCCCTGGCAAAGATCTGTAGGGCGGTCAGACTAATGACCTCCGACTCATCATCCCCTGTCACCTGTACACAGCAATAAATATGTGAAAGGGAGGTAACTCTTATTAAATAATCACCTTTTACAGCAGCAAATAGGCTTAAAGGGAGGTAGCTCTTAACAAAAGTAGTCTGAATGTAATAAGTAATAGATAAATCCTTGAAAATCTTTATGATTTTCCAGTGTAGATCTTAAGCTTTATTAAAGAAATTTTTATAAATAAATGTTTAATAGGATTTACCCACCTGCACATAGTCGAGTAATTCCTCTTTGATCTGCTTGATGTTACACTCTTTACCATGTGTAGATAGATAGCGACTACAGAGCTCCATCAGGGGAAGACTTCCACCACTCTGATCCATCAACAACTGAAGCACCTGCTTGGCCAGTGGAGGAATGGTATTACGATCTGTCAACATCACATACTTACAGCGATTCACCATCTCCACCTACAGTTTTTAAGGAATAACACTCATTTTAAAAAGTGTTGAACTAGATTTAGACAAACTGAATTTGGACACAGGTGCATGTAAAAACTCCAATTTCAATTTGATTTTAAAATGATTTTCATAATTCATATGAACAAAATACATGTACATGATCATCAAGCTTCTGAGACATAAAATTGTTGCATATCATAGGTTTTAAATTTAAAATGTCAACTGTTACTTCAAACACCAAATTGTACCAACAAGTACCTTGACAACATGTTTCAGCTTATTGAGGAGTTCTTCCTCACAGTCCACTCCAAAGTCATGTAGAGGGATGTTGAAGCCGTAGTGACAAGTAAAAGCAGACATGAGGTGATGGAGGGCTACACATTCCTTCTTCTGGGCTTTTAACAGACTGATAATCTGTTCAGCCAGGATCTTACGAAGCTCAGGTTCTGTCAGGTAGATCAACCTTTCCTCACCCTCCTCCTCAATCTGTAAACAGGTATTAGTTATAAACCCAAGTCATTATCAATAGTAACTTGCACTTTGTTAGAAATGGTGAAAAAAAAATCCAATATAAATCTTCAGACTTATTTCCTTTATCTAAATTACCACATGCAGTAACAGAAAAAAAATCATGAAGAAAAAATATTTGATTTGAGTTTTTCCATCCTTTGAATATTCATACTTGAACACCTATGCTTGGAATATAAGTCATTCATCAGTGAGGTTGTCTCCTGTACCCACTATAAATGATACTTACACTTACCTCAACAACATGGGGGATAGCCTCAAACAGATCCAGAAGTTTACTGAAGCCATAATCCGACACTCTGCATTGTCTTCCAAAGTGATGGTGATAGGCTGGGATGAACTTATTGAATGGCATCCTACACTGGGGGTTGTGCTTTAGAAGATCCACCACTTCCAAGGCAAACTGTTTAGTTCTCTCTATCTCTTCTGGACTCTGGTCTATAATAAATAAACATAAAAAATGAACATGAAACTTAATGTATCAACCCAATATGTAGTAAATGTACTCAATGCCCTATCTCAAATAATTACAACATTTTTATAGTCAAGATGTTGAAAATTTAATATTAAATATTTCATAGATATTTCATAACTTACAAGATTAGAAACACTTCGAATTCTGTGATCGACAAATTTTGATCGGCTTTATATTCACACCATTTTCATGATTGAAGTCAATGTAATTTGTTAGTGTAACTACCTTTTCTGGTCTTTCTTATAAATTTAAAAAACAAATAAATAAAATTTTGAACCTTTGGATTACAAAATTATTTGTTAATTTTGAACCAAAATTATTTTCGCTCAGTCAGATATAAAACTTCCTATTAAACCACATACCTTTTCTTGGGAGAGTGACAGTACATTCCTTTCCTTCGTTCGAGACCTGCAGCATACAGTTCACACAAATAAAAATAATCTTCATCAAGAACTTAATTTGGCGATTTCATGTAAAAGTAGATAGAAATTTGAAACTTCATGTAGTTAACCATTATGCTCTAGACCTACAGAGCTAACCTACCACAATAGAAGTGGCTGGCAGCTCAGACAACAGGTCATCCAGGTAAGCCATTCCATACTCTGCCACATCAAACCTCTTATTGAATGCCAGAGCTGGATAGGAAAGCAATGAGAAAATAAACTTTATCCAAAGTCGATAATAAGACATTGAAATGTTTTTTTTTTTTGTATGTTATTGCACTGAATACTTTTGAAAACTCCTTACAAAATGCCTCAGGAATGGCGGAGGCATACAGCTGTTTGCCTGGCTGTGACTTGAGTATTTTGGTGAGGTCCGATGTAAATCGACGTAACTGAGCCTTGTGACTCAATGTCAGCATCTTTCTGTCCCCTGTTCCCAGTACCTACAATATAAATTAATTGGTACCATCATTCAAAGACTACAGAATCTCAAGTATAATAAATGAAATGCTTCTTTAAAAATTGTTCATCCTTCATGATAAGTTGAGATACAGCCATGAGATCAGGAGAGTTACAATATGTCTCAGTTTCCATGTTCTGCACAATGTTTATTATTTGTGAATTCAAACTCAGAATTTGCAGATACACGTAATAGTACTACAAATGTATTGGACATGCAATCTTGAATAACTTTTTTTTTTTTAAATTTTAAACTGTTTTACATCTACATTATTTCAGCATAATATACAGATTTGACAAGAATTATTCATGATACAGGACTCAATCTTATGTCTGTTATAAAGTGTCTACATTTCTTGCAAAACTGAATGTTGTTACATATTCAACTAGTATATTGTACTTGTACAACATGAGGAATGGCCTCAAACAGATCCTTGAGTCTGTTGTAGCCATAGTCTGCCACACGACACTGCCTGCCAAAGTAGTGGTGATAGGAGGGGATGAACTTGCTGCATGGCATGCGACACTGGGGGGACTGCTTCAGAAGGTCCACCATCTCCCGGCTGATCTGACTGAACTGCTGGCTCAGAAGGGGGCTGCTGCAGCTACGGCTCTGTTCAGCTGCTATAAAATACACAAAATTCCAGAAAATATCAATCACAAATGATTGAAAATCAGATTTTCCTCAAATTATGAACTCTGTAGTAATACATCCAGTTTCACCATGTGGACACTAATGAGATGATTACTTGACATCAAAAGTAAATAGCAACTATGTAAGCGAAAGTTAATAGTTTTAACAAGCAAAGTTTTTTCAAAATGTATACTGATCTAAAGTTTCTCTGTTTAATATATACTCACCGTCAATAGAAACGCAACACCCTAATTTTAGGGGTGAAAATTATATACGGGATATAACTATGTACCAAAAAGTCTTGGCATCTATATTTGCCAAATCAGTTATTTAACGTCAATGTAATTTGTTATTCCATTTTCGGAAGTTGATTTTTAGCTCCCTGAACAGAAAAACAAAAAATAGCATTTTTAATAAAATTACAAAATATTTTGGGTTTTCAAGGTTTTGTACCTGTTAATTATAAGTCTTGTATTAAACCACATACCTTTTCTTGGGAAAAATATCCTTCCTTTCCTTCGTTGTGATGCCTGTATTTTACAAAGTACACACAAAGCAAAAATTTTCATTGCTAATGTTGGAAATTTTCAAAATAAAGAAATTTGAGAAATTGATGCAAATATACACTACATAACGACTTTTCCACATGTGTTTCAAAAGCATGAATGACAGTTCATTGACCGGAAGTCCAAGGGTTACTCAAACCTCTACGCCAAGTTAGAGAAAATTGAGAAAATAAAACTTTATCCAAAAACAGGCATTTAATAAAAGGACATTGAAATGTTTTTTTTTTTGTATGTTATTGCAGACATTGATAAACTTAATGCATGGTAGGCATACAGCTGTTTGCCTGGCTGTATATTGTGATGGCGGATGTGACTCTTCGTAGCACGTTTTAATTGAATGTCAGGGGGGATGTTTTAGAGTTATGTGTTACTTAATAAGGTTTAAAGATAAGATTAAGAATGAATACATAAATGTAAAAAGTAAATTTACAAAACAATGATACTTCATTTGAACTTTAAATGTTATCTTTAGACCTTAGAAAGTAACACATAACTTTTCCATCCCCACTGACCATTCAATTAAAACGTGCAGATACATGTAATGTACAACATAATTGCAGCCCTTGAATAACTTTTTTTTTTTAAGTTTATCAATGTCTTACATCTGAGCAAATTTCAGCATATTCTACAGATTTTTTAAATGCCTGTTTTTCATGATACTGACTCAATTTTCTCTAACTTGGCGTAGTGTAGTAACCCTTCTTGCAAAACTGAATGGAATATTCATTATATTGCTTTTGAAACATATGAATGGCCCAAACAGATTATGTAGTGTATATTTGCATCATAGCTCTCCCTTTTCTTTATTTTGAAAAATTCTTACATAAGCAATGAAAATGCGTGCTTTCATGTAACTTTGGGGGCATCACATGGAAGAGAAAGAAGGATATTTTTCCGGACTTTTAGTACAAGACTTATGATTAACAGGTACAAAACCTTGAAAACCCAAAATATTGACAATAATTTTATTAAAAATGCTAATATTTTATTTCTGTTGAGCTAAAAATCAACTTTCCGGTCATGGAATGAAATACATCCAGTTTCAACCGTTAAATAACCGATTTGGCAAAGTAAAAGATGTGTAACTTTTTTGTTAATACATAGTTATATCCCACGTATATAATTTTCACCCCTAAAATTAGGGTGTTGCGTTTCTATTGACGGTTTAATATATTTTCTGACAGCTTGAAGAGGTTGCACAAAGAAATTTTTCTTGACAAGAACTTCTCATTTTGCAATTGATCCTCAGAATTAATTTCAATTATCTACTTACTGATCTGAGACGGAGGTTTATTTTCGGCCCACTGTATCTTTTTGACACCTGAGCTGGACACTTGTATCTGGATCCCAGGAACACAGCTGATCAGGTGTTCTAGGGGTACCCCTCCATCTAACACCTCCGAGATGGCTGAAAACTCAGCCCCATAGCAGGCTGAAAAGCTACAACAACGAAAAGGAAGAATAACAAATAGGGTAACAGACCTTGGAGGTCAAAATCACACAATAAGACATTTTTCCTAGAAATTCTCTCCTTTATAGTGTTCTTCTGTCTTAAAATACCAAAATTAAAACTGGATTATTGTACAAGTATTTACAAACCCCATCAGGGGCATGTTTCCCTCATGACTAAGCAACAAGGTGTGAACATCAGCAGCAAATGTTTTTAGGCGTATTTTGACTAGAGGCAGCATGCATCTGTTGACAGCCTCGGCGTAAGCTACAGACCCCTCAGGACAATGTTTTAGGCAGACAGGCTGCTCAAGGATCTCAGTCATGTCCCCATCCCCAGGGTCAGAGGAGGGGGTCGAGGACAAAGGAGGGGAGGAGTTTGCCAGGTAGACCATCCTTCCGGCCCCTCCCTGCTCCCTGATTTCAATGGTGTCTCTCATCTTATACAGCTCTGATACACTGATGGTCCTGTGGTATCTGAATAAAATTATGGTTATGTCATCTATTGCATCTCTAAGCATTGTGATTTAGTTTGTATTTATGAACAATCTTTGTTGTTAAATAATTAATGTTATCAAAATCTTTACCTCTTATCAAATAGTTCTATGAATTTGAACAAGGGCAAAACATTTCCTTTTGCTTCTGAGAGAAGAGCTACTGCTTCCATTCTGCAATCAAGAGAACAAAATGTTCAAAAATATTTTTCATAAAGAAGGATAAAATTTTCATTTTCAAAAACACAATAAAAATGATAAACCACGTAAATTCCAAACCTGGTAGTGGAAGCTGGGCGCTGTGTATCTTCATTCTTTAGGGTCACATGGATTCGTTTGTATCCAATTTTTTTTCGGTGGAACTGTGAAATAGCAAACCTAGCCTCCTCTATACTAGGAACCTTAACCATTCCTAGACTAGTGTTATCTGGCTGTGTCTTCACATGAACATTCAGAACCTGTTTAAAAAGAAAATTTCATTTCTAATTTGAAATTTAAAAAAATTGGTTTGTATAATTTGATATTATGTAAACTTTAGACTGTATCTTAAAAAGTACATTATAATATTATTTTGCCATTTTAGGAAAATACATCGATCAATAAATCAAACTCATATCTTTAATTAAATACACATTTTAAAAATAAAGCAGATTTTGTAAGAGTAATTAGATGTATTTTAACTATATTTATTTAGACTTTACATACCCTAACATGAGGATGAAAAGTTGTAAACAAGATTTTCCTCCACTCCTTAGCGCTGATGTTATAGTCAAGGTTAGACACCATCAGCTCTACCGGTCCGGTCAGGGAATCCCAGTCCCCCTGGTCAATCTCCATCGAGGAACCGCTAGAAGAACTGGGACAAGGTGAGGGGCTGGTGATTGGTTGAAATGTGTACGCATTCCTGTCATTGTAATCTCGATCTGATTCATAGTTTCCATAATTTTCTCTGTTTCTGTGATCATACATTGGTTGCATGGATTCATTGGGATATCCATTTTGCTGATTTCTGCGAAAACTTTGTGGGTTTCCTTCATATAAGCTTCGGTAAGAACTATATGAAGTAAAACTACGATTGTTTTGTGAACCATAGTGATAGAAACTATTAGAGACATTGTAACCATGGTAATTATTGTAATCTGGGGGATGATGGGAGTAGTTTTGTCTATTTTGGTAGCCATGGTAATAATTATAGTGGGAGTAGAATGGTTGAGGGGGCGTGTGGTGTTCCTCCGACTGCCACTGTCCCTCCTGATACAGCTGCTGTTGTAACATCAGAACGTGGCGACTCCCTCTGTTGTCCTTTGAAAATTTATCCACAACATTTTGTATTCTTGTTGATGTTACATCTTTGTCAGTTGAAGTGGTAGCCATTTCCCTTGGCTGAGATTTTATTTTATTTTCCTTTTCTGATTTAGGAGATTTCTTTTCCTCTGATTTTTGTCTTTGAGTATTCTTAGACTTTGTATTTTTTGATCCTGTTTGTGAAGTCGGAGATGGTACTTTCTGTGACTGATATTCATTGGAATCTGAAATTCAATTTGTTAGAGGAACATCTCAACACAAAATATTGGGTATATGATGGGTTTTTTTCTTTCTCAAATTTTCATTATAAGAAGAATCGCTTCTCTTGTTGTATAGTGTAACTTTTCTTCTACCAGTTTATATCACACTTCAAATCGTCCTCCATTGAGTATACACTTTCCAATTAAGAAAAAAACAACCCTTCCTCAAAACATAAAAAAGATGAAATTTTAAACAATAACTTTGCTATTATACTGGTAAAATGTCAAAAAAGACTTACCATTACTATTGTTGGAGTTACTTTTGGAGGTTTGAGGGAAGTTCACTTTTATCTTATTCCCATACACATCCTCTCCCTCCATTCTAATCCTTGCTCTGAAAGAAAGGTAATGCTCCAAGAACTGATCAGGGCTTACAGTGAGTTTAATTCTGATTGGTTAAAACTGTTCATGTTTACACATTTAGACAAGTTGTCTCTCTTGTTAGAGAGTGTTTGATTAGTACTCTGGTGTGGTGGATCCAGGAATATGGGTAAATTGTATTGACTACAGAAATTGGTCAGTTTTTATTTGTAGTTTGCTGCAAACACTTTTATCACATTTACCACGTTCATTTATTTTCATTATCTTCAACACTTTGATATTATTTTATATGATTTCAAGGTTTTTTTTTTTTTATAAAATTCACCAGTATAAATATTTATCCATTCAGAAATTTATGATTGTAAAATTAGAACCTTTTTATTCTTGTGTGGTATTTCTTTAATTTGACCAAGCTTGGTATGTTTTAAATAATACAAAAAATATACACATATCCTGAATTATATGCTTAGTTTGTTAGAAAAAAGAGGGAGGTCTTTACAATAAAAGTATTATAATTTCTGAAATCTTAGAGATATATTCAAAAGAAATCCATCTTATAGTTCATATCTCAGGACAATATTAGCATTGTAGGGTAGTGACAATGACACATACAATAACTTAAAAAACACAACAATTACCAGCAAATTCACTTTCACTGCACAACTGGATATGTAAAATTCATTTATATTTAAATCATTGAAGTTAGGGTCAAGATCTATTTAAATAGTTAAGACAAAGTTTTTGGGCCTGATCAATAATGATGTCACAATTAGGTCAAACTTAAATCATACTGACTTTAACACATAAAATTCTTTACAGATGTATATCAAAATGAAGCGTGAGTGGACTTAACATAATAAGAGTTCTGGGGGAAAAGTGTCTAAAAAACACATCACATGTGTTTAGTTGTGTTTACCAAAAAAAATATGCCATGATACATGTATACCTTTTTTAATTAACCAAGATATCAAAATTTTTCTTTCATTTCTCAAGCTGAGAAATATGTAGGCTCCTTTTATTTATTAAATCGTGACCTTAAGTAATTAACTTATTATTTCTTGAAACACCATGTCCTTAAGGTCAGATGACACGTTCCTCAAATATATGTTTTGTATTTCTTGGTATTATATAAAAATAATTCATATTTGTCCTTTTCCTCTGATTTCTACATTGTTTTCGAAATGATTTTAAATATAAATACACCAAAAATTGTGATATAGGCCACTTAAAAGATTACCCATAAAGGTTATATAAGAAATATGACCCTGTGGTATCTTGTCCAAATGCCTGGTAAGGTACCCTAATTTTTTGTGTGAAAACTTATTTAAGTACATATACTTCAAAGAAAAATTCTTTTATTGTGTGAACCTTAACCATTATAAAAATATTCCTAGATTCTCAATTTTATACCCCCGCCTCAATCTTTTTTATTTCTGTTTTTTATATACTTCGAAGAAAATGATTTTGACAGCAAAAATACATATATATATTTTAAACAAGGGTCATTGGTTGAAAAAGTGATGTGAAGTAAGAGATAATTGAACCTTTACTATGACTTTTATTCGATGTACCAGGTCAATAAAAAATCTGCAAAATTGAAAAAATAAAATATATCAAAAAAAATTCATAATTTATTTATTATGGCCTAAGTGATGTATTAGTTCATCAATTCATAATTCAAGAATCAATAGATGAGTGGTAACTTACTTGACTGCATCGTTGTGACAGGAGAATCGTAAGACAGCTGTTTCCTTGGAGACACAGACAACCCTTCCTCCACAGTTTACGGACAAGGTCTTTAAGCGATTCTTGATTTTCTTTTCGCTGACATTACGAGGCAGTCCTGTCACTTCTAATTCTAATCCTCCATCCTCAACCTAAAAAATAAGGAGCATCAAATAAGGAATATTTCAAGTATCTCTTTTTTTCTTTGAATTTCTAGAATATTTATTTGAATAACATACATGTATCTACATCCACATATGTTAAATTTCTTTATACTGGAAAATCACTCATTTTTTGTTTAGGCTTTATTTTTTGTTGTTTTGTGGTATGTCAAGACCAACAAATTCAAAACCCTGAGAAATGTTAATTTTTTTCCTTATACATGTTCCATGAAATCTAATCTTCTTGAATCAATAATTTGACCCCCCCCCCCCCCCCCCCCCTGAAAAAGAAAAACAACTAAGTCTAAGTAAAATACTCAATTTTAATAATAATGGTATTTTTACACCTTATACAAGTAAAACAAAAATATTTTTATAATAAAAAATAAACAACGTATCGAAGAAAATTGTAAATCAAAATATACTTACAACTTCTGCTTGGCGTTTTGGAATATCTTTAACAAGTTCTTCATAAACAATGTTTTTAGTGGCACATATTTTCAGGGCCTCTGAAACTTTCCGGCTATGTATCAAAACAACATCAAATTTTTTTCTGTGTCTCAAATCAGATAAATCAGCAGCGAAATTTACATCAGCTGAAAAGAACATGCAACAGTTGTACATGTATATTATTATATATATAATCCTTCACTAATTAAGAACAATTCATATCTTCACCTACAGAACAATAAAAAGTAGGTTAGGGCTTATTATCAATAGGGCTGGGACGATATATCGAGATATCGTGATATATGTGAGGATGATACACATATCGATACATTTGAAAAAATATCGAAATATCAATATATGTTTTTCTTTGTTTATTTAAGGACCCTCTCTACACCAGTTCAAAATATTTTTTGGACATTGAGAAAATTTTATTGCATAAAGGAGCTAATATTGTGTTTATATATTTTCAATGTATGGAGCATGGCATTTACGATACACACAGTATTAGTAAATAGATATCACTGTTAATTACTTCAATAGAGAAAATACATGTAAATAACATGTTCAGTTAATTTATCCTGGCCTTTTAAAATGTTGAGAATACTTGAATTGATTACAAATTGAGTAATATTGTGTAAATATATATTTTTAGAATATAGTTCTGGGCACTTCTGTTTTCAGAACTCTTTGGTGTGCAGTGTAGAGAGGTTTCTTAACATTTGGGGTTTAATATATAAAATAAATAAATATAGATATGAAATAAATAATAATTAACACCACTTGAGTAAAATAATTTTGTTTTACAACATAAACAACTATTTTGAACAAGTTATTCTCATTTGCAAAGAAATACTTTTGTTATTTCAATGCCAAAAAAAAAAAAAAAGATTTTATGAGCATTTAAACATATCGTGATACAAATCATATCGTGGCTCAAATATCATGATACGTATCGATATAGAAAAAGTTGTATCGTCCCAACCCTAATTATCAACTAGAACATTCCAACTTGCCATAATACTGCAGTACATGTGTATTTTTAACTGCATTGCAATTTGAAATACAATATTTTAATTAACAGTTGAGACAAATGTTTCCTTATTTTATCAAGCTTCTTTTATGTTTGAAGTCCAACTTTACAATATCAACCTTACTGTCTGGCACCTTAAAGCTAATATTTTACATTAGAAATCCCATGCCCTTGCATTTTGCTATACACAGATTGCAATACAATATTTTTTGAAAACGAAATGCAACACATAGCAATATTAATATTTTTGTTCAGCCCAAAACTAGGTAGCATATAGTTCTATTTATCTTTCAGTAAATTATCAGGGTTTTTAACAAGGTTCCCGATATCTTATTTTGTAACTTAAAAGCATTTTTCTTACGGTCTTACCGGATAAATGTATTTCAAAGAATTTACTATTAAAGTACAAATTCTAATTTCATATCATTTTTCGAACAATGTTAATTTTTGATCTAATATTAGACGATGAAACATAATCTGAAGAGAGTAAAATTTACTTGTAAGATGTAAAGCCAAGCCTACTTACTGGATATCAGCACCACAGTAGCAGGTGGAGAGTGTGTGTCTGCGAACCGTCTCAGACTCTGTCGGATCTTATCATCAGCTGCATTCTTACTGGTGGCATTGATGTGAACAACATTAATCTGGCAAAAATAGTTATATTATAAATACCAATATCAGTTTTATGTCTATTATGACACAAACACCATAAAAAGGATTCATGTGCATGTATTAAACTTTATTTTACTTTGTATATAATGTAAAGTGAAATTTTTGCCTTATTTTATTTTTGCCCTTTTGCTCTACTCAAAAATGGGCAAATGTAAAACATTACAAACTCAATGAATAGTTATACAGCAAAATATTTCGTAGACAAAACTGCCTGGGCAAATTTAAAACAAGACAAAATTGTTTCCAAGTATGAAAGAGCAAAAATAACACTTAGGGACAATATTAAACCCTGTTTACAATTTCTAAATTTTGTGTACCTGAGCAAAATTGAGTTCCTGGATGACATCCTTACTTTCCTTGCCGGTGTCACAGACACACATAAACTCCACCTCCCTGTGGTCAGTAAACAGAGATTCTCGGATGACCTGGACAACAGATAGAGCAGATTTCCATCTGGGAACGGAGCAGTTTTCAATGTCCCAGAAGACTCCTATTGGTGGCAGACTGCCAGACATAATGTAGTGAGGAACTATTAAAAGAAAATTACAAAGAATTAATTTATAAAAGTTAGAAATATTAAAACTTCTAGTGAATGTGAATAAAATTTCAAGTATTAATTAGAGATAGATGTATAAAGTGTATTATATGGAGGACTAAAATTTCTATTGTGTTTAAAGTAAGAATATTTCAAAAGTGTATAAAATTTGTTTTTTAGCTATGTAGTTACTTACTTTATACGAAAATAAAGCAGTGGAAAGCATATGAGATGGACTGTGGTGAATAATTTCATTATAGAGCTTCAGGTGATGATGGGATTAAGAAATGAAGTCTCACTCCTACACCATCACCGGCCATCCTACAGACTCCAAACAACCTGAAAATATCATAAATCAGGAAAGTTAGTCACTGTTCATAGGCATACTTTGCTAAAAAATATATATGTACTCTGTAAATATGCATCCCATATTCAATTTCCTATTATTTGAGTATGATAAATCTAAGTAAGTCAAATCACAATAAAATTTCATGATATTCTTAGATCAACATCTTCAGCAGGTATATCTAAAGATAGAGAAAAGTGGGATACTTTTTTTATTTAAACATGAGCATTACTGTCTGTAGACTTTAATTTTTAATTACACAAATAATTAAATTTGATAATATAAAAATGGATATATTTGAAAAAATTTCTCAGAGGGGGAAAGTCATATACTTAAATCAATAAATTACGAAATAGGGATATATACAACTAAACATACATGTAAGTCAATATCAACATAAATTCAAATAAAATGTTAGAAAAATAAAATATGTACATACTAGATATCTCATGATAAGCGCTTATGCTACCCTGTCTGACAAATACATCAAACGTATTTCGGGGCACTCGGGACGCCTATTTGTGCCGCTCGTAATTTATAATATTTGGGGTCCTCGTAAAATTAAATTTGGGGCGCTCATTATGAACTTGGGTGCTGGCACAAGCACTGGAAGTTAATGTTAAAATTGAGTATGTGCATACATGCACAGCTACTATTTACATAATTAACTTTCAGTGCCTGTGGTTTACTGTGTACTCAGGGTTGCAAATAACCACTCGCCCACTCGCAAATGCGAGTAAATTTTCCTGTGGGCGACCAGCTCTTGGGAATATTGTCGCCCACATGGCGAGTAAGAATTTTATCGGACCTTTTCCAGAATCAGATCGTAGTTTGATTCAACTATTCTATGTACTTTCGTTTTCACATACTAGTTTTACTGTGTTTGATCATTCAGCTGATTCCATTTTTAAAATATTAATTGTAGCTTTATTTGAGATACAAAATATGTCAATCTAGTCAACGTTTACCTTAAATTTAAAGAGTAATCATTATTGTAACATTTTTTCTGCTGCTTTAGGCAGCCATGTTTGGTGTCCACTGTAAATATAACACCTGGTTAATTCAGTCCAGGTATGTTTGGCTCCTTTATTTATAAAAAGAAAAACGACATACCGACCCTTGGTTAATTAGTAATGTTACAAGAATCAGATATTTTTTCAGCTTAATTCAAAATGCATGCCCCCTGAAACAACTGAAATCAAAAGAAGCAAATTTAAATTGAATGATAACATGGAATTTCATACATTTAGCAGTGTAAAAGTCTGCAGGAAAAATTTGAAAAGAAATAATGAAATACTATGGCCATAAAGTATTTTTCTCTTTTGTTTTCATATGAAAAGCATTTTTAAAAAGTGAAAAAAAAAATTGTGGGCCCCATAAAATCAATGTGGGCTAGTAGAATTTGTGAAGTTGGGGGCCCACATGGCCCCTAAGGTTTAAATGTTATTTGCAACCCTGGTACTTACTTAAAATAAAAAGGTTGAAGTTTTTCCTTTAAATATTGAATCTCAATCAGTTATGTTTTTAAAAAAAAATCATAATAAAAAGAACATTTAGTAACATGCACAAAACATAAATATAAGGAAATTGCGTTGGTACATGAATATTGCATGCTGTTTATGCAACCTACTGGTCAGATATTTCGCCTTGTTACTCAGCTAAAATAAATAAGGTAGGTATGTTATTTTGCAGAATTGAGACATTTCTCAACTTAAATAAAAAAAAATGTGCAGAAAACATATATCAATTCCTTACCTTTGAAACTACATTTTCCAATTCATTGAGTTCTGCTTTTTAAAAACAAACGACAACAAAAACCGGAAGTTCTGCGAAAATTGAGGATATGAGTTAAGTTGTACTTTAAAAGATTCGTTTTAAATAATGATTTCAATACATACCTTCGAGATTACAACATATAACGTAACATGTATATTGAACGTTCTTACATTCAAGGTTACTATAAATATACATGGTATATATTGATATTTTTTGTTTACATTACATGCAAAAATGTCTTTTTTGTCTTTTTCCATGAAGTTGAAGTGTCCCAATACTTGAAGGAACCGTATGCTCTTTTTTAAACATTTTTTTAAAGTGACATGGACACAACTTCAATAGAATTTTTTAAACCAACCTTAATGATTACAATTCTAACCAAGGCAAATTTCATGATCAGCAAAAATTTGAACATCATTTGTTGATTTACAAAGGAGATACCAAACTTAATGTGAACAAGGCTTACAAGTGCCTTGCTTTTGATTTCATATAGAAAATACCATATTTATAACAAAAGGAGATTCAGCAAATCACTAGAATCTGTCTAAATGTATTTAGAATACATTGGCGTCGGAAGCAAATAATGAAAGGGTGGCTGAGTTAGAGAAAAAAAAATCAAACCTACAAAAAAAAAAAAAACTTGACAACCAAAAAAAAGTCCATTGCCCAAACACGAAAATCGGGGAGGGGGGGGGGGGGCTCGATCTTCATTTAGTACAAATATTTTTTTTCTCCAAAAACAACCATTTTATGACTTAAAATGTAAAGTGTCTGCTGAAAGTAGGGGGAACGGGGCTAAACTTACGTCCAAATGTTCAATGCCTATATATATTATGTCCACAACCACAGTATTTTTTATTTGGTAGGGGTATATTTTTTTATTAAAAGAAAAATAGGTAACGTCAGGTGCCTGTGATTATCATTAATTATGTCTATCTTTGCAAAAAAAGTGGGGGGGGGGGGGGTTAAGCCCCCACACACACACACACCCCCCCCCCGGTTCCGACGCCTCTGAAATAAAACTTCTTAACTGAAAAAAAAATCTGCTTTGAAAAAAAACATATAAAGTATTCTTGACCTGTAAACAAAAACATGACATAGGCTTTGTCTACATAACAAAGGTTTGCAGCTTTTATAATCTCTCATGTATCTTAACAACCGACATTCAAATTTTGATGATCATTAGAAATACCTTAGTTAAGTATTTGTAAATAAGAAAAATGGGGAATTTTTTTTTTTTTGAAAATCTGTAGCTAAAAATGTGTCTATGTTCCTGTAATATCTATACACTTCTTCTAAGACAATTTTGGATAAAAGAAACATCTAGAATATATCTTTAGTATTTTTTTAAAAAATTATTTCTCTTTAATCATCCAATCATCATTATCTTTTAAAAAAATTATCAGTAGCAGGGACATATATATAAGTATATATATTTTTTTATAGGTCCTGTCAGTACAGGTAAGGGTCGTCGCGTACGTATGTACTTTTAACGTGAATAAAAAATATCGGTAGATGTTATTGATTCGAGTCATAATGGAGTCATAATGGATTTTTACTTAACAATGCAAATACATGCTATGCTATAATACATACCATATATGTATAATCAAATGGCCTCTGCATGAAGTCTTTCTCCATCTCTAGGGCTGACCCGCCCCCCTCCATCCTCTCTCCTTTGATTCCACAGTCTCTGATGGATATACGAGATTACGTCTTCAAATCCCCACCCCACTTAATTATCTTAATTTTTGTTTTCTAAACACTAGGACTTAAAAAAAAGTTATCTCTTATTTCAAACAACAAAATTGGGTAAAAGTTCAGTTCCGTAGAATGAGTACAGTTTTGATATACAAAATGTACATGTAGTTTTAATAAGCAAGTTTTCGTTTATATATGCTGGCTGAAAGGCTAGTCCCCCCTTCTCCCCCATTTTGTTGCTTTAAAGTCAAACACTGACAAATTCTAGAATCAAAATAAAAGTACCCAGAAGTTGGTTTATAGTTGATCATTTTGATGGTCAGAACGATCTCCGGAAGAGGTACTATAACTATTCAAGATCACAGGCCTTTGAATCATTTAAATCTATATGATACACAATGCAGACAACTAAGTGTCAAATGCAATGAAAACCAAGTATCCAATCCCAGGTTTAATTTCAGCTGATTGACAGGGGTTAACATACCAGGTTAATTTGAGGGCGATGCTTATTTCCCCCCTTTAATCATTGTTCCTCCCATACACATACACACACACACACATGCACACACACCCTTTAAAATTATTATTATTTTGTTGTTGTTGTTGCTGTTGTTGTTTGTCAGTTTTTTAAGGACACACACAATAGAATTTTCGAATTTGGACAATTTATCATCATTTTTGCATGTCAAATTTTAGGACTCTCTCCATCCAGTTTATTTAAAAAAATGAAAGAATCTTTTTTTTAACACTTTGTTCTTCCGAGGCTTTATCTCAGCCGTGAACGGCGTCATAAACATATTATAAGAAAAGATTATCTGTTTAAAGTTAAAATAAGTTCTTGGTCATAAACTAAACAAATCATGTTTATTTAAAGAGAAATTTCTTAAGAAGAATAATAATTCCCCAAAATGTCAGTTTTAAATTGAGTAATGATATTTTTTCGTTGATTTAGTTAAAAAAGAAATGGGAAACTTGAGGTCCTTGACTTGCGACCTGATTATATGTAACTCTACACTTAACAAGTGAAAATTTACATAAAATTAACCCTTTTAATCTTTTATAACTTTCCCCTTTCCAAGGACGTTTTCTATGATAAGGAGTCTAGAATGGTTACTTTTTTGCACGTGTCTTTGTTTCGCCTATATTTATTAACTACACACATATTTTACCTGGTATATTTTATACTCTTCAGAAGTAGATATAAATGCTTTAGGGCCCCTTATAAAGTAGAATATTGACCTTCTACATAATATAATTATTGTTTAATGTTGTCATTTATAGTAAACTTAGAGGCGGTTTGTCAAGAAATGCAAAAATTCTAAATATTATAGTATATTAATATTTAAAAGTATCAACAAAATTTTACAGATCAGTTTGGCTTTAACTATCAATAGAGCAGATGCATTTATTTTCTTTCTTTTCTTTTCTTTTTAATAGAAAATTTTTCGTAATAGCTTGTATTTAAAATATAAATACTCAGTATAAGGCTATATTGCAAGTTCCGACAAACTCTTGAATAACGAATCATAATGGATTTTTACTTATTTACAATGCACATACATGAACATGTATCTACATATGAGTACCACATGTTTATCCTCATTCAAGGTCTGATCCAGTCTTAATACGTTTCCGAATCTTCATCCTACACAACGACTTGAAAATTAGTTTTAAAAAATATAAGCATGTATACGTAGCTTCTTGATCTTAAACAAAAATGTAATCTCCCATCCTAGACAACCATGCATTTTGTGTAAATAGTTCAACCCCGTAGAATTTCAACCATTTGCTGTAGGTTTTTTTTAAATACGTACATTTTTATTTATAGATCCTGCCCCCCCCCCCCCACCTCCAGCACCCAATTATTTTGGTGCTCTAAAGCCGAACATTGTCAAAATCCCTGAAGTATAATTATTTGAAAAAAGTTCCCAAAAGGTTACATGTATGTGGAGGAAAGTCAATTCAGCCCCCCCCCCCCCCCCCCCCCCCCCCCCTGCACACACATGTACATGAAATTGGATTCTCCAGGTTGAACATTTTCTTTTTTTTTTTTACTTGAGATTTTTTTTGGAGGTTTTCCATCCTATAAAAAGGTAGAAAGTTGCCACAAGCCAGAAGTTGGATAAAAAATATAGAAATAATTTAAAACAAATATTTAAAGCGCAGTTCATAAATTGTTTGACGTCATTTAAAAGAAAAATAAATAAAAAAAAAAACGTTTTAACACTTTGTTCTTCCAAGGTTTTATCTCAACCGTGAACGGCATCATAAATATATAATAACAAAAACAGTCTACCTGTTTAAAGGTAAAAAAAAAAAGAAGTATCGATCTTGGTCATTAACCGCAAAGTGGCTCATATTGACCCCGATCCCTTTTGCAATAAATAAACCCGGACCTATTGACTAATATCACGTATATATACAAATCTCTGAAAACACCGCGTCATCGAAATCAGGGTAGCGTAATGACTTTGGGATATAAATATAAACGACTTCAGATTCATTATTAATTGATTAGAAATCTTCAACATGAGGACGATTTTTCTTGCTGCCCTTCTTTGCTGTGGGGGTCGGGCTCTAGGGTCATGTCCAGATGACGCCAGTGATTTAGTGAAATGGTCTTCAAGTATAGTGAGTATTTATTAATTTTTCATCTCTTTATTTCTTATGATAGAAAATATAATATATAGAAGTTCTGTGCGCATAACAGATTGTTACATTTTACTTGTTGAAATGAGAGAGAGAGAGAGAGAGAGAGAGAGAGAGAGAGAGAGAGAGGTCATGCATTACTTATGATTAATGTCCGCACATATTCATGTTAGCCACTACAAGCTAATTTGGTGCAAGAAAGGCTTTATTCTTTTCAAGATAAAACAAATAATGTAAAAAATCTCCGGGATCCTGCATTGTTTTCTTTTTGAATATAATCTTAATCTTTGAAAAAAGAAAAAAAAGCATGCAAAATGTCTTACTTTCAAATGTTAAATAAGGTTATAATTTAACTTCAATTCATTTAATTTCTTTTACACTTTATATACCTGGTAAACATATTTCCAACAAATGCAGTTAATACAGACTTTGCATTAAGTATGGTATATAAATATTAATTTCATAATTTGGACTTTAAAATTTTTTTGATTTTGATTGTATCGCATAAAGTGTATTCTGTTACACACTGTAATGGAAATCTGTAATGTTACGCACGTCAGTAAAATTTTTAGAGAGAGAGAGAGAGAGAGAGGAATTTGAAAACGTCCATGCATGCTCACCTCTTTTCCAAATGATAATATCATATTGATTTGAATAGAAAAAATCCATTTATTTTATTCTAATTTATTAATCAAAGTATTATAAACTTTGGCATATTTAAATAATCTCACATGGCAAGTAAAATCGAGACCGTAAAATTCATTGCTTACTATATTTCTTACTCTAGATATACACGAAATTACGTCCTAACAAACAGTAAAATTTAAGTAATCCGCAAAAATGGCCCCCACAAATTTTGATGATACCACAGTTTCCACAGATAGTTTTCTGCAAATGCATTATATACCAAGTGCAATGTGTACGTATCAAAATAAAATTATCGCTCAGATATTTGGATTTTAATTCAATTTTGAATTTGTAATTTTTCTCTATTCTTTAAAATTCAATATTAAAATACAATGTATATGCAGATAAAATATGTATATTATTTTTTAAAATTAAAAAAAGGACATATACTTTAAGCTAGCATAAAAAAACTGTTGTTTACTTGGAAATTTTCAAGGATTGAATGGTTGTCTTTCATCCTAAAGAAGAAGAAAAAATATTTATCAGTGACACGCTTTCTTACCTCAGCGGAAGTCACGAAATTTGAATGTCTGATGTAGATATTGCTTTGTTATTGTTTTGGTCAGACATACAGGTGTAGAAATAATACGAAAGAGATCAAAACAATTCGAGCGTGAAAATGCGTAGGAGGACGTCACTGAGAGTTGATTCAGGTCACCGAATCGTGTACATAAAAAATAAAATCCCATGACATGGACAGGCAAATCGATTCCGTTCATGACGGCATTTTACTCATTCAGTGGATATTAACTTTCATTGACTCTGAATGACGTCCCATACATGTACATGCAAAACTACAACAAACATTCCCAGATTCCAAATATATTCTTAAATGCATTATTCTTAAGTTCAGGAATATATTTTTATAGTTCAAGTACAAAACACATTTGTGGAGTTAATTAATAATATAAATGAAAAATATAGCCATCATTTTAATTTTACGAAAAACCTTTTTATTAGAAATCCAATAATTTGAGTGTTTACCCTTTTACTAGTATGCGGTATACCATTTGTTTATGAAATAAATTAAATTTGTATTATCTTAAAACTAAGCACCGTATAATCAATTGAAGAATAGATTCTTGCGAAATTTATTGTAATTGTTATATAATATTTTTTTTTACTTCAGACTGCAAGCAAAAATGACAACATTACAATATCTCAACCCACTCTCTTAGACGTGTCTCCCCCAGAATTATTTGGAATCACCATAGCCTCCGGGGGTAGGTTAGTGTGGAGCAGAAAAGGGGATTTCAGTATCCGGACCCAATACATCTGGATACAGGGCGGGGGAGAGCTTCACATCGGAAGCGAGGAGTGTCAGTTTGATAGAAAAGCAAGGATTACTTTATTAGGTAAAATTTGATTTAGAATAACAAAATCGTCGACTTCACATTATGCAATAAAATAAAATTATTAAAGAAGGAAAAGTCAACCGAGAAATATCTTTACCTTAAAAAGATTGAAATAAAAAATACACTGAACTGCTAAAACAAAATAAAAACAATTTAATTACAAAGACAAAAACAAACCAAAACAGCATGCAGTTTAATTAAGGCTGTTTGTTTCAGGCGAGCCTGGAGAGCTGAATATACCGTCTTTCGGGGAGAAGTTTATTGGCGTGGATCAAGGGGGAGTACTAGAACTGCACGGTAAAGATAAACTTTCCTGGACCAAGCTGTCAGGTCACGCTCAAAAGGCACAGGAAGAAATCTACAACCATAGGGTAAATAATAAAACCAATATTGATAAGGAGCTTCATTTGTCCAAAGAATATCAACGTTCTTAACAAGGTCAAAAATAGATTTAGAAAGTTTGCATTTAATTTTATAGCCAAAAACATATTACAGAGCTATAATGATGGTCAATCACTTCATCACCCCCTCCTTACTTGAATACTTACAAGTACATGTGTACTAAGTTGATTAAGATTTCTTTGTATTTAATATTGCAGGAAACCGAAATAAGCTTCCAACCAGGATTGTATGTGTATCACTTTAGGGAAGCTTTCCCCAGCGACTTTAACGTCAATACCGACTCAGGGTTCGAATATGTAGGAAAAATTCACAGAAGACTGAATTTCCGCAGTCAAAGAAAAACTAATGCTGCAATTGTCGAATTGAAAGACTTTATTGAAGGTAAGCAGACAAAATTTTGTCGGGATGAATATACAGTGCATCTTTTGCAAGTCTTTCTGTTAACTTGAGAATGAGTAAATTGAAAAACTTGCGTGTTTTAAATTGGGGTTCATTTTCTACCATGTTCTACAAAGGTTATCCCTATATGTATGCTTACGGATTATCCGAGATGGAGTTCCAATTTCTTTTAGTCATGACCACATAGTAATATTTCTTTATTTGGTTTGCAGGAATCCCAAATGGAGACATTTTTGCAATTGCCACACAAAAGAACTTCTTCCGTAGGGACCTGTCGGCTCTCTATGACGTCATTGACGCACTGGGAAATACAAACTCCTTCCGAAGAGTCCAAAAAGACGACGCCTACGTTGCTGTAGGAAAGAAAGGTATATGAGAATAATGTATTGTAAAAACTTGATTATCCGAATTAAATATTTGATTTAGATAAACTACCTCTTGAGTATAGTATTTTTCTGATACCATATTTGAAAATAAGATTGAGGAACTCAAAAATGTTCTTGTTTTCTTAAGTCTTATATTTTTTTGTTGACTAGGATCCAGCTTTTTTGAAGACCACAATTCAGACATCTCAGAGGCCCAGTCTACTGAGGCTAAGGTTACATATACAGCTCCAGAAAGAGAACGAGAAATTATGGTAATGTCAAAGAACCATTTAAGGGATGGCAAGAGTCGTACAGAATTCATGGTTCTAAACACACTGCAGACGAAACCCATCATCCATGTTGTTGATGACGTCAGCAGCTGGAATGCTGGTAAGCTATAAAGAATAATTATATCTAAAAAACTTTACCATATACTTGAAAATATAGTGCACTGGAATTAAAAAAAACATCAAAAAAAGTTTGTTTCAAAATAATCAAAGATCCAGAAATAATCACATTTTTCGTTTTAAAGAAATAAAGCCCTCATTAATTCCCACTTCTTGTATATATAAAATGAAATAAAAGATATCCAAATTAAGGATTTTTATGAATACAGGAGACAAGATCTTTATAACCTCCACTGATTACGACTGGAGACAAGTTGAGGAGTTCACTATCGTCCCCTGTACTTCTGTTGAATGTTCAACTAACACCATTCGTCTCGACCGTAAGTATACTGATATAGAACATGCTATCAAGTTATCATTTTCCCTAACAAACACATGAACACGTCTATGATCAGACGGTCTCAGGGACCAGGCAAAATTTATCACAATGATAGGACCGGTACAAATAGGCATGGGGCAATGAGTTTTTTCATCGAAGAAAACCATGGGGCTAAAACATACTTTAGCATTAAATACCCATGGGACACAAACTTTTTTGCAATAATTTACAGTATTTTACCCAAGAGAAATATTCATTAAATTGAAAAATATTATGTTTCCTATTCTTTTTTAAAAAAGTGATATTTTTTTAAAACTCAAACGAAGGCTAAAAGCAACATGAATCTTCATGCAATTGATGAAAAATATTACAAAGTGACAAGCATTGCTAACAAGTATTATGAAAATAAACAGAAAACAATATCGATGTTTAAGATATCTGTAATATAAAAAAAATACTTAGTTTTGTTGCAATAATCTCATTATTATCATGATGTTCCCGGGGTATTCATGGGACAGTAACTTTTTTTTAAGTCTAAAGGCATGGGACAGATATTTTATTTATATAATACGAGTGTCATGGGACACGTACTTTTTGGAAATGAGAATTTTATTTTGTACTCGTCCCATCATTGTGATAAATTTTGCCTGGTCCCTCAGTATGCAGAGTAAAGAGCTCGAGTGGGTCAAAAATAATTTTTATATTCAAAAATTTATATACCAGGGTACGTATTTCATTACAGTGCCTTGTAAATTGCAAGTGATTACCATGCAGTATAATCCGTGTTACATGGACTGCTAATTCAGCAAATTGAAAGCAGATAATACAGGAAACAGCAAGAGTTAATAATGTACCTTATACAATAATCTAAGTGCATTTATACAATGATTTAAGTGTGTTTAACATAATCAAGACTCAACTAACTTTCGACAATTGCTTCCGGTTGGTTAACATTTAATGTTTCAAATATATACAATCATTTGTAATCACATGCAAACAAATAACTTTCTATAATATACACATGTCATTTAGTTTATTATTCCGTTTGTTGGTTTGTATTTTTCCAGATAAATTGTTTTCGTAAAAAAAATTATGAAAACGTTTTCCAGATGAAATTCAAAATGCTTAATCAAAATATCCTCAGACTGATACTTTCACAAACTAGCCTTCTTTTTGACTAATTATGCATAACACAAACTCTATACCTTTATTCTAGAAACACGTAATTCTAAGTAGGCATAATAATTTTATAATGAGATACATGGCTTTGAAAAGATGGCGGGAAACCAGACTTCTTTGGGTTTTTCTCAGACAATAAATGGACAATTTCTTTCTGTTAAAACCTTTGATCTTGCATTGAACATTTCTTAATATCTTTCACGACTACCAAATTACAATTAAAAAAAAATGCAAATAGATAAAAAGGGGCTAGTAGGCTAAAAATTTGTGCATCTTAAATTGAAAAAAAGCAGACGAGTTCAGTAAAAATGGTTGACACAACAGCATAATCAGCAAAAACATCATAAATGATATGTCTAACACGTTCTCTTGAATTATTCTTTTTCCCTTGAAGAAATCTAGTTTTTCACATTATTATTTTTTTAATTGAAGGTCCATTTAAAAACGATCACTATGGTGAAATTTACAAGCGGGTGGACATGCGAGCTGAGGTCGGCTTGATGACAAGACACATCCTAATAGACTCCGAGGTGTCAAAGGGCAACAGTAATGGGGGTCACGTCAAGGTTAATATATGTTTATATTCTGCAGTATCATAAATCATTGATGTATAATTGTTATAAATGTGATCAGAATTCATTAAAATTGCCCTACATTCATTTTAGTTCATAAAAGGATTTGGGAGTGTTCGAGTAGAAGGTGTTGAACTAACAAATCTAGGCCAACCTTTGATTACAGGTACGATCTTCAACTTAGGTTGAAGAAATTTTGATAATTTGACTGCTATCTTCAACTCTTAAAAAAATTCTTCAATTTAGAAAAAAAAAATCAGAGGCATTTCGTTTTGGACGTTTTTATGAGACTTGTGACATTGAAATTAAAAAAAAAAATACTTATAGGTCGCTACCCTCTCCACTATCATATGTGTGAGGACCTTGCCGACACCTCCCTCTATCCAGTCCGCTCTTACCTCAGAATGAACTCCATTCACCATAGCCAGTTCAGATGTGTCACAATCCACGGAACTCATAACTCAACGGTAAATAATAAATGCTGTTCACTAACTTTTTCGCGAGCGAGAAATATCCGCGAGTTGAATTTGAAACTTCTTCAACTAGCAAATAGTTCTCACCATAAATCATATTTTTATGCAGAGTTTTTTTCTGAGTCGCGAAATAAATAATCACGGATCGATTTTAAACATATATCAAGTATTTCAATTAAAAGTTGAAAATGAATTGCTTACAATAGATAAAAATAATGTTAAAATACTTATGCGTTTAAACATTACCCGTATCGACAAAATGTTTCAGTATATGTTTTAAAAGCTCATTGCGACGCTATTTAGCTTTCTCATGCTCTGTCGTATTCTACTGTTTCTTGCAAAGTGTTTCAATTGTATTTATATAAACTATATTAGGTAACTGACAATGTTTGCTATGACACGGTGGGTCACGGATTCTTTATCGAGGACGGAGGAGAAAAAGACACGTACCTCCGGGGTAACCTTGGTCTGGGTCAACGTCGGTTTAGAGGAGACACCGTATTAGACGTCACCGGAGCTATTCCTACTGACACGTGAGTAGAACTTGAACGTGTTCGAATAAGCATTTGCAAAGTGAAAAGGCCTTTTGTCATATATATGTAAAGAGATCTTCTGTATGACATTTGAAATAATTTTCTTTTTTAGGAAGAAAGGTCCCGTTACATTTTGGGTGACAAGCCCTAAAACGACTCTGATCAACAATGTGGCCGCGGGAGGAGAGGTATGCAATTACTCTGGGGAACAAATAGGGGACAGATTAACGTATTTGTAACAGAGAATACTAATAGCAACGTGTAGAGTAAGAAATCGCGGTTCTTGCAATTTATCGAGGATGAAATATAGTGTTACCTGCAAGACTTATTTTTCGATACCTTTTACTTCTCGCTCAATTGAAAAAATTACAATATGGATAAGGCGATAATTATATACAATCAGCTACTTCTTGCATTACAGGGAATCGGAATGTGGTTTGTTTACCCCGATATTCCCACAGGTCCATCTCATGACAAAAACTTTATGGCGGAGAAAGAAGCACGCCGCACAAAGATCACCAAATATCTCAACAATGTGCATCATTCGTATGTTGTGGTAAGTGAATTTCACTATCTAAAACTTTTTTGATTCACATATAGACTAATCACTATAGTCTATCAATTTGGCCAATTGATGCAAAATTTCGATATCGCCTCCAGTTTCTTGATATAGGTGATTATTAAAATTAGCACAAAATCGATGAACTACTAGTATATACGTATTTATGTTGAAAATTATGTATCTAGGCAGGACTGTTTGTGGACAATATTGAGCAACAGGACCTGACCGTAAAAGGCTACAACAAATATAACCCCCGACTGGTCCCCACGGACCCCTCCTCCCCCAGGGTACCGGCTGTCTTTGAAGGAATAACAGGTGACTTGATTGATCTTCATTTTGATTTTTTGCCAAATTTTAGTATATGCACGGAGTTGTAATACCTTTTTACCTTTTCTATTTTTGGTTCAAGTATTTTTTCACTATCATAACCAAAAGATTAATGATTTGGAGCAAAAGACCTTAATAAACTGGAAAATTTTTAATTTTTATATCGCAGATTAATCAAAAAAGTAATTAACTAAATTCATTTTCATTTTTATATTTTACAGCCTATAAAAACCGAATGCAAAATGTTTGGATTCGAGGAACACCAATAATTGTCAAAAAATCATCGTAAGTAGAAAATTGATTTCATAAATTTATTAGAAAATTCAGCTAAAGATTGATTGAAAACATTCTCTTTTCTAAATATAAATTTTATTTAATAATTTTTTTTTTCATTTAATAGATTTTCGGACAGTTTATTTGGAGCTACTTTGATCAAGTAAGTATGAAAGAAATATATGCTCATATGCAAAATGATTATTTTAAAAGATTATTTTCATTGGATAACGTTATTTTTTTTTTTATTGAATAGGGAAAGCAATGTATGGATGGAATTTACAGACAATGTTGTGATTGGTTACTCTGACAATATGGGTAATCCAATGAATAGCGCCGCAAGATCATTCCCATCAAGGCCGTAAGTTTTCCAATTTTTTTTTCTTTTTGTCAACAAGTTCTAATATAACAACTAATGGTATAAATTTAATAATTATAAAAGTGGTGTGAGATAGCTATTAAAAATGTCGAATGATCACCTCAAAGAAATGTAATGTCCATTGACTGTAGCCTGAACATAATTTTTTCCTTCAGTTCTAGACCAATAGCTGGGTACAGGGTACACAAGGGTCCTGTCTACGTCAGAAACACGTGGTTTGGAGGGTTCGAGTCTACAGATGTATACAATGCCTCAGCCATTACCAACAGACAATGTCCCCCAAATGTTGATCCACAAAACCAAGTCGAAAATGTTCTCTTCGGTTTTGATGATGTAAGAAATTACAAGATTAAGCGACTTTGGAATGATTTTTGTTTTGTGTATGTAATTTGAGCGGGTGAATAATCAGAATGTATTTCACGTGTATTCTTTTCATCTATTTGTTTTGCAATTTTTAATGAATTATACATACATGAAATTATTAAGCAAAAAGGAAAAGATGGTGATATTTATTTTGTCAAAATTCGTCATCATATATAGCAAAGATTCAGCACAAATTCCAATGAATTAAGAAAATAAAAAAAATATTTGGAATACACAGACTCCAGGAAGCCGTTTCCACTTCACGGATGGACGCAACTGTGACGAAAGAGAGGCGATGTTCACCCTAAAAGATGTGGGAAATAGTCTTACCCAAGAACAAGGGACTTCAGACATGACCCTTGTCACAAATCACCCCTTCCACACCACTGGAGAATGTAAACTGAGGAACTCGTGGGACATGGCTTATTGTCCGTACAACTACGGAGGGGTTCGTATTTCTTACTTGTGGACCCGTTTGAATTTCCTCGATTCTGTAAATTTTTATTAACTATGAAATTTTTATTTCATCAGAGTGAATCACATATTTTTTTTTATAAATGATCCCTAAAATTGTTGATTTACAGATCAAATTCATGTATCCTTCGGATAATGATCTGAATGTGTACAGAACTGATGGCGGATCAACATTTCCAATGAGAGACATCACCAGCAAGACTTTTATCACAATCCTTGGCGATGCAACTAGAACTTTCCAGTATCTAGCCCTCATTGAAGATGGAATGCCTGCCACTGTTGGAATTCGTGGCGAGTCCATCACAAAGTAAGACAGATAATTTTATGCACCCTTTTGATATACAAAATTGATTTCTCTCCGAATAATGATTTCCTAAATAAAAATTGGCCATCGGTGTCATATTTTAATGTATATGTTCTTTGTTTCAGATCAAATTCATTCGTAATGGCGTTGTGTGTTCCAAGAGATGCGAAATTCACGTTCCGTTATTCTATCTCTAAAGTGGGCAGAATTGGGACTGAGAAGGTGAACTCAAGAGATGAGGTTTTAGCTGATACCACGGGAGGAAAATACTTCTTCGATTCCAATGTTGGGTGAGCACATGGATTTTCTAGTAATGAAATTGAAACCACCGTCTTCAGCCCAAATTCGTCAAATCACTGAAGAATTTTTTTAAAAATATTGCATAATAACAATTTTCAGAGTGATCTTCTTCAAAATGGTGAACGATGTAGATTTCGCTGAAGGGGAGATGTCCTCTTGCCCCTCCAAACACTGTCCCTTCGCTTTCATCAGGATAGACAGTGGGAGTATGACGGATAGCGATTGTTCCAGTAGATTCTTCAGTCAGACATCCGGGTCCTATGTACAAGCCGATCAGGTAACCTCATCTCCCATATTGAATTTCTTTTATTGAAAGGTGCTGAAAGATATGAAAATACTTAGGTTAGGTTTCAAAATACAATATATATCAGCTGTTGCAAGGTTCATGATGGGTGCTTTAATTTTGTTACCTTTCCAAACACGGTTAGCTTAAGGTCATACGCAACATACCGCGGTAGTTTGAACTTTATTGGGTTCTTCCCTGGAGTTGAAGAGTTCCACTATATGAAGGACCCGTGTGCAATATTTTTATTGTCTATATATGGATTTGTACACCTTTTTAAAACAATTTTTGATGAAAAAAAATCTGGAATTTATCTTTTGTAATATTTGTACATTTTTCTTTGAATAATGCCAAAATTTTCAAAATTTGATATGTTTTCAAAACCCCTGGTAACACATGCTGATTTTTTGTCTAAGAACATGTAATGGTATTATAAGTTTAAATTTAGAATATCTTGAAAAATTATCAGAAGGTAAGGTACATTGCGTATGTCCTTAATCCTCTGACGTCTTAAATTTCCATACGGCAACAAGTGGTTCAATATCTGGCAACAAAAGCAATATAATTATCGATTTACTTAAAGCAGTTGTTTTCTTTACAAAAATATTGATTTTTTTTAACTACATGTAGATAAATTATAGGAGTATTTTACTCCACTAATAAACTTTTTCTATATTTTCTTCAGGGAAATCCAAGTGTAGAAACCAACGTAATCCCAGCTGATTCTGAATCCCCACCACAGGTAAATTTTTTAAGCACTAGCCATGTTTTGAAGATTTCCTAGTTTATACTTGAGTTTTAAATGTAGGATATGCACATCTTATTTATCCATAAGAGATAGGTACTACGGTTGATGAAAAAAATGTTTGCCATTGAAATTAAGTTATATTTTATGCCAACATCATGTTCAGCTTTCTTTTATCCTGTTTTGTAGACGATGGGAGCAGGATCAACTTATCCAGGAACAGCTCAATAAGAAATCCAGATTCAAATTTTATCCTAGTCTCCGTAGGCCAAACCTACATTTTATGTGTTCAGGGTAGAAGGATTTTTGTATTAATACACTTTGTATGTGTCTTCCAGATGAATTCCATTTTTATATATATTGTTTTTACATGCTTATATACATGCATATGTTTTATGGTTTCATTTATCATTATGTGTCGAAAACATCAATGGATTTTTTTTTCAGAAAAAATGGTGAATGAAATACTAGATTATATTAGTAGATAAAGATAAATATAGTTTTCATGGTTTGCTCATTGAAATGTAATCTAAAAATTTTAATCCTGCCATATATGCTCTTTGATCCTTTTACTTTTTATATCATATATATTTTCTGATTTTTTTTTTGTCAGTTCATTATGTCATTACATGTATTTGAATATTAAAGATATTCTTAAAATACATATTATTGCTGTATTTCATTAATTACTTTAATACACAAATTGAATAAGTGTACAGCGCACGAAAAAACAAATGATACACATTAGCCACCTGAATCCGAAAACCCAACCTAAATTCTTCCAATATATATCATTTGGCTACTTGGTAGGGACAGGATTATCTATTAAAAAAGAAACGAGAATAAACCATCGTTTTTCGACCTTCATTTATGTGAAAATGAAAAATTCCAAAACCTTATTGCACAATTCCACAGGACACCACTAAGCATACATATCTCATAAAATGAATTTGTCACATACATTGTAAGAGTAGTTTGAGGAAGAAGAAAGTGTGATGGCTGGACGGAGTAGCGTAACACCTGCAGGACACGACTTATCACCTTACAAAAGATGACGTGGGTACTGCCTAAAATTTAATTGAGTTCTGGGAGCCAGGTTTTCTGTGAAAATAAAAAAAAAGTTTTTAGATTTCAACTTCCCAAAGTGATGAAATGACTCTGAAACCTTATTGCATATTTACAGGGCACAAAATATTATACTCCAAAAGATGAATTATGTGTTGCTGTTTGCGAGTGGATTTTGAGGAAATGTAACGGCAAAGATAATAAAAATATACCCGAATATTTGTTAAAATATACAGATAAAAGCATGGTTGAGATTACAATCCTTTAATAAATAATCTTGCTAACGTAATGCACTAAGTACAAGTTTTAATTCCAAAGTGAGCTGAAAATGAAAATTTCCTAACCTTATTGCACATCTTAAGGACATCTTTAATCATCTTGCATGGGGTCAATTACTTTAAAAAGTAATTAATTAAATTACAATTTCTTTGACCTTTTCTTCAATTAAATTACCATTAAATTTCAGGCTTTTTAAGACATGTAATTAATTAAATTACAATTACTTTACAAAAGTAATTAATTGATTTACAAATTACTAGTACATTTTTTTTTTTGGATTTTTTTTATAATCATATGAAAATACAGAACAGGGATCATTCACTTGTATATTAGCGCAGCCTCTGCACAAACAATATAAGAAATAATATGTTATTAGGCATAGTGTATCTTTGTGGTTTAAATCACAACTTTTATTTATAAAACAGTTAAGAACTGTTCAAGATCAGTTTGATGCAATTGCCTCCACACAAAACCTACATGTACACTAATTGCATGGGATATGATATTTGATTAAAAGGGGATATTTCAATAAAGTAAAAATAAGTCACAACTGTAACCCCTCAAATTAAATATTTCTTTTAAATAAAGGTAATCTTTTAAAGGTAAAATCTTAAATTGCTATATATGTTGAACATTTTTACTTCATAAATAAAACTTGTACAAACAAATCTTTTTGAGATACAAAATACATTCATAAAATTCTGTTTAAATGTTAAAATAATTATCAAATTGAAAGTTTTTCTTTTCTCAAATTAGCAGAGCATTTTAATTGAAATAATTATCCCCATGCAGTGGCTATGTCATCTAAATCAAGGAATGAATACCTCTGTAGAGGGGTTGATTTGTTTTGATTGTAATTTACAGGTGTGATCTGGAGGGCAATTATCTCTTAATACCAACAAGAGAGAACTTCATTAAACACATACATTCCTTTTTTTTTTGACACACATATTCTTATTATCGTCATTGAACAAACAAAAGAGATTGAAATATAATAAATTATTTGTGTTTCATAGCTGAATAGACCTAGAAATCGTGGTGCAAAATTCATGTAAACATAAAACAAAGAAATCAAATTTTATATAATGATTAGTAAGAAACTACATTATTATTATAAAAAAAACTGTCTTCTGTATAATTGAAGGACTGGGGATATGTTTTGCAATAAAATATAGTATTATGGGGAGGTCGTGGTGACAATATATCAACTCATATCAAGCATGTGTATTATATAAAGTAATAATGTAATTGAAAAAGTAATTGAAATTACATGGTATTTTTTCAGTGTAATTAATTAAATTACAATTACAAGTAATTGAAAAAATGTTCAATTACAAATTACTTCCAATTACTTCAAAAAATGTAATTAATTACAGTCAATTACAATTACTTTTTTCAATTACCCCATCCCTGCTTTAATCATCTTGCAAAAGATGTTTGGCTCCCCGTAAAATGTAAGTAAAGACCGAGGAAGTAAGGTTTTTTTTTTACCATTGTTTGGACCCAGGGTACGAAAATCATGAAACCTCATCGCACATCTATTTATATTTCAAAAAATTGCTTAAAATGAGAAAATTCTTTGAGGAATAAGAAAGTGTGTCAGACGGATGGACCAAGATAACAAAAATAAAATAAAATATTTTCTTTGTAAAGTTCGGGTACATGTATGAATATTACCGGGGGTTATCCAAGAAAATTGAAAAGATTTTCGACATGTATATTCATTGATATTATGAGTTTAAATTTTTAAAAATATCGAGAAAAAAATCGTTTTTTTTCCCTGAAGCAGCCCTCTTATCATTGTATATTAGTAAAATGATTTATCCAATGATGGACAAATATACAGAAAATTTTGTTTACAGTCAATTATGAAATTAAGCATTTCTTATACACCCAAAGGCAAACACATTTGAGCATAACGATGTACTAAATATACTGTATGATTAATAAATTATTATCAGTAGTATTAATACCTTATCTCCTAATGGAAAGGTTAATAAGTACTTTGGATTTCAAATAATAATAATAATAATAATGGCTTTTCAATGAGTAATATTGAAAAATGTAAATGAAGTTTACGAATTGAGGTCATTACGTTTATCATAATTTTTGTTGTTTCATATAAGTTGTTTATCATATAACTTGGTTGTTAGGTTACCATTAACGTCATTTCAAGTAAAATATCCAAGTATGAAACAGATGTGTCAGACTCTGTGGTATCTTTATCCCAAGCTCTCCTGGATATATCGTATCGATGTAGGAATGGAAATTACCATTGTTAATTGACAATACGTCGTCGATATATCTGAAGGTCGAGTTGAAGGCCACAGCAAGTGTTTTCTTCTTTTCATACATAAGATTTTGCATAAATTCTGCTTCATATGAGTACAAAAAGGTTTGCTAATAGCGATATGCTCTGATGCTTCACCATATGTAGTACTTTTCTACTAGTAAATAAATATAGAAAACAACATTACGAAAACAATTTTTAAAAAATAATTTATATTATCTTATGGACAGATGATACAAATAAAAAAAGGATGTCTGGATTGGTATATACATGTATTTCTGGGCCTATTTTTGTTGCAAATGATGCAACTAATAAAAATCCAAATTAATCTATACAAATATTTTTCTCTTAAAATTCCCTTTTTGTGAAACTTTGAATAAAAAATTAAAAACTACGCGTTGAAATTTGTTTATTTTACTCATTGAAACATGACCCATTTTGTTATTTTCAATTTTTATGACAAGAGTTTGTTAGCATCCTCTGTCCTTAGAGTTTTATTAAATCAGTTCAACGGAATAGTTAAATGTAAATACATATATCTAAGAGCCAAAAAGACTTCAGCGTCATAGGAATGAAGCCATTTGCCTAGCAACTGAATCTGCATGTTTATGTGTTGCATCAATCTGCTTCATTTGGATGCGATTGTGTTCAGAAATACATTATTGAAATTAATTTGTTTGCAGTAATGTTTCCAAATTCCTTTTAATCCTTTTTATCAAACTTAAGCAAATTAATTAACTTAACAAAACCCAGAAAATAAAGTTCAATTCTTCTCTCCCACAATGGAATTCGTTATTCATGATTTCCAGCTATTTATGATGTAATACAAATTGACAGCTTTTGCATTGTCATTCAACCATTTCTCCATTAATGCTGTCATTTTCCAGGAACCTACTCAAATTTATTAATCACAGGACATTTATATGTAAACAGTATACATAATTTATTGTTGATACGGACAGTCTGCATCAATTATCTACACTCTCTGAGTAGTATTCCAATGGTCCATCTTTCACTAGTGGGAATGGTTCCTTTCCTACAAATTAAACATATGTTGTGATATATATATATATAGAAAATAACAGTTAAAGAAGGTAAGGACAGGAATTTATTGTACTGTTGAGCGATTTTCGACATTATTTTCTTAACAAGTATATATAATTTCGTTTTGAAGTATTGTCCCTGTTTTATAAGGAAATTTATTTACGAATCTGGAAAGCTCTTTAAATGATCTACATTCCTGTAAAAATAAAATGTTTAAAACTACTTTGCTAATCTTTAAGGAAACTCTATGGGGAAAGGTAGAAGAAAATCAAAAATCAATACTGAAAAGAAAAATTAAAAGAAATATGGAGTAAAACACATGAAAGAACTTACACATGTATAATATAAATGGTATTCATTTAAAGTTAGTGACAATTCAAAACGGACTGAGCTAGTTAAAATCTTTTTTGTTGTTTTTCTTTTTAGTGTAAGAGATTTTCTTAAAACACACATTTAATTTGTCTAGAATCACTGCATATAATTTCACCATCAATATATACCGTGGTATTTTGACTATCCATAGATTGTATAATCATTTCAAATTAGATACATGTACAAAAGAACAACGCATTCTCGTCAAATAGAAAATGATAATTTTACTCACTGCTTCCTTTAATTTTTCAAAGTAATAGAATCTCTGGTTTTGAAATAAGACTTTTATTGCACTCCGTTATCTCATCCAAGATCGAAGTCCTGTTTTATTTGCTATTAATGTTGATTGATCATGAGAATTATAACAAAAATGTCGTTTACATCTACTTTTATTGGCAGTCTTTGGGGACAATTGCAAGTTTCGTGTATCATGGCATGTGGGGATACTTAAAAGACTTTATGAAATCTGTTTTGTTATTTTCTAAATATTTAGTCTCTTGCGTCATTTACAATCGTTCTGTAAATTAGTTAATTAAAGAATGCTTTCCGAGCCAAATACTTTAAAGTACAATATGAGAAATAGTTCCGCAAGGAAAAGAAGTCATCGCGAATAAAATGATACGATCATGATAAAATGTGAAATCATTTTATCAGTATCATTGGGGTGCCTCCCAACGATTCCTTAATGATGGTCATGACACTCATGCAGTTCATATCCGTTTAAATTGTATTGTGCCGGAATTTTTGCAATGATTGGATAAAGTTTAAGTAAAACTGAAATTAAATATTTTCTAAATGTGTGTTCCATTTGGCTTTTTTTTGTAGTTTGGCTTCTATACCGCTTTCCCAAATTTAAGAGAGATATACAATTTGTGATAAAGGAAAAAAAAGAGCTCTTTGAACCATGACATACACACGTTCAAGTCGCTATGTATTAAGTAAATAAATTTTATTTCAATTTAAATATCACATCATAATTATAATGAAGATGGTCATTGAGAATAGCATGAACACCAAAGCTTCCATTAAAGAGGTTCTAAAGTCTATGGCGGAGAACTCGTCTATCCATGGAGTTTCTAGATGGGTGACGTCTCGGCATTGGTATCAACGTCTTCTCTGGATTTTAGTCTTTCTTGCAGCCGCTGGGGTATTGAGTTACCAGTTATCGCGTTTATTTGGAGCGTATAAATCCTACCCTGTGAAGACTTCAGTGGAATTAAAGTTTTCTAGTTTACCGTTTCCAGCAGTATCTATCTGTAATATGAACCCGATCAAAATGACCAAACTTTATATTACAAGCACAGATACACAGAAAACAATAAATGTAAGTTTTTGTTTGTTTTTTAATGGATTCGCTTAATGAAAAAAAAATGATGTTTTGTCGGACCATTCTTATTGTTGATGCATGTGAGTTGCTTTCATTTTGATTCTAAAATCTGAACAATCTTACCCGAATACGAAATAATTCTAGCCAAAATTTTCAATTCAAGAAAAGATGGAAAAACAGGTGCGTAACAACGATACGTCTAGAATGGATTTATGTTTACCATTTGAACTATTTTAACATGCTATTACGTGTGCATAATCCTCTTTGGGAAACTATTGAGCAATTCATATGTTCAAAATAATGAATTTTAATCTAGATGTTTCTCATAATGGTAAAAATAATGCTAAAATAATTTAGATCAGGTCGTCTTAATTTGTTTTGCCCTCCCCCGAATTAGGACGAAAAAATGTAGGATAAGCAGTGTTTTGAATTTTTTTTTTTTTTTTGGGGGGGTAATTATTTTACATAAGTGCTCATTTTCTTTTAAAAATTGCCTGAAATTGAGTTTAATATTAAAATTATATTAGTTGATTACTGGATGAGAAAGGAATTGAAAAATAAACTTTTCCTGATGGTTAAAAATTTTTGAGTCGGGCCATTTTTAGTGAGTCAGTCTGACAGACAATTTTCAAAATAGCAATATTTTTTTTAAGTCTTTCTGATAACTGTTGACATACATTTAAGTTCAGTAGCAGATTTATATATTAGAAATTTGAAATCTTGCTGGAATGAAAACTGAACAAAAATTTGGTTAATATATACTTTATATTATGAAATAGGGCACATATACCAGAAAGAAAAGGAGTGTAAACCGTAGGTCTAACAAAGAAACCAAAGTATCCTTTTCCTCCTATTTGTCACCAGGGAACGGTGATAAAATCACCAACTTTTTTCCTTTAAAAGAAATGGGGATAGGACAAGGAGGCCCCGCGCTTCCAGCACCTTTAATGGAGAGAGAACCCTACCACTCAGTTGAACTCAATAAAAACAAAAGAAAATACAAAAACAACAACAAACACTCCCCGAAAAGTTGGTTGTCAATGTTACTGGCAAAAGAAAACATTAATATTGAGACAAGCAAAACTGAGCCATGGTTTCTGAAGTCCAATCAAAGAGTAAGAAAAAGAAGTACTGGGTCTGATGGGACTACAAGTTCAGGGAATTCTGGGAGTACTTTCCCTTCCGCCACAGATTCGCCGTCGTCTACTACTTCTGGTTCCTACACAACTACGAACAGTTACTACCACACTTCAACCTACGGGTGGATTGGCTCTGACGGTACCTGGTCTAGTTTTCAGGATTATATGAATGATCTTGATCAACATGTTCAGGATGAGTGGAGCCTGAGAGTTGCTAAATTCCAGTCAGAATTTCAAAAAAATACAAGGTAAAATTTGATTTTCCGAAAAGGGGACAAAGTGAAATTTCACACACGAGGAGATCTAATTTAAAAACAATTTCCCTAATAAATATGCTTGGAAAATTGCACAAAATGTACTGATAATACTTAGCCACTGGTAAAAATTCAGTAATTTTCAGTAATCAGAACCTCCCTTTCCTCGCAAGACAACACTGCGATTGGTTAAACTGCCAAAGGCAAAAATGTGAACACCATTTTATGAAAGAACAAACAAACAAAACAACAACAGAACAAAACAACAACAAAACAAAACGAAACAACTAAAACACTTTCTTTATAATGTTTTATTCCCTTTCACTTAAACTTACATTGTTGTATCATAAGTTGCATATTTTTTTAGCAATTTCTTTTATCAACTCATCGATAAATGGACGGAATACGATGATACCTAGAGCCATTGGAGTTTATTTTGATTTGCATGTCCTATCATTTTAGAGAAATAAGGGAAAACGTAGGTCACGCCATCTCTGATATGTTGGTATCCTGTGCATTCAACGGAAACGAGTGTTACCATAGGTATGAATTTTCTCAAGCATTTTAACTGTTTATTCACTTTTTAAATTTCCTACTTAAAGGATTTTCATCATACATTTATATTTCTTAAAAATTAAACACTATTATATTTTTGAGACATAAAGTTATCGTTTAATTATGAAATATTGTTTAAAACTGCCGTATTTAGGCCATAAAACGTCCGTAATGTAGGGTCGTCGAATTGAAAATCTCCACTAATTAGATAGGGGTCACGTGGTACTCACGTGGTTTCCCATATTGTTATCATCTTTATTTTTCCTTTTTTTCAAAAAGTAATTTTAGTCTGTTCCAGTCTTTGGAGTATGGGAACTGCTACACGTTTCAGGATACTTCGTACATTACCAAGCGATCAGGACCTCTCCTGGGTAAATTCAATCTGAATCATTTATGGTGAACATATATGTTGTTCTTTTTTATACTTACTTGTATAATTCTAAATGCAGTTTATAATTTTCAATCCTTGTGATTTTTATTAAAAATAAAAAAATCTAAATGAACCTAAATACACATATATCATGAAAAAGTGAATATTCTGTGATAAATATATGTATATACATGTGCATAACATTGTAAAGAAATGATTATGATCTGTAATTATACAAATTATGATTAAATGTGCAATTTAATTTTTTCTTTAAATGCTTAAAGTCTAAGCATAATAAACCTATCATTCTGTACAAAAATGCAAACTATTCGTGTTTTAGTCGTAAATCGATATAAGTCCTTGGGAAATCCTAAATTTCATATATAACAATGAATAAATTGCCGGTAATTCATTTAAGATTATTTTTGATTAAGATAATTGTAAGAATATTTTGTTACTGTTTATAGCTCCTTGGACCCAGTTACCATATTTCTAAGCAAAATAGAAAGACATGTATTAATAGTTTATTTTTAATTTTCTTTTAGGTCTACGCCTTACACTTAATATTGAAACTTTTGAGTATGTTAAGGACTATATGGATGCATTTGGTATGCGTTTGGTAATTCATGAACCCGGTACGTTTCCTTTTCCAGAAGAAGAGGGATTTACCTTAAACCCTAATTTCGAAACAACCATAGGGATGAAATTGGTGAGACTTATTGAGCCATTGCGATGAGAATACATTGAAACTTTGTTTTATTATTATTTTTTTTACATTTCAAATTAGGACATAGAATCAGTACAGCCTAGAATCAAGTGAGATATATGGAGATAACAAACAGTATAAAAGCTCAAAAGTCAAGCAGATCAACATGCAACAGATATCTAAAATATCAGAGGTGGGATCAGGTGCCATTGATGAATGAGCATCCCCTTTCGATTGCTCACACTCATTGTGTACTCCTTATCATAATCTAGAAAAACCGGAAAAATCCATCGACAATTCTTGTGTGTAAATAATGGCCTTTAAATTATTACGAAAGACGATAGTCAGCATTTGACTCAATGATAGATTGCATTTGCTGACAAAGTCTATGTATCAATCATAGAACTTACGAAATGATGACTTTAAACGAGACTGGTAGATATTCTTGTTTCATCAACTTTTATGTCAGTTACTTAAATCGTTTAAGAAATTGTTCATGAATACGTAGAGCAAGCTCTTTCTAAGATAAAATAAAGATGACATAGTTTGGTTAAATCTATTCTGAAACCTAAATGGACATTTTAATGCATATTTCTTATTCTAAACAATAGGTAACAATCCAGCGAGCATCTGAACCGCATGGAAATTGTGAATCGGGTGAAGACTTTACACGAATGTTTGGAATACGCTACACTATCCCGGTATGAATTAAGTATGAAAATATTAGGTTATTTCCTTCATCCCCGGAAAGTTCTTTAATTAACCCCTCGAGAGGAAATTCACACAGTACATTACAAAAGGAATTATTTTTATTTAAAGATATTGAGATTCTGCCAAACTAAAAAAAACCTGTATATATCACAATTCATTGGCAAGAACTTTATTTTTGAGTATAACACGAAACAAAAGGGTCTGTTCGCCAAAATTTTATTTTTCGCGTATATTTTTATTTGTATGAAAACAACAATCGAAAAATGCAATATACCTATCTTGCATAAATTTTTTGTGAATCTACAGTACTGAGGACATATATACTTAAATTTCTTATTGAATCACATGTAGGCCTGTCTGAAACTTTGTCGTCAGAGAGAAATAATTAGCCAGTGTCAATGCATTCCTTCTACTTCATACATAAAGATTGGGAACACCGATTCCCTACCACTCTGTTCAAATTCAACCGGTGAGTATGTGATTGTGTTTCGAACATTAATCTAGGAAAGTAAGTGATGAATCATCCGTATACTTAACTTTAAAAAATATAAACTTTTAAAAAACATCATATTTGATATCTTAAAAAAAAAAAGATATCAAATATAATATTCTGTTTGCATCTAAATTGCGTATTTCATATCCGTTATTTCTTATCAAAGTTTTGGCGTTATTCTTATAATCCTGATAGGTTTAATTTGTCGATCTGTACGTCTTCCACAAACGTTTCCTAAAGTTATTTTTAAATATGTCTTTATGAATGGGGAGTAAAACACCATACAATAGATCTATAACAGTGATTTAAAACGAAGAAATAAAAAAACAAACTTCAACATTTTATTGTTGGTATATATGGTCAATAAGGTGTTGGTAGTTCTCATTTTTATCCAGGAGATCAATTGAGGATCGTAAATTTAAAACGCATTTTTCACATAAGTAATGTTTTCTGAAATCTTTAAAGCAAAAGCCGTACTTTATTTCATTTTTGAAGTTCATTTTAGTATTGGTTCTTTATTGCTTAATTCGAAAGATGTATATTTTGTTTATCGTCGGAAACCCACGGGTGATCTCGTCTTTACTTTCCGACGATGATTTTGTTTTGCAATTTACAGATTAACTTAGGTAATGTTGCTTGTACAGCGCTAGTTACACATGTAAAAAGAAAATACATTTTTAAAAAAGAGTTACGTGGAGGTGTTTCAAATGTTTGATGACAGCAAATAGTTAATGAATTCAATTTATGTTTCTTCTATTTTAATTTCTAAGATGCAAGCAGATGTGAGGAATTTCTTGTCTTCAAGCTAGAAAATAATTTACTTGACTGTAACTGCCGAAGCCCGTGTAGGTAGGTTTTCTACAGAGACTGGTCAGACAAATGCTATGGAACTGTGAATTATTATTGCCAAAATTTAAAAATTAAAGTCGAATAAATTATTTAAATTAGTAAAATGTGGTTCTCTCTTCCGAATTACAAAATTTATTAAAAACATTTATTGATTTGATGCGAGTTGTCTGACATATTTAATTAAATTCATGATTTCTTAAAAAGATATTTTCCTTGTAGACAAATAATATATGACACTAGCTTATCTGGGAGAGCCTGGCCAAGTCAGAAATTTTTGGTAAGGACAAAGTCAACGATTTTGTTACAAAATGAACTATTTTGACTGTGATTGATTTTCATAAATTGTAAGAGAATTAACCACATCTCTAAAACTAAAACATATGAAGTATTATTATCCTTGGTATAATTTGGTATTCTTATTGATAAGGTAGACGAATTGTTCCTTATTCCTTCATCAAATGATGTATTAAAACAAAGAGGCTTAGTAATTTGTATGAAAAATGTCAATCATTTTTTTTATTAATGGAAAAGGTGAAGACATCGAAAAGTGGTCGATTTAAAAAAAATCTATCAACAATACAAATGTGTGAAGAGGGCTTAAGAAACCTATGATGAGCTATATTGCTTATAAGATTAAGTCCATGTGCACGTAATAGAAGAATATAACTACATAAATAAGGAAAGTTGATGATTAAAATCTGAAGGGAACTCCATTGTCGTACAATTTAGTTGTTAGTTGGTCATATAGAGTCCTTATTTAGTAAAACATCCAAAAAAGATGTGGTAAACTCCCTTGTATCTTTTTTGCATATTTTTTTCGAGTTCAATGGAATATTTTGACTCGACTTATACATTTGTAAGTAGTTTTTCTTAATTGATGAAACGCCTTTGATATATCTTATTGTCGATAGAGATCAAAATATATGTCAGAAGGATAAAAGATATATACATTCGACAGTAAGAAAACTTCATGAAAATTCCATGAAACAAATTATATTTTTATTCTTTTGCGTTTATAAAGTATAGTAAAGTTCGTTAAATATTGAGTTGAAATTGAAAAGCCACTGTGCAAGAAATCCACACATGTGCGGCGTTAAAATAATCATAAATGACATTTTTTTTCAAAGTTAATAAAAGCGATAGTATTCACTGGAACTTTTATAAGATGATTTAGACTACTAGCACATGAATAATGTAATCAATTAAGAATTTAAATTATACCGAAACTTTATTTTTGTGCAAATATTAAGTTTGCAAAAATGGATCAGTTAAAATTAAAATCTTCCAACCTTTCTAGATTTTATTGTTGCATGGTCCCTGTACAGCTACATTGGAAAAAGTTTTCCTTGAAGTATTTCGCAAATGCACATTTAACAGATATGTATTTGGCGTTTTGTAGAAAGAGAATATAATGGCTGACATTTGTGATGGATCCCGCAATTGGTTTTTCGCCCAGGAATGCAATAAAGTATTACAGAATTACGCTACAGAGAGTGAAATCGAGAGGTATTTACACACACATTTTTTCTACTTTTTTGATTAACGTGTGATTAGATCTCAAAGGGATGTTTACTTGAAGTTTTCTTATTGTCTGCCATTTTAATTGTTGTCTAACACCTCATATACATTGATAATTAGATAATTTTTTTTTTTAAAAATAGAGACCCAGAAATACCCATTTACATGTACCACTTAAAATGCTAATTTAAAAAGAAATAATGTCAGAGTTTCGTTATCTGTTTACAGATATGAGTATAAGGTGGTGTTTTTAATCGCATAAAAGTTATAATTCGAAAATTTTATTTTTATTGAGGAAAGGGCTCTGTAAATTGCCTTAGTGAAGTTCAATGGTACAAGTATACAAAATTTTGGAATAATATTGTCACAATTCGAAGATTCGAAAGACAAAAAAAATCCATGTTTTCTACAAATTAAGTGACTCCTAATAATTGAAATCAGACACCAGGACAAATTGTTATAGCGTTATGCCATCTAAATTCAAAATGGTTTACATGGAATTCAATTAATTTTATTATAACGAATTAAAAAGGTGCTTGCATATGATATTAATTCAATTTTGTCGAAGCTATTTATATGTAAATTGTATTTTGTCAGTGAAAACAATATATATTTGTAATTTTTGCAGCTTATCAGGAAACTTTCTAAAAGCCGTAATTTATTACGAGGATTTGAACTACGAGGAAATTAGAGAAGAGCCAATGTATGACGTAAGTTATAAATCTGAGATCTAATTACATATCTGAGTTATTAATCTGAGAATCTGAGAACCAATGTACAATGTACATGACTGATTTAATTATCAATCTTAAGGCGAATTTCTTCTTTTCTTATTCCATTCTTAGAGATTTTTAATAGATTCTTTACTTTTATTTTCTTCAGATATTAAGTTTTTATAGATTCTTTACTTTTATTTTCTTCAGATAATGAGTTTAAGTGCATTGTTTCCATTTTTTTAACAGGGCTTTCAGTTAATTTCGGATGTCGGTGGTGCACTTGGTCTTTTCATGGGGGCCTCCATCATGAGTTTTGTAGAGATTTTTCAATTTTTCATCGAACTACTAAATTTTTTGCGCTCGAAAGTGTTCCGGAGACCTACGAGTTCATTAACACCAGTCACAGACATTTATTTCAAAGAACCAATAGAGAAAGAGGATCAAACCTGGTCGAAAGAATGAATGCCAAAAAATTAATGTTTTTTAAAAAAAAACAATTAAAATGTACAGTCATATGCATTATGTATATAACATATAAATTTAAGTTAATGTGATTGAAATGTTCTCTTAATCAATTCATTGAAATGTAATCGATCTCATTGTTATGATAGTAGAAATCAAAAATATTATTAAACTGTTTTAGTCTTAAGTTTTGTGGAATTTCATATCTAATTTCTGTTTTATATTTAACAAAAGATAGTAAATAGCACACGCATACAAATATATGCCATTATTTTTTTTCTAAAGCTGATGTCTAATATAAACATCTAAAGAATACTGACAGATTCAATACTCCCAAACACAACGATTTTGTATCACAATGATGGATTTACTGTTAACATATAATGTCTATAGGTTGCAAGTTGTATTATTCTAATTGGTCAATATCTTCACAAAATCAATTGTAGTTATTATTCACTGCATGTTCATTAAGCACACAATTGATGTCCACAAAGAATTGAGCATCATTGGTTTATCTTGGACAAAAAAATGGTAAGAAAAAAAGATTTTTTATAGATTCTTGTATTACACTGAATTTAACTAAAACTAGTTATAAATTTGATAAAAAAAACTTATAAAATATACAGAAAATACCTGAAGATACGAGCATGTTATTCAAGGTCTTTCCACCCTCACAATTCTAATGGTTCAAAGTACAAAAACTGCATTTATTTTCATTTAATATACTTTAATTTTTTCAAATATTGCAAAAAAATGTATAGGTCATCATATTATTTAAGATTGGAGACATAAATAAACAGAAGGATATGTCAACAAAAAATATCGTACATTTTTTGTAAACAGTATTATTATGAAAAATATGCAAGAACTGGTTAAAATGCATAATTCTGATACTGAATGTTCCTAAATACTTCCTAAGATACTTTGAATTGTGAATATCAGGGAAACTTAAGATTTAACATTAGAAGTACAATAAAACAAATGCCTGAAGAGACTTGAGAAGGAGTTACTGCCTTATCAATTATTGATAATTATACTATTAATACAATGCACAATTGTTGCCCTTGTCAACATTTTTTAAAGATTGAATAATTGATGAAATAAATAAAATGCATTTTTAAAATTCTTTTACTTTACAATATTTTTCAGTACACCTATTGAAAAGCATTCCTTCAAAAGATATTGTTCTATCGGGTATTAATTTAAACTAAAACAGTTTTTGCAAAAACCTTTGACATCATAGGAGGGTGGAATTACCTTATTTGAATAAATAAAAATATACTAAATCGTGTTAATTTTCCAAAATCGATAGGCAAGTGATATAAAAAGTTTTCCTAATGTCCAAATCGTATTATTAAATATTAAAAGACTATTTAGCATAAAAAGCATACTAAATTTCTTGCAACAGATTTTGTGTAATTTTTAAAAGAAAAATATATATTATAATGCATTTTTTTTACTTTATCTTGATATGAAAAAAGCGACCTTAAAAGAAATTTCATTATGATATTGAATGATTATTGTTTGATGATGCCTTATCGAATAAATATACATAATTTTTTTATAACAGCCAGGATCATTCTCGTTAACGCTAAGACAACTTATTTCCATTTCATCATTTTAGTATACAAGATAAAAATAAAATCACATAAAGCAAATAATAAAACATTGGAGACCCTTTCCCCTTCGGCTTTTCTAAGGATGTAGAACTTCTTCATATCTTATTTTCCCACTTATTTTAAAGGTCTCTATTAAAAAGTGCATCTTGTAATTATAAAAAAACTACATCTAGCCTAATTAGACATTTATGATGTAAAAAGGAAAATAAAAACTGATCATAAATTGCTTTTTAAAAGTATTTTTATAAAAATCATAAAAAGACAGAATCTTTGAATTCACGTAAAAGATTTAAAGGTGTATGGACACAGATTTGAAGTTAATAATTTCTGTATAATATTACAACTTATATATTTTTAATAACATTTCACACAAAAATATAATAAAAATCTTATTTCATATTAAACTTTTAAATTTTTTGACGGGTTTGATTGACACATCCTTGCACTTCCACAAATTTTAATTTTATTCTTAATACTTAGAAAAAGTGGCAATTCTGTTGTATACAAATGAAAAATATTAAAACTATAATCCAGAAAATTCAGAGTAGAAATGTTCGAAAGCAAAACATACACACAGTATATTGTCAGTCCGTGCAGTTGTGGTGAGCAGACTTAAACGATTGAACGCACCCGGTGAATTGTAAACATCAACAATAACAGAGGTCATGCCCTGTTTACAAAAACTGTGTACGTTTCACGGGTGCGATAAATTTGCGAAGCTCTGTACACAAGACTTAGCGCGGAATGACGATACTTTTGAAGAGTTTTTGCTTTCTAACATTTTTACTCTGAATATAATTATTTTTCTGGATTAAAGTTTTAATATTTTTCATTTACACAAGATTGTCATATATATTAAAATATATAAGTCGTGATATTATACAGAAAATACTAACTTCAAATCTGTGTCCATGCACCTTTAATAATGATTAAGTAGAAAATTTAAATATAAAATAAAAAAAATTGTGATAACGAGCAGTATTCAAGCTCAAATTCCAATTAAACAAACCAAATTGGGAGCAAAGCAAACTACCTTCAAAAACACCAGAGACGTGATCAGGAGCCGTAGAGGAATACGCATCCCCTGTTGACCTGTCACACCCGCCCTGCACTCCTTATTTTCATCTGGTACACGGAGAAATCCTTAGAAATTTCAGTGTGTTAATAAAATTATACGAGACTATCTCAAGCATCTTTTTATATCAACTTCAGAGTGCTTGTACGTACAATCAGAAATTTTTTTTTAACAAAATAATTTTGCAAATTTCCAATATCAAGGTAAGTAAATTTACGAGTTTAATTTTCATTGAAAAAGAAGCTGTCTTTGATGTTTAACAATCTGGTTTTTAGTTTTTTCGTGAAGATGGTTGATAAAACAGGGATATCAAGATCATTTCGTCAATTATCTGGTCGATACAATTACCTTGTCAGTAAATACAATCTATCATTAAGTCAACTGCTGACTGATGTTTTTCATACTAATTGTTAGGCAATTATTTATGTCGACGGGTTTTCTCCGTTATTTTCCGATCATGACAATGAGGTCACGGTCCTCCATAGCACCGCTGTTGTTTTTTGGAGGCCCGTGTTTGCTCTGCTCATGATCTGTTTTTGTAATAGACTTTTGAGCTATTTTGTTGTATAAAGTGTTGAAAAGTGCAATCTTTAATGTTATTGACTTTAATCAAATTTTGTAATTCAAATTTTCTAAAAATTACTTAGAGTTCTTTCACATATGATTTACAGCACTTCTCGAATATACATGTACGTCTTACAGTGTTCCTGAAATTTCCCCTTCATTGCTGTAAATAGTTAAGTGAAAAGCAGGATTTGTAGAACATTTACTGGAACCCGCTATGTACTTTTGCTTTTATGGATTTTCACATAGTATGGGATAAAGTAATTTTGATTGTTGGGAATTAAAAAAAATATTTTTAACACTAGCTTGTGGTTTCGGAGAATTTTCTTCTTAGAAAGAGATATGTGGGTATAATATGGATTCCAACTTGCAGAATTAAACCTTTAGTTAGTTTATCCAGTTCAAACAATTTTTAAAAATGACCCGTACAGACAATGGCATAATTTGTTACCGGCTTTGTCAGTTGGGACCAATAACAAAATCACTTTCAAAATATACGGAAATACTTTGTTTGCATACAGAAAAAAATTACACTGTTCCTTTAATCTTAATCATAATATGCATCTACAAAACCTAGATTTACTGAATAGAAACGGAAATACTTCAATGCATATAAAATATATTTTAAAATAACAATCCCTTTCAAGAATAAATATCATTGGTAAATACACATGTCCATTCTTATACAATAATATTATTATTTTTTAGTTTAGGGGCGTATTCTGTTTTAGCTTACTATAAATTATTCCATTTGTTAACACAACTATTGTTGCAGAGGTATTCAAGAGTACAAGGTATTGAAGCATATAATGCAAGCCTTCAGCATAAATGATTCAGGTCCGAGAGATATTAATTACGTTATTTTTTCAATAATATAAATCAGGGTAATCTATCTATAGGACTACAAATACTGGTGCAGAATACAGGAATTCCTTAAACTGTTTTGGCTTAAGATACAAAGATCAAATTCTAAAATGTTCTTAATCCAAATAAAAGACTCATTTGCCTTTACATGTACATTATTTACTTTAAAAAAGGATAGAAAATTAAGCTCTGCACCATGTCAAATCTGAGTAAAGTAACAATGCGAGTGAATGTTCACTGAATACTGTAAACCAAATACATGTATTATTCGCGTCATCTTTTATTCGCGATTTGTCCGTTTGAAATCAATCCGTGACGATTAATTTTCACGACAGAGGAAATATTCCTTACAAAGACGAAGAAAAATTATTGGTTCGCGGCGATTGATTTTCGCGAGTTTAAGTCGGTCGCTAAAAATATTATTTTACCTTTGAAAATAAATCCACTTGGTTTTCATATTGATCTGTTTTAGGAACCAAAGGCTAATGACGATCACTCTATAAAGGATGTGATTGTAACAATGGCAGAATCCTCTTCTCTACACGGCATCTCCCGCGGAGTGGCCTCTAAGCACTGGTACCAGAGAGTTCTTTGGTTTCTTGTCTTCTTCGCAGCTACAGGTGGAGCTATCTACCAACTTTCTCGTCTGTTCTCGTCGTATAGCTCATACCCAGTAAAAACTTCGGTGGAATTAAAATTCTCAAGTCTTTCGTTTCCTGCCGTGTCCTTCTGCAATATGAACCCCATCAAAATGTCAAAACTGGGACTGGCAAGCAAAGAAACTATAAAAATAATAAACGTAAGAATTTTATAGTTGAAAATACTATGAATTAATAACATTCAAATCTCATTGTTTGTTGATTTATTTACATTGTCTTCACCGCGACACCTAAGAAACTGAACTGGAGACAAATAGTCTTTTTGTTCTAAGATTGCATTGTCTGTTCTTGATTAGTAGATATTTAAAGAGATTAATCCTTTTTATGTTCCCAATTCCTTTGTGTATCCCTATTGTGGCCCCACCCCCAACAGGTTTTATGGTTCGGACAAACTTGAGTTTGCACTTTCTAAATATAGTTGCATATTCTTAAAAAAAAAGAATTTCAAAAGATTTTTTCCTATTTATTTCACTATAAAACATTGATTCATTTTTGTGGCTAAGTCTACTTTAATATGATTGGCTTTCATGTCCTTGAAAAGAAGAGTTTTTAAGATCCCTCCATGTATTCTAAGTAAAATTGTTTCTAAATTGTGGTCCACACTCATCCCTGGACCATGAAACGATCAAATTTGAATCTACACTGTATAAAGGAGCACTCATGTAAGTTGTGTCTTTTCTAGCAAAGTGGTTCTTGAGAACATTTTTGAATGTAGCCATCAAATTTTCAAGATTTCTTAATTTTAAAAGAGGGAGTGACCCTCATATTCAAATCTGAATTCCCTTTACCCAAGAATATTTTGCGGAAAGTTTAGACGAAACTTGTCAAGTAGTTAATATATAATTTTAAAAATGTAAAAAAAGTGCACCGACAACAACATAAACATACAACATCCTACATAGGACAGATATATGGACAAACGCTAGACACTGTTTGGTCATAAAAGCTCACTTGAGCTTTTAACTAAGGATCCCTAATGACTTTGAAGAAATAGTATAAAGGTGGAGATATTAGGTTGATCTATTTTATGTAGCAAGCAGTACCTGTCATTCTATTCATATAAAAATGCTCAAATGCAACAAAGTATGCAAAAGTAATGAATTGAAAAATTGAATACAAACTGTGTATTACAGCACATTGTAAATTTCTGTTTAGGCAATTTAAAAATGGCAGATAATTCTTACTTTATATTAATACTACAGAATGGAATTTTTCAAAGTGTAGTGCGTAGGGGGAGCTTAACAAACTAGAGGTACTGTGAGCAATAAGCTAACTAATGATAGATACCCCCGCCTCCCATATGAATATAATGGCAGTCTCCCTGTTTTGCTACGGGAAACCCAAAATATGTGTAGGATCAATAAGTAAAATAGGAGGTCACAATAGCAATATGACTTGTAATAAAGATTCTGTGAAAGTCTCATCAAATTTCAGTCAATGGTATGATAGGAGTCGCGGATAAGAGATGAGTACCCCAAAGCGTAACAGACAGACGTACAGACGGACGGACATCCCGATTACTATATACCCTCCCACTTTTCAAGCGGAGGGGGGGGGTTTATAAAAATGACATTTTCACTCAAAGACGAGTCTTGTATGCAAAAAATGAGTATGAATTCATGTACATGTTTTATTTATGATAGTAAGAACATATTTGATGAGGAATTATCTTTTTTTGCCCACTTAAAATGTTTATATTCATAAATAAGCGTAATGAAAAGGATATTCTTATACTGAATATCAAATTCTGTCTAACAGGGCACTGGACAACTAGCGGGTAAGAGAAAGAAAAGAGACACCTCTAGCGATGTTCTTTTGGCCAAGATTCGCTATTTTGCCTCAAAGAAAACGCAACAGAGACCACATTTGGTAAAAGGACATGATCGCAATAAAAAAGAACCCAAATCGTCGTTAAAAAATATACTTCATAGGGTCAAAAGAAGCAGCTCATGTGGAAATGGATCCATGTTGTGCACTGGATATTTTGAAAATTCAGATCACTATGATAGATACATGCAGAGTATGCTATCAGAAGACGCTTTTGTTCAGGATGAGTGGAACAAACGAGTGTCGAGTTTTCGATCCGCATTTCAAAAGAACGCCAGGTAATACTTTAAAAATTAGTAGGATGACTCAAGATAGTCTCAAAATAAAATACTGGTCTAATACCTCACAAAAAAGCGGAATCCACGGTGCATATACATATTTCAGATATACAATAATAAACTACATGTACATGGCCCATTAACCTCTTGTTATCTATAAAAATATTCCCAATTTTTTTTAAACATTTTTCCTTTTTAGAGACATCAGAGAGGACATTGGTCACAATATTTCGGACATGTTGTTATCATGTGCATTCGATGGAAAAGAATGTTACGCTGAGTAAGTTTCAATCATCAAATATATCAGAATCGAATGATTAAGTTACTGTTATATGAATATATGTACTTCTATCAAAGGATCCTTTCCTTGATATGATATCATCTGTAAGATTTTTTAAATGTACATTTCAGAAACTTTACCCTTTTCCAGTCTTTGGAATATGGCAACTGTTACACCATTGAAAGCAGTTCCTTCGTCACGAAGCAATCTGGACCGCTTCTTGGTTTGTAAAAATAAAAAAAAAATGAAACAATAAAAAAGCCATAAAAAAGTGAAGGTTATAAGTGTTAAATTGTTATTATTATATGAGTTTTATGTTGATAGGATTAAGACTGACATTAAATATTGAGACTTCAGAGTATATTGACAACTACATGGACGCTCATGGCGTAAGGCTGGTAATTCACGAACCTGGAACTCTTCCATTTCCAGAGGATGAAGGCTTCACCCTCAACCCTTCATATGAAACAACAATAGGAATGAGAATGGTATTCATGTAATGATTCAAGATTTAATGGTTAATTTCCTTGCACAATGTATTAATCTGAAGACATGCACTGTAGTTTTATCCATTTTGTAGGTAAATAAAATTGCCTCAAACAAACAAAAAATGTTGTTTAATTAATTACTGTATTATCACTTTCATTTTTTCCCATGACATATAAGTAAATGGTATAATTCACCTGTAAAGAAATTTATTTCATTAAAACAGTAGAAAAAATATTATCGCAACAAGATGACACAAGTACATAAAATACACCGTGTTTAGAGAAACCATGCTTACCTTTTTCTAGCTATCGATCCATCGGGCATCACAGCCACATGGTAATTGTGACAATGGTGAAGACTTTATGAGGCTGTTTGGAATTCGATATACAATTCCGGTATGTGTGTGACGTCATAACTTACCAATCTGAAAATCTGCACTTTTTAAAATGCATGTCCGTCTCCTTCTAGTGAAACACTTTGCCAAGCCTTACCAAACTTGTCACAAAACAGGTCGAACAAGGGTAAGTTGCATTTGTGAGTGCAATGGGCAACATGTTTTTTTTTTTAAGTTGAGGGATGAGTGGCTAGTGGGGAAAGCCAACTGTTTATATCGATATTATTCTGTATAGCCGCTGACTAAAAGTCTGTAAATGCTTCTGCAGACAGTGTACAGTGAAATATATTTACATTTCCAACTATTTTCCCTTAAGATTCTTTACAAATTAGAAAAGGTTCATGTTCTCATGAACTATCATGGGTTGAGTAAGAATATTACTATTGTAATGTGATTGAAGTCAAAAAATAGTGCAACTTTTTTCTAAAAAAAAAAGAAAGATCGTTGAATGACAAAAAATGTTACAAGTCATCAGAAAATGGTTTTAGTATAAGATATGAATTTCATTTTTGAAATTCATGAGGTACATCATCGTCGCAAACCACGGCCAAAATGTACGCTCCTCTCCCATCTGGCCGTGGTTGAACGAGGAGAGATTTCTTCGTAGCTCATTAAAATATTGACCAATGCGAGTAAAGCATAGTCGGATGATGAACTTTATCGCGACCTTTCAATATCCAATCGCAGTATAGGAAATATTTCTTGTATACTGTTGACGTCTGTTGCTGATTTCGATTGCGATGGAAACAAAACTTGCCACTGACTGAATATGACGTCACAATAGAGGGGCGTAAATATTCAAGATTACGACACTTTTTGTGATCAAGCAGCCACGGGTAGGAGAGAGCTATATGCGGACTCCGGACCGTGGCTAGAGACGATGGAGGTACATGAACTACAACGCTTCACACCTGCATATTTTTCAAAAAGCACTAACGCGCATCATGAAAAATACAGGCGTAAGGCGTCGTAGTTCATGTCCTCATGTATTTCTCAAAAATTAAATTTATCTCTTAAACAAACCAGTTACTGTAGTATTTCAGGTATAAATTGGAGAGCACAAAGGGGCTCAATACAACAAAGAAAAAAATTCCTATCCAGAAGATTTATACTGAGCTTTTCGATTAGAATGTTTAACGAGGCCCGATCTAGTTGAAAATTACGAAAACGGAATGATGAAAAATTTTAATTTTTGGAAATATTTTTGTATGTATTATGCTAAGAAAAATTAGAATGAAATTTTATTACCTTGCCTTTATTGTAGTCAAATGGGGGCACTGTCAAGATATGGACCATTTTTTGTGTTTTTGTACACAATTACATAAGAAAACTCCCCAATAAACAAAGAAATTGAAAATAAAAAAAAAAAATACATGATGAAATGTTTCGTTTTTCACATATATCATGCACTTTTCATTCATCTTATGAAAAATGAAAAGAAAATTGAAGGTAGCCTTTATTGCAGTGAAAAGGGGGCATATCAAAACACAAAATTAGCACTTATTTTATCCATCTAGATATCAAATAAGTCGCCATGGGTGTATAAAACATCAACAAACGATTACAATACTGTATTAGTTTCTAAAAAATAAATATTTATTACATTTTGAAATAATTTTCTCTTCGTGCTTTCTTTTTTTAAACGCGACGTAATTATACGTGGAAAAAAGGGAGGGGGGGGGTAAATGCGACAAATGACGAATTTTACTTATATCATGTAAAATATAGAAAAAATGAAATATATCGGGGTGTTGCATTTAAATGATTCATAGACTGAGTTTTTTTAATCAAGCTAATTCATGCATATTTAAGTCCTCAATAAAAAAGAGTGTGTATAAAGACCTTAACATATTCAAGGAGAAAGACTAAAATCGTTTACTTTTGGTTGCAGTGTTTGTTTTTTAACTCACAAATTGAAATAAAACAAGGTAAAATTGATGAATATGTACCAAAAAATTGATACCTCAAAAAAAAATCATGTTCCAAAGTTGTTTATTAATTAAAAAATATTTTTAAAAAACATGTAAATAATAGAAATACCAGCTTTCAACATGTACAGTCTATAGAATTACCAAGTATGCAAGATCAGCGAAACATTTTAGCGCAATTTGACGTCATTTTAATTGTGACGTTATTGTATTCAATTGTGACGGCAGTCAAAGGTACTGTGACGTGCCTGAGTCGACGCTGCGTTAAAACGTATGCGCAGTTCAACTAGATCGGGCCTCGTTAAAAGAAAAATAATCTAAAGAAAGTTGATCCATTATTCGAAAATGATATTATAGAGACATAAAATAAATCAGTACTCTAGAGCTTGTAATTCATTAACATACATCTTTTTTACAAACTATTATTAATTATAGTTTTATTGATTTTATTTACTCAGTCCTGTTTGAAACTCTGCAAGCAAAGGGAGATAATGGAGAGGTGTTCTTGTTTACCGTCTACGTCCTATGTGAATGTCGGGAACTATGATGGTTACAAGCCCTGTTCACTACACCATGGTAATTTTAAAAGTTGTTTACTTAATATCCCCTTGCAAAGAAGTTGGAGGGACTTAGGTTGATGCGCGGATTGATGAGTGAGTGCGCGAGTGAAAGTTTTGACATTAATCTTGTTGTCCTATTTTTTCAATTTGTTATTAGCTTAATTTTTGTTGCTGAAATTATGAAGGATTCCTTTACTATTTATCCTAGCTGATGTAGGATTTTGAATCTAAGCATTTTTTTAAAGAACATTTCATTATACATGTATATCCTCTTAATTGATAAACGTGACTGAGAAATGCATGCATAGGAAGGGCATTTGTATCTTACGAATATATTTCTTTCTAAGCGTATTTCCTTTGTATTTTTTCTCCATATTTATAGTGGATGTTGACTGTGAAAAATTTGTCAACTACCAGATTGAAAACCAGCTTATTACCTGCAACTGTCTCAGTCCATGCAAGCAAGTTCTAAATCAATCATCTTACTTTAAACAAATAAAGAATTTTCAATTACGGCATTCAAATCATATTGCTAATACTTTTTAAAAAGTTGTTTATTATCTTATGTATCAATGACATATATGAATTAATCCCTTCTCAGATATACTGCAATAGGGGATTATTATAATCTCTGTAACATTTCTTTCCTCAGACAATTTGTTTACAAAACAAGTTTATCTGGAAGGAAATGGCCAAGTGAAACGTATATGGTAAGCTGTTTTCAATAGTGCAATCATTATGTTTGTTTGAATTTCAAGAATTTATATCATAACGTTCCTAGTCGTTTATCAAAGTAAGTTGCGTATAAAACTATAATTGGTGAAAAACATTATGGTGGACTGTAATAAGTGATATTTAATTTTAAAATGTTATCATTTAGACTAAAGGTGTCATATTTTCACATGTGCTTTATACAGAATTAAGTCCAATATTCACTCAGTTACAGAAAGAGGTTTCTCCTCTTCAGAATCCAAACATCACATTTCTCTCACATGATATAACAATAGAATTAATTGCAATTTTTTCCCTATTTTTTCACTCACTGTACACAATTCATGGTGTTAAATTATGTATACATGTACTTCTTAAACATTCAGAGAAACAGAAATGTATATTCCTTGTATATATCTTTCGTTATCCTATTGTTATTCTATGTACTACAATTAAATATGTAGACATTTTCATGATTTAAGAAATCTGATTAAATAAATCGTTCATTTTAGTCGGACAATCTGATGAAAGATCTCTGCCATAATAGGAATATTTGGTATTTTAAAGGAATGTGCGAAAATCTTAAATTGAAAGCAGTAACAAAGACGGAATCAGAAAGGTTCATTTTCGTACTCTCTCTCTCTCTCTCTCATATGAAATATATTATTTTAGAACAACGCCCAGTTTAGCTTGGACTTTCAGTAAGGCGTGGTATTCTCGACGTTACATAATTAGCTTCTGAAATTAACACAGCTTTCCTTCTCTTTTGAAATATACATTTAAACAATATTTATTCAGTAAACTGAATAGATTGGGCAACAGGCTTAAGCCTATAAATACCCTCTCTATACAACAGGTCAAGGTTACAATACAATGAACAGAGTATATATTTACAATGTATATTTAGATATGAGTGCTCACATACGCATTCACACACACCCTCACACACGCAACCACACCCTGACTCGCACAGATCCAGATCAAAATAAGCATAACAAATATAAACATGTATAAAGTGGCAAGAATGCATATAAAAAAAGAAGAAGAATGAGCTTAAAAACGTTTTGTTAACTTGATATATTCATGTACATTTTTTAATTTTTTTATAATATTGAGGTTCGTTTGGAACGAATATTCCGAACTCCCTTGTAAAAGAATTTTTAGATCATAAGGTACATCAAGCTCATTCAAGTTTTTTCTTAGTTTGTTTCTTTGAATGCTATATGCTGGACAATCCATAAAAAAGTGTTCATTATCTGGTGTATGGTAATTACACTTCGGGCAAGATGCATCGGCTATTATATAATGATTTTTTTAGGTGTGCATCAAGATTACTAGCTTTATTACGTAGTTGACAGTGAAGTACACTCTCATTCCTGCTAACTATTTTTAGTTTTGACTTGAAAATTGATAAAGAAGGTGACATTTTCACATCAGAACTAAGATTATTCCACAGTTTTATAGTTGAAGGAATAAAACTTTCATAGTATGTTACAGTTCTACATAACGGTAAAGAAAGATTATTACCATCTGATCTCAAACTATAAGAGTGTTGCACTGGTTGGAAGGGCTGTAATAATTCGTTAAGATAATTATGGCCAATACCCTGGAAAATTTTATAAAATAAAATTAGTTTTTGATTTGTTCTTCTCTGATATAATGGCTCCCAGCCGAGTTCGTCGTATAGATTAGATCTTGAGGAATTTACTCTCAGACCAGTAATAATTCTTGCGGCTTCTACTTGGACCTTTTCTAACAATTCTGCATTTTCTTGTGAGCAATTATCCCATATATACATGAAATATACATGGGAAAGAAACTCGGGCAAATGCCAATAAGTGTATCGAATAACCATGCAATAGCGTTGTCTCCTCCGGCAAAAAAGGTGGAGCTTAAGTCGTCTCATCGTTGTCAACAACAATTTCAAATCCCTGATGTTATTAACCAATGATAATCTATTCGCCATTTGACAGACGCTAATTACGCAGCGCCGAGAATGCCACGCCTTACTGAAAGTCCAAGCTTACCTGGGAGTGGTTCTAAAAGTTTTTTATTCTTTTTTTCAGTGCCGTAAGAAATTTTTTGAAAACGGAAATATACTACGAAGATCTGAATTATGAAATAATTACCGAGGAACCTCTTTATGATGTAAGTATTTCAGGTTTATTTTAAGACAATGTTGGAAAACAAAGTCTCTTTAAGACCTAAGAAATGTCTATTGATTGATTGATTGTATGTTGTTTAACTTTACTCTCGAGAATTTTTTACTCATACGGAGACGTTACCACTTGCCGATGGAGAGCTACAAATTTTGTCTTGTACTCGGCACTTCGGGCCATTGAGCATTGAGGGATCTTTTTCGTGCCAGCACCTACTGCAACACGGGACCTCGGTTTATACGGTCTAGTAATGTCTATTATATGGGAATGTTTAAAGGGCATACTTTTTGTCTCAGACTAGACTGATGCTCTCTCATTTGGTAATCGACAGCAAGTGTCTTTCTTCAGTATTTGGAAGACAAGTTTCAAAATTTGAAAACGTCATATAAAATTTTTGCACTGATGCGACTAACTCCTTTTCAGTGATGAAATACCGGTAAGTAAACAAACAAACCAATAAAGAATGAATTGAATAAGACAAATGAGGGAGCTTTAAAACATAGGCGCTTGGTTTTAGGATGGTGTCTTTGGTGTTTTATGTGTTTTTCTAGGTGTGTCGGAATACCCTCATTAAAAGTGTTTGTTTGTTTTTGTTTTTTTTTTTTAATTTTTTTAAGGCTTTCTTAAATCTTCATTTTTCTCTCAAGATCATGTAATAAATGTGTAATATTTTTGTTGACAGTGTGCTGCAAACGTATAAATAAGTAATATTTCGATCGATCACAGGAAACTCATCTCAAGACATTCGTAATTGTTAAAATAAAAATTATCATTACATGTCTTCATTGAAAGTGGAGCTTTCACCTAGTAACTGAAATTTTCGGGGATAAAGAATTATTTTTTTTATTGTTACTTGTTAAGATAGGCAACTACTTCTCTGATTGTGACTTATTTGTTAATTGCCCAGCTAAGGACGAATTTCTTTTACACCTCTCTGTCACTGGGCATCCTGAACGATCGTCATTTATAACCATCTGCTTACTTCTCTAAAACAATCAATCCAATTACTTACTGAACTTTTGGCAAGTCCTTCATAGCCATATGTCATGCATGGATTTATACATATATTACAGTGTTGCAAAAGACTGACTAGGATAGTTAGTATAACTAACAAACCTTCACAATTGCTTCCTTGTAATATTGGTCATTATGTGTTTTTTTTCTTTTATTTCTAGGGATTTCAGCTAATCTCAGACATAGGTGGCGCCCTAGGACTCTTTATGGGAGCTTCCATCATAAGCTTTGTAGAGGTTTTGGCTTTCATTATAGAAGTGATAAATTTTCTTTGGAAAAAAATTTCCATCCAAAGAATATTCACCAAAAGCACCCAAGTTCTTGATTTTAAAGAAGAAAAGGAACACAAAAAAGATTCAAACGCATAGTCTGGAAGGACTTTTGATTTTTTTTGCATTTGTGAAGATTCATCATGAGGATTGTAAAAGCTAACCATGAGAACATCGATAGCATTTTTTTTTCTTGGCAACGATGGCCAGTTTGAAAAATTTGAGTATTTAATAAGCATCTACTTTTGTTGAAGGTTATTTTGAAATGATAATAAAAAACACATACATGATGTTGTTAAATGATTTTTTAATTGTGGAATTATAGAGGGAAAGGTAGATGATTTACCAATGTTGGAAATTGGATAAATTCTCCCAAACAGTGCGCAAAAAATCTGGCGCTGTAAATTGCACATTTTTTGCATTACGGGATCTACAGCGTTATCTGGTTATGGTCAAGACTAATACTGTATATAAAACCATAACACTACAGTTCTGCAGCTAAGTGTGCGAGGTACGAGCCACCCGAGGAGATCCGGGTGACAGTAGGTGCTAGCACGAAGGTATCCTTGATTGCCGAATAAAGGAATAGATGCAGCCCTCTACGGGCAAGTGGTAGGTGGTCTCAATACTGATCTGGTCGCACTTCTTGAAAACTCTTTGCAATGGTTCTGCTCCTCCGCGTGGCGCATGCAGTGGTTAGAGCGTTATCCTAAGCCTAAGGTCGTGGGGTCGAATGCCACTGAGTCGGGTCGTGGCTCAGACCGGTCCCTCCGATGAGACAAAACTAGAGAATAAATGACAGGTACCCTAGCTATGTTGACAACAAATAATTTCCATGTTTGTATAATGCCCCAGATTTCATTTTTTTTTTCATTGATGTTTCCCATTTACCTCTGGACTGTATATTTACCTTTTGGTTGAAGGAATTCTCTTTCTCATCATTTGCCACATTTCGGGTGTTGCTAAAACGCGGAACGGAAAACGGAACGGAACGGAAAACGGAAAATATTTCTCAAGCAAATAACAAAGATTCGATATAAATCAGATAAAGAGCAATCTTCTTGTTGTAAAAGTCACTTCTAATAAAAATTTATTGTAAACTATTATATATTTATGAGTCATACACACATACAAAATGGTACTGAAATTCGAACCCCCCCCCCCCCCACTTACACACACAAACCATTGGCGTCGGAAGAAAATTTAAAGTGGGGGGGGGGGGGGGGGCTAAGTGCAAAAAAAATATACCTTCAAAAAAATCCTTGCAAGCAAAAAAATCCTATTTTCTAGGGGGGGGGGGGTTTGAACTTCAATACCATTTTTTTTTTCCAAATACAACCACTTTCACCATTCTTAACCTATACTGCAGTGTGTCTGTGGAAAGTGTGTGTGTGTGTGGGGGGGGGGGGGGGGGGGCTAAACCTACGAAACAATGTTCAATGTCTATACTAAGTATATGTTTGGAAAAAAGAGGGGGCAAAGACCCCCCCCCCCGGTTCCGAGGCCTATGCAAACACACACACAAAATTGGATTTTCGTGTTTGGGCAAAGGACATTTCCTCCATTTTTGCTCGTCAAATTTGTTGTATGTTTGTAATTTTTTCTGACCCCCACCCCCTCTTTCAATTTGTTTCCAATGTCAATGTCTGTAAAGACAAAAATAACTAGTTATGATATTCAGATTATGCACGCAGTGTCGAATTCGCGAATGATGAAAGAGGGAGTGGCAGTTTCGGGTCTGTGTAGGGACCCACAGCCACATTAAAAATTGATTTATTAAATCTTATGTTTATTTTGGCTTAAAAAAAGAGGGGGGGGGTTCAGACCTATCACAGCTTATAAGACTTTTCTGATGAGTGGGAATATTTACGGGGTCATTCATAAACAACCCCCCCCCCCCCCCCCCCCGCACAACATACAAACATATGTACCTCAAACAAAAAACAAACAAAATTTAAGTTTAAATTGAAAGATTCTGCATTATATCTTCCACATGAAAGATTTCCTACTTTGTCTATCCAGAAAACGACTCTATTTTGGATAAAATTTAACAACCAGTGAGTATGAGAGATGTTTATTCGAGCTTGCCGTTAAGATTTGCACTAAACGTGATCTTAATATTTCTTTTACATTTTATTTCTCTTTCCGTGGTTCAATAAGATATCAAATATTGCCCCCCCCCCCCCCTAGTCATAACCTTTTTACTACGGAAATGTTCATTCAAGTTCACATCCTCACTTTTTGTGAATGTAATTAATTTAGTAAGTTAGTGTAAAAAAATAGTACTGAAAGATGTTGAAGTTGAAACTTATCCCCCCGCCTGAATCAAACAATTGTTTTCTTTTTGTGTTTTATGCCCCTCCTGCATGAATCAAACAATTGTCTTCTTTTTTGTGTTTTTGCTTGTCAAATACTTTTCAAGTTCGTTTACCCCTAGCTGCAATAATGTAGCCCTCTCCGATTTTTTTTATCTGATATTTTCTGGAGAGGGCTACAATTCCATCGCATCTCCGTAATGGTGCAAATATATTTTTTTGATACGGGTGATTGGAGGCAAAATAAATTATTTTTACATTAAACTTACTTCTTATAAGACGGAATTTTTATTCACTGTCAACAACATAGCCTGTTAAACTCGAAAACCATGTTAAATAAATCTGTGTCTTTCCCAGCTGCAATATTCAGCAGCCATGACAGTTCACGCGTGACGTAGTGAGACTTTCGCTTGAAATTTGGAACAACCAAATAAAGCAAATGTCGATGTTTATAAACGATTGTGCAATAATATATTACAAAAACATCGATAAATAAAACCATTTCAAGTGTTATTTTTGCGCAAACAGCGATACGTAAGCTTAAAATAAGGGAATTCCTAGTAGATCCGCTCCTATAGAACCTAAATTCTCATTGGCTGTCCCAAAATACAATCCATCAAGGTCAGTAAACATGGCGGATAAATTCAAGTTAAGCTGTTGACACACACGAAAAATAACCGATATATGGGTCGTTGTGAATATTTTTGGATCGATTTATGTTTTGCATAATTACATATTTGGATTCCAGGTAAGAGATAATAATAAAATAGCCGTTTACTGATAATTTGAGCCGAAATCCGTGCGGGAGTGATCCACTGCCGCATCTGCGCCATTATAGAGATCCTAAGGAGTTGTAGCCCTCTCCCAAAAAAAAATTTAAAAAAAAAAAAAATCGGAGAGGGCTACATTATTGCAGCTAGTTTACCCCCTTCCCCCTTTTCAAATTCGATTCTAGGTGACTGTTATGCTAGCGATTTTCGTAAATAAGAGATGAGCATGACAAATTCAACTTTTATTTAATAGTGGGGGATTGATAGATAGAATGTTCTATCGTTAAAATGATATTGTCCTACGGACCCGGTTTAACGATAGAATTCGTTCCGTGTATTCGTAATGTAGCAGAAAGAATCACGGGCGATAACTCGCATAGTGCATTTACTTGGAACAATCTAGAGAGTTCCGAATGTAAACATGGCCGGTAATTTGAATCGAGAGAAAAACGTTGAGAAAATTAATTGGATTTTCGTATTTATATGGATTATTTTTTGGGATAAAAGGCATAAGCAATCTCAAGAAGGTTTGTTTTGATTATTTTGGTAGTTATTCCCAGTGCAAATCATTTTATATTCTTCAAAATCGTTTCGGAGCGGATCCGCTCCGATCTGCTACATTACAAGTATATGGGACGTATTCTAACTGTGGTGAGGGCATGTACCGAGACACAGTTAGATTATTCTAACTAGGGGATTGAATGTGTACAAGATATATCGTTTATGATAAAATTTGTACATTTTAAATGATTTAATCCAAAATAATATATTCCGTTTTCCGTTCCGTTCCGTTGTCCGTTCCGCGTTTTAGCAACACCCTCACATTTCAATGCATATGATAAAATTAAACGATTTGTATGAAAACCTCACTTGATAAAAAGAAACTGAATTATACATTCAACATTTTTTAAAAATAAAGTTCACGTTCACTGAAAGAGGAAACGAATAATTTCATGTACAATTTGTCAGAATGAAAATTGTAAAAGAGAGAACCAAATATAGACTTGATTTCGGATTCTGCAAATAGTAGAATATTCTTATGATTATTAGCCTGAAAGATAGATTGTAAAAGGTTTGCATCTAAATTTTCTTTATTTAACTTAACTGATAATGCAGTTTAGTTTTTGACTAAGTTGACAAGAACCTTGTGTCGTTGATATTTCGATTTAGTTTGAATTTCCTCAGTTTCATTGTTATTTTTGTCATATTTTATTGTTTATTATATATGTTTAATAGAGCACAGGCGCCTGAATTTTTATAAATCAGACGCTCAAATGGCAAAATATCGAGAAATTCTTTTAATTTTTTTTTATTCGGCTAACAAAACGTTAGCCGAATGTTAGTAACATTTAACAGATTTTTTTAGTATTTTTTTTTATTTGCACTACAGTACAACAATGCAGTTAATGCTTAGGAGATGGATTTGTAATGTTTTGTTTCCAATCTCTTGTGTAATTAAAATTAAAAAATGCATTTAAACACTACAGATAAATTATGAAATATTTTCAGACAATCTATTTATAATGATCGAGACCAGACAGGAAAGAATATTGAACGTGTTTTTCTGTTAATCAGAATATGGAATCCTCAAACTCTAAAGGTAAGTTTTTTAAACACCTTCTGATGAAGTTAAAATATCAGTTATTAATATTAGATAGATAGTAATTAACAGTGACATTTAACTATTAGTAATTCTTATACATTGTTAGGCTTATAATAATATATTTCCTAAGATATACATTGACACATGTAATTAATTTTTGTGGATCCCGATTTCTAACTCATTTGAGGGAAAGACTCAAAAGAGCTTTTCTGATCACTTTTTATCCAGTCTCAAGTAGTACCAATCTCCCATGCAGAGTTGTCGTTCGTTCCTCTCTTAGACACCTCTGCAATGGGCTCACGTCAAGATTTTTGACATAACGTATAAAACGTGATATTTGAATGATTATTTGAATTCAAATTGATAGTTCTGGATTGATTTAGTAAATATCTACTTTAAGCATAGAAATTGAATTATAACAAATTAAAACAAACGCACTATTTCTCGTGTTTAACACTGTGTATACGCGAGCCAACGACAGAGGTGAATGTATGAGCCGATGGTAGAGAGTGAAGTAGTACATGTATGTCTGTCTGTAACCTTTCATATTTTGGATTTTCTCAAAAACTACTGTATGAGTTTCAACCAAACTTGCAAAAAATATTCTGAGGAACAGGGGATTCAAACATGGGCCTCATTTTCTTCTAGGAGGAGATAATTCTGGGTTAGAGAAAAATTATTTATCTTTTATGATCTTTTTATCAGAAACTACTGGCCGGGCTAAAAAGTATGAAACTTATGTAGAAGCATCCTTATAGGTAGCTTTTAGGTAATGCAAATTCAAACCATGACCCTCAGTGAACAGACAAGGCCACAGTGAGGGAACAAATTTGACATTATTAAGAATACAAAGCAAATTAAAACTGAAGACCAACACCTAGAGGTTATAATTGCAGATGATTCTTACATGTGGATACAGAAAGGTACTTGATAGGGTCAGAGTGTAACTAAAGTTGTAAACTTAGAAATATATTTATTATTAAAACAGATCACCAACACTTCATGAGAATGCAGCAGTAAATTTATTATGTTGACCAGTTTGACCTGAGAAGGTTGTCATCAGAATAATCAAGCATATAAATTTATCTATTAATCTATCTATTATTAGGAATACATAGAAAATTTGTTTTAAAAAATCTTCTCCTAAAAATGTCTAGTCATATCGTTTAAATTAAAATTTATTAAAATAACTTAAAATCATGATCTCTTTAGAAAGGTAGAACCACAATCTGTGATCAAAATTTTACAATGCAAGGCACATTTTACACACTGGAAAAATGTTCATTTGTTCAGATTTACACAGACCTTTAATTTCATGGTATGTATTAGCAACACAGCTGCTAAGTTGATCACTATACTTGGTATGGTAAACAAGCAAAAATTAAGTACGGTTTTAGACTAGTGTTTAACACACCAAGAGAAACATTGGGGGTGGGGGCTTTATTTTTGATTTCTCTTGTATTTGTATGTTATGTATGGCAAAATAATTGAGGGGCACACTGTCAGAAGTTTATTAGTTGTTTTTCAAAACCTTTTTTCCTATAAATTTGGTCAGTAGAAAAAAAATTAATTAAAATGAAAAAAAAATTATAGAATTAAAATAATTTTCTTTCTCTCATGTTTAAATGGTTATAGCTCTTTTTATTCTTTACTTCATTAGAAAATTAAAATTTTTCAAATGAAATACACCATGGTTGAATTACTAATATATTTTCAGGTTTTTGTAAAAAGAAAACCGAACTGACCATGATTAAAACCAAACTGACCATGATCAAAACTGAATTAAAAAACAAGTATGTGGTGGAAGCATATGAAAGATTAAAGGAAAAAAATGATTTGAAAAGTTTGAAGCAGCTTCTCTTCTCATGCCTTTGTCGAATGGAAATGTTTACATCATACTTTGTAAATGAAGACAATGTATTCGAAGGAGTAATGAATGTGATGGAGATTGTTCAAAATTTTCGGAATCAAGAAAAGAGATTTCATGGAAATGTTAGTGTGCCAGGACTTGACAGGTTTATGAATTCATACTTTCATTTTTGGATACAAGCAGAGACTAGAAGCAAGTGCAAGTTTAAAATTTCCAAATTTTCAACTGTCAGTGAAAACTCTGAAAGAAAGGAAATAAAACAGAGTTCAGACAAAGATAATATTTCTAAATCTACAACTGTCAGTGAAAACTTTGAGGGAATGGATGCAGAAAAGCATACAGACTTACAACCAAATGAGAGACAAAATGAAAGAATTAAAAAAGAACTATTGCTTCCTCAGGTTTTGTATAAAAAATTTGATGTTAATGAAAAACTATTTGGAAAACTTTACCCACCACAAAGGACTGGACCAAAAATTTCTTCAGTTTCTCATTGCAGGGAAAAAAGCTTTGATGAAACATCAGAGGATGAACAGAATAAAATTCTTGGACTTGACTTCCTAGAATTGCAATCAACAAAAATAAGAAATAGATATGTGTTGGAGACATTTAACTTTAAAAAGGGAGATTTTATAAAAATCTATGACTGTCTTTGTGAATGGGAAGGCATAGCTCAAGAGAGGGTTCATTTACAAAACTTTGCTGCTGCAGTAAGGAATACAGTAAGAGAGGCAGACAGATTGAAAAAATCTGGGAATAATCTGTATGATTCTTTCTTGAGGGAGTTTTTCAAATTTCCTCTTAATGAAAAAAGGAAAGGAAGTATCAAGGAGATGGGGGGAAAAGAGAGGGAGAAAAAGAAAAGAAAAAGAGAGGAGAGAAATAAAAGTGCATCAACTGAAACACAAACACCACTTTATGATGAAGTGAAAGAAATAAAGAAAGAAGTAAATGTCGTTGACACAACAGTGGTGAAGAAACCAAAAAAGAGCAATGAAGAAACCATGAAACAAAAAGTTATGAAAGTAAAAATTGGAAAGGTTGATGGAAAAAAATCTGCAGTGAGAAGAGACCAAAAATGCAGGACAAAACCAAAGAACTCTAACATGGCTAAGAAAAGGAAGAGCACAGGAAAGAGGAAAAGGAGATTAGATGTGCTGGAATTGCAAATGAGAATGAAATTACAGCAGCAAAGAAAACTTTATCAGAAAATTAAAAGACAGAATAATCTGCTTGTCAGACAAAGGAAACATATTCGAGTGCTCAAACGGAAATTGGCAGGTGTTTGCTCAACAAGTATATGTAAAGGAGTTCAGTGTTCCTTACTTGAAGCAACTCCAAAGACTCTCTTAGTTAGAGTACTGAAACCATGATGAGAGAACAATATTTTCAGGAAGACTTTTACAAAAAGAAAATCATTGTCAAAATTTAAGAGAGAGATGGGGGGGGGGGGGGATGAGGAAAGGTGATTGGGTTCAAAATAAATTGAGATAGAAAATGTTTCTCACATGTAAAAAATACATGATTTCACACTTTTTAATATGCATTGTACATGCAGTTATGTACTTTTTAAGTTGCAATAATAAAAGATGTTTAACTTTACCATGTCATCCTTTTGAATTGAAAAATACTCTAATGTATGTCATACATCAATGAAATATATTTTAGGGTTAACAAATAGTATTCCAGCTCAAAGGTCCATTAAACAAATTGTACTGATCGGAATCAGAGGAAGCACGGACTTCTAAAACATCAGGGGTGGGATCAGGTGCCATGGAGAAGTGAGCATCCCCTGCCGATCAGTCACACCAGCAGTGTGCTCCTTGTAATGATAGGGAAATATTAGGGAAATAATTCAATGTGTAAATAATCAGTGGTCTAACAATAACATATAGTAGGAAAACGTCAGCCAGCATTTGACTCAATGATAGATGGCATTTGCTGACAAGGTCATTGTATCGATCAATGAACGTATAAAATGATGACTTTGAAGAAGACTGTTAATGTTCTTGATTTATCAATTTATCTGACTTACCTCGTTTTAGAAATTGTTCTTAGAGCATGCTCTTGCGTATCGAATCAACTGATAGTTATAAGTCCCGTGCATATGCATGTGATAATGGTGACTGAATGTACATTGCTGCATAAGTAAGTGAATTTGACGATTGCAATGTTAAAGTCTCCACATTTATAATATATTTTATTTGCTAGATTACTATCATCGTGTTTTTGTAATAAAATATCAAAACATTAAACAGAAGCAGGCCTTCTAAAATTAAATTTCTTACCTTACTAACCTTAGCATCTAATCCTTTGACTTCCTTCTGACTAATCTAGCATGCTAGAGATTCACGTCAACATATTTTTGACTTCCCGTAACCTCTAGCATCCATTATAAAAATCATCACCGCTGAAACCACAAGTGGAAAAATGTCGTTTGCAATTTGAATGTTTGTACATGTTTGGTTGTTTTTTTAAATCAATATTTGTTCAATTTTTACTTTAAAATTCACATAGGACAGATTTTCTCCATTTTTGAAAAATGATATTTGCACATTTCATTAATGTTATCATTCTAACATTGTATTAAAACAATGAGTTGGAGCATACCTGCAGTGCGCTCGGTGACTTTTACCCATGAAGCATTTTATATATCATGGAAATTTTTAATTAATGTAATTTTCCTGACGTCATATATCAATTAACGTATTGCGTCATGGTTGATGAAAATGTCTTTGCTTTAATATCTCGAGCTTCTCTGTTTAGGACATAATAATTTATTCCTCTGCCAAAGTTTGATTTTAAGGGCAAATATTGCCTTGAATAATTTAATTTATCAGGAACAAAACTTACAACTTATAGTTAAGAAAAATACAAAACTTGACTAATAGCAAATTGTCCCTATATAATTATAATTATATACTGAGTACTCTAAAAAATCATGGACTTCATGCTGTGTCATGTAGCTTGATGACAAATTGGAGAGAAATACTTTCATTTTGTTTAATTTATTTGGTTACTAGGATACCATTTTGGATGAAGTATCATTCTACCTTTCCATACCATGTTCTATAACAGCCACTGTAAAGATCCTGTGTATGTCACAAGTAGAGTTCAATGAATCTTATCAGAAGAATAGGAAGCAGCTAAAGCCATAAAATACCTTTTACCTCACCTCTGCCAATCGGCACCTTTTGACTCGCTCCATTCAACATGTGCGAGGTACGATTTTTCTGCCGATTTTTCCGTGAAATCCTGGCTTACGATTGGTTGAAGACTGTCACGTGAAGGCAGTGTTAATCTATCTGGTCGATGTATTACATCACAAACACAAACGTGACGTCATAATAGGCACAGTATAAGCGGAACGAAGCATGAAGCAGAGAAACACATAAATAAACTCGGCTCCGCCTTGCCAGGTATGAAATTTACTAACCAGGTATCATCCCGTACCCTGTCACTAACAGACTATGTAACTAATAGTACTTGCTTTAAAATAATGTTTGTTTGTCCTCTCAGCCGGATACCCCCCCCCCATTTACGAAACAAGTATCTGTGCTCCGAGAAGGTAGGTAGATGGAAAACTAAATTACAACATCAACACTAAATTTACAAAATCTATTAAAAGCATACATGTAAGTAATATGTAGATCTAGTTCAATTTCAAACAAATTAAAACAGTTGGTGATAAAGAAAATAATTAAATTATTACTGTAGAACCCTTTTTCTGGCGATTCAAAACGTTCTAGTCGGGTCATTTCAGTCTGTCGCCAGTGTCGGTCGGCAAGATGACCTGAGCTGTGCTAAAAAAAAAATATACGTAGCTTTCCGTCGAATACGTTGATGTACACTTTATTTAATCGAAAGGTACTTCCGGTGTAAACATTCTCCGCGATGGACAAGTTCGTTGTAAGGAAAAAAAGAGATAACACAGTCGATAGACCTTCAGGACAAGAGAAAAAGGGTCTAAAACAAACAACAATTGATTCTTTAAAGGTGAATATTGATAAAAACTAAATTATGAGACTCAGTATGATATACAATGTGTAATCAAATGCATCATTAAAATCAAAACTGAAGAGAGATTTTAATTTCAAGAGGAAGTATGTATTATGTTGAATCTGTAATGAATGAAAATGAAAGAAATAAATTTTACTTTCAGGGAGTAGTAGTTGTCGAAGAGATCAAGAGAGCTAAGGCTATTTTAAAGCAGCCAACCACAACAGTTAATCAGATGATAGAATGCTTATCAGGTCTCGAGAAAAAGATACCATCTAGAAAGGTCTTACTGGAGACCAAAATAGGTGAGATTAAAAAGATGGAACTAGGTAAATCATACAAGAAACAGAGATTATTTGAAAGTCACACTGTTTAGTATTTGAAAGTAGTGCTGGGTATCGCGACGGAAAAATCGTATCGCGATATATTGCAATATTATATTTTGTATTGCAATATATCACAATATAAATATTTAATAATTTTTTGCTTTTTGTGAAGGTTAAATGAAAACACAAACTCATATTACATGTATTCTCGAGTTGATATTCCAATTGCCTGATTGCGTTATGTCGGCGCAAGCGGCAAGATAAGTTTTTTTGTTGGCACAACTTGGTGAATTCAATTAATTGTAATACTCAGATTCAGCTTTAACGTGAAGGGGTTTCATATAACAGTTGTCGTTGTTTGGTTTTTGAAAGAGACAAGTCTCTGGTTTCTGATCACACTTCACGTAGCTTGCCGCCATATTTTACCTTGAAAAAGGCAAATAACTCTTTTTGGGGATTTTTTACCCAAAAGGACCCAAAAGGAACCCAAAAGGACCCAAAAGGAACCCAAAAGGACCCAAAAGGAACCCAAAAGGACCCAAAAGGAACCCAAAAGGACTTTAATTAATATATAATAAAACATTGAAAATTAATAATTTGAAGTAAATTACGAATATTATATTATATTTTTACATAAAAGTTGGCAAAAACATACTTATATTGTTGCAACTGTAACAATAACATAAACTTTTATAGCACACCAAACACTAAATCTGGTCAGGTATGCTTTGATTTCTTTATCTGAAATTAACAAAGTATTAATTTACTTCTCCTTCTGTTTAACCATATCTTACTATATGATATTTCATAAATGAAAAAAAAAATTTTTATCTTATTCATGTTTTAGGCATATGATCGGGATGGGTGGGGGTTATGGGTGGTAGGGACCTCCCACCTCCACCCTTACCACACACTTTACCCACAAAAAAAATAGTTTTAGATTTAATAAAATATGAAAATGTTCATTATATATCCATTTATTGTCTTTATTTCAAGTCCTTTTGGGTTGTTCTTAATTTCCTTTTGGGTTCCTTTTGGGTCCTTTTGGGTCCTTTTCAATATATAACTTAGCAAAAAGACGCACCGCTCTTTTTGTAACAATTTATAGCATATCGAACCCGAACCGGTATTCACAAAAAAATACCGCGATACGTATTGTGAAGAAAAAAATCGGGATACACCGGTTAACCGGTAATATCGCACAGCACTATTTGAAAGGCATCTTGATTATTGTAAGTAAAAAAAAAATCATTATCAGGTCCGGTACAATCTCTTAATTTAGCTATATAGCTTTAAATAGCTATATAGCTTTATTAAGCTATTCAAAACAGCTTTATTTAGCTATTTATATACAGTTTTTCACAAAAATGTTTTTTGCTAAAAATAAACAATAAGTTGCATGTATTTGACTCTTCATATATTTACTTTGGGCTATCAAAACAACAACCAAAATCAAAGATAGTTCTAACATTGCAGCTTTGAATACTTTTAAGCAAAAAAAAGAATTTCTATTGTTAGAGTAACTGTCAATGGTTTATGTGTGTGTTGAGGCATGGATAAGTATGATTGCTTCCTATTGTGCTAAACTGTAACTAATCAATTATCTTGTTGACCATAATTGGTTTCCTTTATAATTTAATTACAGTGGTAACTGTATCAATTGCTTTATATAGCCCAAAAACTTGTAGAACTTTGAGTACAAAGTCTCTCAAGGAGACGTAATTTGATGAGTGATTTTTATATGCATTTCTTTTAGAAGAGTTCAAGGTTGTATATCATCACTGCACCAAGGTGCGCTTTTTTTGTGCATACTGAGAAAATTACACCTTAAAGAAAAAAGTGTAGTAAAATAGCTAAATTAAGCTATTCTGAATAGCTTCATAAAGCTACCGGTATTTAAAGCTATATAGATAAATCCAGAGATTGTACTGGACCTGATTATTACATTTTACATACTGTAAAATGAGAAAATTTGGCGCAGACGTATATTAGTGCAAACGCAAGTGGAAATGCATTGCTGCAAATAAAATTTAGCACTTGCACTTGTCATTGAAATATATAAAAGTGATATTGTTTTCTTTTATCCAAGCCTGTATTTGACTTGTTGGTTAGCCAAGCAGAGTACACAACAGCACTCCCGTATATAAGTACTCATTCGTCAACTTTACCATGGTGTTGCAATCACATGGACGTGGCACAATTTTTAAATTTAATTTAATTTTTTTAAATAAAAGAAATAGAGAACTTACGCATTTCATTCATATTAAAATAATGCGTGCATCGAAAGAAAGTTACTTGGAAAAATGGTAATCATAATCAGGTATTGTCTGCAAGCTCAATCCCTATGCTTCATTGCATTGTTTACTTCGAGGCAATAGATGATTGGCACGTCGAGAAGCCAAACTTTGAAGGTGCTTATGATAAGTATCGGGTAACAACTACCAATGATTTAATTGAATTATAATTTGGCAGAACTTTATCGATCGATCCTACCATGTGCAGTGCAAGCTAGTGTGTACAGGTATATAAAATCCATCGACCCTTCGACATAACATAATAGCGTGTTCCTGTTAACATGTACTTATGTGAAAGTTTTGAACATGCACAAAACTAATATTTAGAAATCCTTTAGCGCACCATGAATTTTAGCGCTCAGGAGCTTTTGCACCAAAGGCGCTAAAATTAGTAGTGCGCCTAATATTCTCGTTTTACAGTATGAGTCCTTTAGTGGTCTTTGCTTTTTACATAACTTTTCTAATGCAATCTGTGTGATGCTTTTTGATTAATAAAATAATGGTTATATAGCAAACAGGCTATAAATGACATAATGTTCTTTCATAAGGACCTTTAAGTTTGCATGTACGTGACATGTGCATTTTGCTTAATTTTAATTTATAACAAACAGTGTATGTCATAAGTCATGATTGATTTGATTTCCTTTCCACCATTTTTCAGGAAATGTGATAAATAAGTTGAGGAAACATGAAAATGAAGAAGTACGCCAACATGCCAGGCAAGTGTATGTCAAGTGGAAGACTCACTTTGTTGAGCACCGAGACAGACCCCAGATAGAGGTTCAATGTGATCTCAGGACAGAGAAAACTCGGAAGGCTGGAAGAAAGTTCATATCAGAAGCATTAGAGGTACTTGCAATATTATATAAATGGTGCCTGTTTTGGAGGGTAACAGTTGAAATTGACACCCCAAGGAAAACCATTGTCAACCGACGCGACAGCGGAGGTTGACAATGGTTTTCCGTGGGGTGCCAATTTCAACTGTTACCCTCCAAAACAGGCACCATTTATTTTATTATACTGAATGTCTTCTTAAATTAAGTCAGCAAAAAAAATCGTCAATCACCTTTACGTTCATGTTTAGATAGCCTTCAAACTCCTTGCTACTTCTAAAAAGATTTACTGACCTTTTTATTGTTTGTTTGATACTCTAAGAGTCTTTTATCATATAAAGTTTCGTTATTTCTGCACTCGCAAGCATGTTTCATCTGTTGTTTGTTGTTTTCAAGTAAACTACATCGGACGCAAGCTTTTATTGACGTCAACTTTTTTCCAGTTCTTTCAAATGCGCAACTGACGTTTTAAGAATTCTACGGTGAACCGTACGCGCATAATATCCACGCATGTGGCATTACCGTTGTGTTACCCGTTGTCACATGCGTTGCTAAGGCTGAGGGTAATAGAACGGATTGTTAACTGCATCTAACCCAATCAGATTTTAGTATTTAACATGAAAGTATAATAAACACTGTTGTTGACATGCCTGAGTCAAAAATTTTTTAGCTATTTTAGATGGAAATATTTAATAGACCTTGTGTCTAATTCAGATGCTTCAGGATACCATGGTTATAGTCAAGACAATGTTTTTCCTTTTCATCATTATTTGTTGCATATCTGTATGAGTGAATATGAGCTTTTTTTCTTAATTTAGCTGCAAACTGATGGAGGATTGCCAGAGATCATTGAAAGAGAGGTTTTTTTCATGAACAACAGATTTCTAAGCAGTCAGTACAAAAAGACTATGAGGAATATTTGGTTCAAACTTAAAAATGACCAAGCAATTAAGGATCAAGTATTAGATTCATCACTGACTGTAAAGGAACTTATAGAAATTTGCACACCAGGAGGAATGCCATCTTGACGGAATGACCCCAAAACGAAAAGTTCAGAATTGATTGATCTTTTTTAACATGTTTAGACTATTGTTGACATATTTTAAATGTCAATGCACAAATGCACAATTTTCTTGTATTATTTCTTATTAAACCAAGTGTCAGTTTGACTAAACAGGTATAATGTGTGGTTGATTTTGATAGGGAATTAAATTATTTATTCATTTCAGCCCGATTGTGTAATTATATCGTTGGCCTATTTCTAAAAACACTGTTTATATTAAACGATTTTTTTTAACATTGTGCAATTATATCCTTGGCCTATTTCTAAAAACACTGTTTATATTAAACGATTTTTTTTAACATCGAATGACTGCATACTGTACTGATTTTACTATTTAGTCAAAAATAATAATAAGGGAATTTTCTTATTTGGTTTTAGGAAACTCTAAACACTGCACAATGATGAGTTCTAATGTCTAGGTACATGTAGTTTAAGCATTTAAATTTGAGTAATCTGCCTTTTGATGTACAATCACATCTGTTTCTTTGTTTTGTTTTGAACATATTTAATTGACAACATGTCAAAAACTTACATAGTCCTCTCCAATTTCATTATTCCATTATCATTCCATTACAATGGCGTTAACAGAGGATACATTTTTGAAATACCAGTACATGTAGATAAAAGTATTCTTAACAGTATATTAAGCTAAGATAAAGTGAGTGAAACATATTTGTACATCATACTTTCCCATAAAAGTGAATCTATTGTGGACTACATCATTGTTTGAAAAATGTTCAAGGTGGGAATGTATGTTGAAATTGAACTAGATAGATTCATTTCTATATGTCTCATATTGAATGGAGTTTTCATACTTTGATATAATTTTATCTTTTATATAAGTGCTTGAGCTTCCTTGATACTAACAACTCATATTTCCAAACAGTACTTGATGAAACTTTATCCAGACTAACATCAGATCAAGTATTTAATCATTATTAAAATATTAGTAGTCTTAACATAATTTTTTCTTTTTTTGACCCTGCAATTAGCTATCACATGAATAGATGTTGTAATCAAATGCATGTTGTGAAGTGCATCTGATTTTTGATAGTACTGCAGAGAATTTTAAATTCTTTGGTTATATTTTAGATTGTAATATGTTTTTTTTAAACATGAAATACATATTAACAATTATTTGTAGTTGTTAATATAAAAAATAATAAAGAAATTTTAATTTTCAGCATGTCTTCTTTATTTTAAATTTTAAACATTTTGAGGCACTTACATCCTCCTTTGATGTTGTAGGATTTTCAAAAAAAAAAACTGCTATTAAGGTGCATCGATACTCTTACTAGAGAGATAACTCTTTCAAAGTTGGGATCAGGTGCCATGGAGGACGGGTCACACCCGCCGTGTGCTCCTTGGCACGATCGGGAAATAACGGAAAAATCCGTTGGCAGTTCAGTGTAAAATAAGGAACTAACAATTTGTATGAAAAACGTCAGTCAGCATTTGATTCAATGATAAATTATAATTGCTGAAAAAGTCATTGTATCGACCACAGAACTTGCAATATGATGATTTTAACGATACTGATGATATTCTTGTTTCATCAACTTGTATGTCAAAAATTTACCTCATTTAGAGTATGCTCTTGCTTATTGAATCAACTGAGAGATATTAACTTCGTATGCAGTAGTGCAGGTGATGAAGGATACCAGTATTGCTGCATAAGTAATGGATGTTGACGATTGAAAAGTTAAAATCATCACATTAATCATAGAGCTTGGTTGTTATATTACCATTAACGTCTTTTTTGAGTAAAATATCCAAATATGAATCAGATGCGTCAGACTCTGTGGTGTCTTTATTTCAAGCTGACCGGGATATATCGTATCGACTTAAGAATGCTTGGAAATAACCATTGTTATTGTTAATATTGACAATACGTCGTCGATATATCTAAATGTCAAGTTGAAGGCCACAGCAAGTGTTTTCTTCTTTTCGCGTACAAGATTTGACAAATTCTGCTTCATATGATTCATCCTTGATCTGCTGTGTTTTTGTCATTGTTAGACGTGTGAGAATGATCCTCTTTCTGCAACTGAAAGATAACTTAAAGCTAATAACAAGATCAGTATCAAAAATTTGTTCGCCCTATTCGACCGGTCTCTCGCTATATCTGAGGGTTCCTATATGGAGAGCCGCTTACTTATTATCGTTTTACTAACAGCGTGACAGTTTGCTTGATAGGGCGTGCTAAAATTTTGTATGCTGATCATCATTTTACTCATCGATTGGATGCTTGATTTCAATGGAATCAATAATATTTAGCATATGAAAGACAGAACCCAGCAATACCAATAACAATACCGACCAATCGCATTGAATAAACAATTACATATGAACGGATAAAAAGTTTTACTTCCTATAATGATGATATTGATAGCTACATAGTATAACAGTAGCAGAGTAGTCTTACTAATTCCATTCTTTAAATTCTTATACGTATTTTTAACCCACCCGGTCAAATCAAAACGAAATATAATACATGCTTTTTGAAGACAGAAAACGGGCTTTGACTGACCACGTGTTGTTGCTGAATACAAATATCATACAGGTAAACAATCATTCAATGTGAATGGCCAGTATTATCGGGGTATTGTTGTATTCCGAGTTTCATATGTAAATCAGTATTGATTTTATTGATTCAATCGATGAGTAAAATGATAACCAGCACACAAAATTTTAGCACGCCCTATCAAGCAAACTGTCACGCTGTTTGTAAAATGATAATAGTCACTGTTCAGTTTAATCAATCGTCACCGGTGTAGACGGACGTATGCTATACCATCAATGTATACAGCACTCAGTTGCGAGAAAAAAAATACTGTGTAAGTATTTACTAATGCAGAACAGAAGAGTAAGATACCAAAGAGATGCAACAGTTGCACAGAACTGTGCATTATACAAACATACATAAATACACGTAACTGCAATCAAATGTCAACAAGGTAAGTAAGATAACCAGCACGAATGCAGGTTGCCATTCCATGCCGATACCCATGACAATAAAGCACTCAGGTGTAACATATGCGAAGAGTATACCATGGTGTTTATATCGTAAATAGTACAGAATAATATCGAAAATGGTGTATACTAAAGGCCGGTATACACGGTAAGATTTGTATTATAAGATTTGTATTAAAATACAAAATCTTACTGTGTATACACTCTTAATACAGTGTATCATAAGATTTTTCGAATCTTATAAAACTGTGTTAAGAATAGAGCAATGCTCTATAATTCCTAATACAAGTCTTAACATACCTATTACTTTCAACCGATGAAATGTTATGTCACTAGGGGTCATCCTATTTTTATCATTACTAAAAAAAAAAGCACACGGTAACTAATAATGGTTGACTTTACAAGTAAAGACATCGAAAAACTCGTGTCTTAATGGGAAGGAGAAAAATACTTGTGGAATATATCAAGCAGTGCATAGTAAGATGATAAACACTGCTATCAGAACCTCATCCTCCAATTTTATTACTTTGACAGAGAGAGATATATGGCGGGGAAAAATACGTTGGAATACGTAATTTATTTAGAATCTTATAAGATATGTATTAGCGTGAGTACAAGAAAGTATTATAATAAAAAAGTATTATAATACTTGTATTATACTACAAATCTCATCGTGTATACCGGCCTTAAGTATATGTTGGTAAACTTTTCCCGAGTACCATGAGATTTGGTGCCGAGCGAAGCGAGGGACCAAATCGAATGGCGAGGGAAAAGTTTAACAACATACTTCCCAGCAGGCACAGAACGTTGTTTAAACGTTGAATATTAGTTGAAGTTGGGTTTAGACGTTGATAAATCTAGATACAATATTGATTCAACGTTGACTTTTCAACGTTGAAAATTTAACGTTGAATCAACATTGAATTCAAATTGAGTTGAATTGCCAACATTGATTCAACGTTGGATCTTCGATGAGCGGGCCAATCCTATCTTTCGCTGATAGATAATATGGACTATGATATTGTCGGATTATAACACTGTCGGGCCATAACGAGGTCGGACTTGACAAAGTCGCACTACCGTATATCATTACTAACTATTATAACTAACAAGGATGGTAAATATAGACATTTTACACATTCAATGATAAATATGAATTCAGTAACAAATTTGCAAAAGTACGGATTAAGAGGATACGCAGTAGGACATCCGGAAAATATTCAAAAAGACAGCATAACACAACCCTCAGGACTCAACACCAAGATTTAATTTTAAAAATTCTCTTTAAAGAAAACATTTCGGCATGTCAGAGTACTAGTATCATTGAAGAAACATAATTTGTCGAAATGCATATCTGGTGCATCAAAAGTTGTACCGTATAAGATTTGCATCTTACCTGGGAATGGTTTCATGTTCTGGACTATTTCATGACCACATGTAAAAATACAAAACGTTTGTAAATGCTCGGGTTTTGTAACATGATTAATTTATAAAATGTATTTTGGTGAAAATTATTGTATCACAATTAACTATTGATAGGAAATTAAACACTTACTGTTTACAATATACCATTATGTTTTTTTTTCATATAGTGATAAACCGTATATATGTTTTCATTTAAGGGGTACGGACTATCTGCTATAAATTTCACCTTAGAAAGTTTTAAATTTGTAATATTGATTTTCATAAACAACAATAACATTAGAGCCACATGGAAAATATTTGAAGTATAAAGCGCTGCTTATTTTTTCAGAAATGATTTTTATGTGCAGATCATGAAATGAAGAAATGGAACACAAAGAATAGAAAGAGTACCAATTTATTACCACAACATTAAATATAATATATGAGGTGCATATGAAAATATTACTTACTATTATACCTATTTAAATCATGTTAGAAAACATCATGTAGCGATGTTTCCTAAGTCAGAAAATCACAATGTTATATGTGGTTGTAAGAAAAAAATATATCTGTGATGAGGAATTATCTTTCTTCTAAATATTTCTTCATGTGTAAAAAAAAGTGATTCTAATTAAAATACTGCATTAAGTCCTTGTAATATTAAACCATTTTTAAAATGGTACTTAAGAAGATACAACCTATTCAATTTATAAGGCATTTGATGTTGGATTAAAATGTTTTATTGTTAAATACAATAAAACAATTACAAAGAAATTTGCAAAAGAAATAGAAAGTAATGTTTCCATCAGATGATTGAACCCACCAAATTGACTACTCAGAGGTCTGAGGAAACGGACTGCGAGTAGTATTACTATTTTGTACTTTGAAAGTTATATGTCTTTTCAAACGGTCGCTATCCCTTCAATAATTCTGAAGGCATCTTAGCAACCGTGCAATAAAACGGTTGAAATTTTTAAGTAAGTATATATATTATTACTGTATGACAACCCCCTTTCCAAAATAAATAATTGAATAAATGTTGAATCAACCGTTTTTCAACATATAATCAACGCTGATTATCAATGTTGATTCAATGTTAAGACTTCAACGTTGATACAAATTTTCAGAATCTAACATAAAATCAATGTTGAATCAACATAGAAAAACAACGTTGATTCAAAGTTTATTCAATGTTGTGTGCCTGCTGGGTTAGTACATGCTTCACACGAGAAATTAAACCCTTTGTGTCTCTATCTATGTAATTAAAACTCTTTATGGGTTTCTTATTATTCAATCAAGATAAGGATAGTTTGACCCTGACTGTTGCAATTTTGTACAGGCCCTGATGTGATAATTACACCCTCGGGGAAATATCCACCTGTCAGGTGATGGTCTACAGTGAGTAGTTTTCAAACACAATACAGGTTCATTTCTATAGATTCAAAAATCTCTGTATGAAGATAGTCATGTCATTTTGATGGATTTAAGTCAGGAGCATTTTATTTTTGTGGACATTATTAAACGTTTGTTTTTGTTGGTAAAATTGATCAATTTCTCCTGAAAGCAAAGAATTCCACTGAAAATGAAAAGCAGGAAAAGAAAGGTTTATGATTGGATATACATGTACACTACCTGAGCAATATAGGACGGTTCCAACGTATTTGAACTTCTTAAAAAAGATCATATTTAGACTTTTTGCTGTTTCCCAATCAGTCTATAACTGTTTAATTGGAATCAAAGAATAAATTAGATAGTAAGTAAAATTTTATTGTTCTCACTTCTATAAATGCGATAATTCTGATTAAAATAACAATGTAAATGGTAAATCCTAAATATTCAATCAAAATTACCAGACATTTCTTAAATTTCTCTTTTACTTTTGATTTTGATTAAATTTTTTCATGTTTTTTTTTTATTTCGGCTAAAGTTGATCTTTCTTCTTCCTGTACTAATTTATGTAACTATGTAGATGTTTTGGACTATGTATCACATCAGGTCCATTATTCATTGTCTGGTGACCTTGCCATGTGTCCATGATTGAAATTACCTATCACTGGTAATGATTTGCTCAATAATTATGCACACAATGGCAGAGTCGCCCAACCATGAAGCTTGGGCTTGGGGTGTACCAAGTGATTTGGTAGCAGCAAAAATCCTTTGTTCGAGGTGTGAAACATGTACTAAGGCCTATTTATGAGTCATGTTCAGCTAAAAAGCCATCACCTCAAGCCACGGTTTGGAGTCCACTCATAGCCCTATCCTGTTCGTTTCTCTGAATTGGAGAAGATCATGCATTTTGACCATGTTTTGCGACGATGGCTTTTAATGGACTATCAGGATACTAAACGAGCAATGAATGATACGATACGAATAATTTATACCTGAAGCCTGTTTAGAAGAGCGAACGTTCGCGAGCGCTCGCTAAAATTCCTTAAATCTCCAAATAGTTAATTTTGGCGGGCTCTCGCGAACGTTTGCTCAGTTGAACATGCAGGCCTCTGATGTGTATCGGACTAATGGAATAGTCCGAGATCCTGTTTGCCCTTGTTTGAATAGGTGTAGCCCTTGAGTTTATAAGGACTGCAGGTGTTCAGTATAGACTTGGCATAAGAAGAATTGAAGGTAAGTAGAACAGATAGAGAAGGTGGAAGAGCTTGGTTGAAATCATAGCATGAGTGAAAAGTAAACCAAGGGATTGCGAGACACGAGGTGCAGTAATTCTAAACAAGGGTGAGACACCGAGTACTTCTAGATCTTGGTTTTGGAACACAGTGCAAAATGCCCAACCAGCTTTACATCATCTTAAAACTTTGTAGAAATATCTCTGGTTTGTTTCAGTTCAGATTAGATTTGTTTCAGAAAGTATCCCTGTAAATTTACCTTAGTCATTGTATTTAATATTGGTTCAAAGTACTTATCAGTAAGCTCAAGTGGAGCAAGAGAAAAATTAAAGTATGCCTAAATCAAGACCCTTTGTACCCAGTGAAAAAGAATATTTAGGATATTTATTTCATAAATATAAAAAGATGAATGAAAATATTTTTGTTGCTTTCAAAAAGAAAAAAAAGCAAACTTAACTTATGGACTTCCCAATGAATTTGGCGTGACTTTACGAGCACCTTCCTGAACAAGAATTAGTTGGTGTTCGTATATCTAAAATACACGAAAAATACCATATTCAAGAATTCATGTCCGTCATCGAGTTATTTTGCAATACATTTGTTAAGTACTGACCTAAAATAACTAATTTATGTAGAATGTAAATCATACCAGCGCTACTTGAGTTAACTTGGGCATTTAATTCGAAGAAAACTAGCTTGTATCTTGTAGTAAATTAAAAAAGAAAAAAGGCTAGTTTTAAAAAAAATATTCCAGTCAGAATTTTCTTGAAGTCTAGTTGAAAGCATTCTGTTACGGCGTCATGGGTCGAGCGCAGCGAGTGATCGGGTGTGACAAGAAATTCGATTTAAAGTTCAAAATAAATACCTAAAGGTTTGCTAAGTCACTTATTCAGTCAAAGAATATCAATGTATCATGTTCTGCTTATTTTAAAGTAGAAAAGATAATTGTAAGGTGATAAATAGACAAACTTGCTGTTCAGTATAAAACTTGTTCAATATAAAACCGAATCCAACAATGTTGTATCATTTTGTATCATTTTATTAATATCTATATTTTGACCTTCTTGAACCCTCCCCCCCTTAAAATGTGTCTGTAATATATCATCATTACCATTAGTTTTAAAATAAATTTGTTTGAAGACACTGTGGTGATCAAGGGCACTTGAGGTATGGACCCCCTCCCCCTTTTCCATTTTTTTTCTTTTTAAATTTTGGGTCAATTCACTTTTCCCCTATTTTGCTTTCTAACATCCAAGTTATATTTTGATGGATAATGTAAGTCTTTTGTATCTATCAACTGATACATAAATCAATCGAAAACGATATATTTTTTTTAAAAAATTGGAAAGGGGGTGGGTGTCCATACCCCAAGTACCTGTGGTGGTAATTTGAAACATCAAAAGTCATTTTACAGCATAAATTTTTAAACAAATTATGTAGAATTAAGATATTTTGATTTTTCGTTACCAGGTATAACAACTATAGAATTTACAAAAAACTGACTGTAAACGAGGTTGTTGAAACCCCTGTAGCATCATTTTATCTGTTAGTAGCCTGCATAAAATTTGACCTGAAATTTCATAGTTTGTCTTAAAATACAATATATAGTGAAAATGAAAAATTCCTCGAGCTCACTTTTTATCATAGACGCTATCGTTTCTGTTGAAGTTGAAAGTACTAAGTACTTGTATATTAATATACAAATGTATGCCAGCATTATCTCAAAGTCTGAGTCAATTATCAGGTTTAGATTCAATAGTTATAAGCATAAAAATGTACATTCTTATGCTTATATCAGGTTTAGATTCAATAGTTTCCATTCAACAGTCAAGATACCTTGCTGTATAAACTTACCCATCTACGCAGGAACTCTTCTTACTTCATAAGATTTAAGTACAGCCAAACATAAATCATGTTGAAATTATACTTTATTCGTGATAAACATGTACATGGTACAACTATATGTATTGAAATATTCTTATGCTGAGACAACATGAGTTGAAGTTGAAAGTACTAAGTACTTGTATATTAATATAGACATGAACCAGCATGATGTAGAACCTCTCAAAGTCTGAGTCAATTAATGAAGTTTTTAAAAATTCTTCTACTACACTTTTATACTACACTCTCTGCTGTTAAACTGTTCGGGGCTGAATTGGACTGGCTGTTTACAGAAGCGTTTTTACCGCGATAGAGTTTTGATCTGCATCTTACGTACATCACACGAATTGTTTGCTTGAACTTTTGATTCATGAATCCGTACATAATAGGATTCACCGCTGAATTCGTGAATCCGATGACTTGGACAATGAGACTAACCATACGGAAGTCTTCATACTCCACATGATTGTACATACGGTATAGCCAAACAGCGAAAAACGGAAGCCAACAAATGAGGAAAACAAGAACTATGACGATCAGCATTTTGATGATCCTTTTCTTCTGCTGCATTGACTTTTCCAGATCTTGGGAGTCCCCTATCGGTTTTCTTATCCACAATTGATGAGCAATGTTTCCATAAGCGAAGAACATGACACCAATAGGAACACAGAAGAAGACAACGAACTGAATCAGAGTATGAACCTCTTCCATATCTGGATTTTCGTAGTGCTCCACACAGACTTCCACAATTTCCAGGAACGGAGGCTCGTCAATATGGTGCAGACGTTCTCCGATCTTCTGGACGACGAGGAATGGTGAGGATACCGCCAGTGCCAATATCCAGACGACAAACATCACCACCATCACGCGGGTGTTCGACTTCAGGTATCTGATCTTCAGTGGATGACAAATGGCGTAGTACCTGCAGAAAACAAAAATGTTCAGTCAAAAGAGAATTTATGCAAAATTTTGTATTCCAAATAATTTTATGAGTTACGGTTATTTATAACTCCTAAAAATGAATTTCAAAGAAAATATACAAGAGCGTGACCCTTTTGTGTCGCGTATTGAGCAAAGGATATGATAGTCCAATATTTTAAATATACCTAGAAAATGATTGCATATACTTTTTATGTAAAAAAAATTAAGTGTTCTTAATATTTCCAGGGAATAAAAATGTTAACAATTATGGAGTTCTGGAACTGATAGATGTCTTTGTTTAATTTAGAAGGATTACATTTATGATATTCTTTTCTGCATGAGATTCCATGTATACATTTTATATCGACTCGGCGACATGATTATCATTAATTTAGAATTTAAAGCAATCTGTGAATTCTTTAAATTTCACGTTTTCTTTCAGGCTCCACCAATCTTTCACTATTATTGTGAATTTTGCCTACCTGATCAATACACATTTGGTCAACGGCGTTATGACCTCCAGTAGGCACCTGATCCCACCTCTGGAATTTTTAGGGTACGTTTTTTTGGCCTCTTTACTGATTTGTAAAAAAGTATTTTTTCTTAAGATCGATACTGTTTCATTGTCAAGTAGTTCTTCCATTATATTTGTCAAAGTGTATGATATTCAAGAAGACATGTAGCAACTGCTAGTGATATAACGCCGCTTAAGGTCAGACGACACGTTCTCAAATATATATTTTGTATCTCCTGGTATTATATACAAAATATTCATATTTTTCATTCTCTTCTGATTTCTACATTGTTATCAAAATGTTTTTTTAATATGTAGGTACACCAAAAATTGAGTTATAAGCCATTTAGAAGATTATCCAAAAGGGTTATATAAGAAATATGCCCTTTGGTATCTTGGCCAAATGCCTGGCAAGGTACGTACCCTAATTTTTTGTGAGGAAACATGTTTAAGTACCTATACTTCAATGACAAATTCTTAGGAAAAATTATATATTTTTGAGGAATGTGTCGTCTGACCTTAAAGATACAAATATCATTAAGCGTTGCAACTGTATTTCTTAATGTCATAAGTTATTGCATTAATGGTTGACCTTTTCAACCGCTAATGCTAAATCGACGCTTACTGAAAGAATTAAGCGGATGACAATGTCAACTATTAATGCAATGATTTATGACATTAAGCGTTGCATTTCAACGCTTAATGATACTTGTATCATTAAGCGGCGTTATATCATTAGCGGTCGCTACAAAGACATTTTTGAATTTTTCCAATATATTTCAAGTGAAAAAAAATTTGGCAACTTTTTAAACACTAGGGCATATTCTCTCTATGACTAACTATTACCTTCATCAAAATGGCGAAGATCGATGAATACTAATAATGCCCATCTCAACTTAAAACGACAGTTTTAAGAGCTGGGTAAATTGCAACTTAAAACGACAGTTTTAAGAGCTGGGTAAATTGACTATAATTTCTTTAAAAATTTAACTTTAGGAAAATGGACATTTGTTTTGCCTCATTGGTCATATACAGTATTTAAATTGAAATTAATTTTGCGCAGGACTATTTAAGTCATTTTACACAAATTGCAATTTGTTATTTTTTCTGCCCCCCCCCCCCCTCATAACAAGTATCACAGAGATTTTATGATTTTTAGAATTTTTTCCTAATTATTACCCTTTTAAGAAAAGGGCTGTTGTCCAATACAAATGATTAAATCTATCGTATATACGTTTTTGCCAAAATTTGGTAGAAATATGGGCGACCATGTTCTCAGTAATATATCAAACTTCTTTCCGACTTTTTTTTATTTTTATTACAAAGATTTTTTTTTTAAAATGCAAATTATGTGTTAAATAAGGAATTTTTTGACCATCTTTCCATGGTAAATTAAACACAGTTATTGTATCTGTGCATATTTGATTATTATTCATTGGTTATTTAAATACTATCATTGTTTCTGGGCTTATTCGGTTATCATTCAGTGATAATCTAAATAAAGTTACGGTATCTGTATCTACTTAATATAATATTCAAAAGCATTATTTGCAATTTGCTTTGGTGGCAAAAGAAACAATATCTTTTAAAACCAGTTTACGTGCGTTTGTAACAGTAATCCACATTCTGTGCATTGTCGATAACCGGCATTCAACAGGTGAAATGTTTCTTCCCATCCCAATGTTTAGATTAAGGTAATTATGCATGGACAGACCGGAAACCCAATTGTTTACCACCTTAAGGCCAAGTCTGAAGAGTATTTGTTGAACAGGATTTGGATTTAGATATTTTTTTAGGATCAGAGCCAATTAATTTACGAAAAGAACGTTTCAATGCAACATAAGATTTGGGAAATTAGTTTTCATTCACTTGTTTTAGAAAATGTAATATTTTTGATACAATTTCTAAATATAATTTTCAATAAAAAATCAATTTTCCTTACAAGTGGCTTGTCTTTTGTAAGAAGGATATGGAAATAACGAACAGTATTCAATCTCAACGTCCATTAAACAAATATACAAAATAAGAGCAGAGCAAACACGGACCTCCGAAACATCAGAGGTGGGATCAGGTGCCATGGAGGAGTGAGCATCCCCTGCCGACCGGTCACACCCGCCGTGTGCTCGTTGTCATAATCAGGAAATAACGGAAAAAATCCGTGGTCAATTTAAATAATGGACTAACAATTGGTATGAAAAACGTCAGTCAGCATTTCATTCAATGATAAATTGTATTTGCTGACAAGGTCATTGTATCGACCATAGAATTTAAAATGATGACTTTAAACGAGACTGTTGATATTCTTGTTTCATCAACTTGCTTGTCAATAGTTTACCTCGTTTAAGAAATTGTTCATACGTAGAGCATGCTCTTGCGTATCGAATCAACTGAGATATAAATACTCCGTATGCAGGTGATGAAGGTATATTGCTGCATAAGTAAGGGAAGTTGACGATAGAAAAGTTAAAGTCATCACGTTTATCATATAGCTTGGTTGTTAGATTACCATTAGTTTTTTCAAGTAAAATATCCAAGTATGAAGCAGAAGTGTCGGATTCTGTGGTATCTTTTATCTTTTTTGGAAATTATCATTATTAATTGACAATACGTCGTCGATATATCTAAATGTCGAAAGGCCACAGCAAGTGTTTTCTTCTTTTCACGCAAAAGATTTTGCATAAATTCTGCTTCATATGAATATAAAAATAAGTCTGCTAATAACGGAGCGCAATTTGTACCCATGGGAATTCCATTTACCTGGTTTCCAAAAACCACATAGATATTGTCAATCAGAAACTCAAGCATCTTTTTGATGTCAACTTCAAGTACTTATGTGTGCAATCAGAATCTGTTTTAACAAAATAATTTTTCAAATGACCAATGACGAGGTATGTAAACTTACGAGTTCCATTTTTGTTGAAGAAGCAGCTGTCAATGATATCAAAAAGCCTGGATTTTAATTTGTCGTGGGGAATTGTTGTGTATAAAGTTGAAAAGTCGTAAGTTTTTATGCTGTTATTGTAAATAATTAAATAAAATCAACAAGTGTTAGTTATTTATTCTGAAAACGCCCTTTTTTCAATCATTAAGAATATCAGCGAAAATCAAACAAGCTCAGTCCAGCTGCGGCAAACTCCATTTTTGTTTTCCTATCAAGATGTGAGTACTGTTTTCAAGTTCATTGACGGCAAGAGATAACAATAAAGAAGCCCAGACTCGCCTAATCACCCTACTCCAAGACTTAATGCAACATCTTTGACGTTAATTTGAGTCTACTTCTGAGAGCACCCCGAAGGCGGGGGGACATAAAATATAAAATCAGTACAGATATTAAAACTGATGCAACCAATGTGTGTATAATAAAATTGAAATCGTATTCTTTACGTTAAACAGGACACATTATGTTTTACCCGCTCGCAGTGTGATAAGCGGTAATTAAATTGTAGAATTCTGGCGTTTTACACATCTTATAAGAGTTATAAACATATGCGTTTGATATCATGTTGGTGACATGTAATGCCTTTGAACATTTTAATAGATCAACTGTACTTAGGGCGAGATAAGGAAAGTTGTAAACGTTGGTTCTTGTATTTCATTCGTATTAAAATGACGAATAAAAATTGCGAAGATTGTGAAAAATGCAGTAGTCTTTGACAAAATATGAACTTTCAGTTGGTATACACGTATGTGCAATTATCTATACTCGTGCTGAAGGAAACTTGCATGATTAATAAACATGATAAAATACATTGTGTATATGGTATTTTTCTTTGTGAAAGGTTTATATTCATATTAAATGATATCTTATACATGTAATTTAATTAAAGTAGAATTCGAATATTCACGAAAAGCAAAGGTCACCTGATAGCTCAATTTTTAATATCTTTTAGCATTTTATTAGTAAGCAATGACAAATTTATTTTTTAATTCTTCACTTGAATTACTTTTAAACAAACCTTCTAATTTTTGACTGTATACAAATATAAATAATCTCTAATATAACAATAACTTATAGTGTTTAATACAGAAGATAGGGCGATTTTAAGTCCGAAATCCGTTTTTTTTCTTGTAAGAAAATCAAGGATATGAAGATTGATAGATTGATTAATCACTTAAATTATGTTGTTTAACAGAATATTTCACTCCAATAGAGACTTCATCATATACCAGTGAAGGGCTTCAAATTTTGACCTTTACTCTGCACTTTCGGCCATTGAGCAGTGAGGGATCGTACCAACGTACATGTAAGGATAAATAGACAAACGTTTTTATTGCTAATGCTATAGTGTAGGTATCGTCTAGAAAACACATGGCATACTGCATTTGCATCTTTTTGAACAAAGCTCATTAGCCATATGATGAATTTTCATACATTTTACGGATGAATTCATTCAATTCAATCTGCACAACACATACTTATTCTTACAATCTAAAGCACGTGAATTGAATTCTTCAAACTACCGCTTATCACCGTATGATTTAGTGTATTAACCTATTCGAGATCAGGAAACCCCGCTCAAAGATTTCGTCTTATCATAAACCACACACCGATTTGACGACTTTTCAATTTCAACCAATTACACTGGCATTTACGTATTATTAAGGAGGCTTTTTTGTAGATTATATTTGATTTAACAGCCTCAAAGACACGGCAATATTCTATTTTGATATCTTAATCAATCGAAAACTTAAATATGCAGAGGGAAGTAAAAGATAATGGAAGATGCTGAAGAAATATATATAAAATGGTTCGATATAGTTCAAACTAATACAAAATCCACAAGTAGAAAAATACAAGCGAGTCCATAACAAGCTTTAATCTAACTTTTCTAAGAATTGCTATGGCTGTCTGTTAAAATACTGATGTATGAATGATTTATCCACAAAACAGTTACTATTAGAGCCAAATTATGTGGTTGTTAGACTTAAAATTTTGTTTCTAAACCTTCTTAGAAAAAAGTTCTTCCCTTTAAAATCTTTTAAATCTATGAATCAATTGTTTAAAAAACGGATATAAACAGTAAAATCAAAAATAAAGGTTTCTGATCAAGACCTACTCGTAATACAGTCTTTACAACATCAGCTAGTGATGGGTTTATTTGTACTAATAGTTAGTTGTAAAACTGGCATTGAGTGGTCTCTTAAATAACATTTCACAAGAGAGGAGAGGATTAATATTTTATAGTGCTAGTTGTTCAAGTGATATTTTTTTTATTACAAAATCATTTCGAGCATTATAAATACCATGATCTATTTTTGTATGAGCTGTACAAAGCTCATTTGACAAGCTTCATGAATATCATCTTAATTTGTTTTGTTTTATTTGACACTGGTGTACACTTCTCTAAATAGCAGTTTTTTAAACTTCCAGTGAATGAAAATAAAGCTAGAGTGAAATAGCAAAAGATTGTCATTTTATGAAAAAGGAAAATAGTATGGAATATTTGAATTGACTGATCCTTAAATGTGTTTTGAATCACATTCAATATGTTATTTCATTACAAAATGTGATATACTCAAAATTTACAAAATTTTCATCCTGAAAAGTGATGTTTCCCTTATACCAGTAAATTGAGTTTTATTACATGTTAGTTCTAAATCTTCGAATCATTCAAGGTGGTTAAGTGCGAAACTGAATTTCGAATTCCAACGATCTGACTATATTATTATCAATATCTTACATTTATAGATCCTGACACATCAAACTCTATTAAAATCTTATTTATAGCTGTTTGTTCCAGATATTGTGGTTACCTTTGCTACCATCCTTACAAAAATAATACAGATTTTATCAGTCTAGATTTTACAGTTTTAAAAATATAGAAAGGAAGATTTTTATAATAACATCAAGAGAATGGAAGCTTATCGGTTTTCAAAGATCTTTAAATTGCTGAATTGATTTTTGGCTATTAGTTCAAGCCTGTGTTGTGCTTTACAACCAAAAAAATATTTATATCGCTATGCATTTTGTTTATTATTATAATGGAAACAAAAATGCAATTTGATATTTTTGTTGAATTAAAAAAAACATTGATTGGGGACATATACAGTAAACCTCGTTTAGTACGAACACGGATATTGCTAATTCACGGATATAGCGAATTCATCTTGGATCCCCAGATATATAAATTGAATGAATTTCTTTTACGGTTATAACGAATTACGGTTATAGCGAAGTAATTTCATAGGTCCCAGCGACTTCGTCATAACCGAGTTTTACTGTACCCGCCTTTTTTGGAATTTCGAAATCTGTAAATAAGCATTCCTTGAGTGTTATTGCGAACTTATCCATTCAATGTGTAATATTTTTGTTTGGTAATATAAGATAAGTCTATGTCAATATTTCAATATATATGTACAAAACTGCTAATATTCTGGTAGAATTTTACATTCTCTACCCCAGCATTTAATCAAAATATTATGACCTCTTGTACTTTTTCAATGTCACTAAATCCACAATACGACAATTAAGAATTGATACTTTAACTGATATTTTAGTGATTAGAAATATAAATGGTAAATTTGTTTTCCTAAAAAGTATATCATTATATTACATGCTATATTCTGATAATATTAAAGATTAAAATGAACAATGGCATACAAATTGACCTGCAATTTTGTTCATAATTACATATGAAAATGTATTACTTGTATTTTTATTTCTGAATCATATATATGCATATTTATTTAAACAGGTACTTGTTCTTTAATGTTTGCAGCTTTAGAACATAAAGATAAGTAAAGATACGCACTTTTCAAACAATGTGACTGTCGTAAAAATATAATAGTACTCACCTTTCTAGCGCCACGACTGTTAGTGTCATTATGCTGGCTACCACATTCATACTGGTGGCGAAGGATATCGTTTTACATAGAACTTCTCCAAATGTCCATATCGAATTAAAATTATACAGTAAATTAACTGGTATGTTAAACCCAGCAATAAGAATGTCACTAATGGCAAGACTGATGAAAAACATGTTTGTAACGTTCCGAAGCGACTTGTTTCCAAGAATGACGACAATGACCAAAGTGTTTCCGGACAATGCAAAAACCATAATTGTGGCATACAATACTGTGAAGATGGTTTGGAGATGATATGGTAAAGGCATAGGTACAAAGTGGTCGGGATTTGGAGTGATGAAATCATAGTAAGGTGGAAACGGGTAGTTGCTGTAGTAGTCCGTTGTGTTATTCATCTTTGCGAATCCAAAGAATTTTTCCAAACAGAACCGGAAGATGTCTGGTGTAGAGGGTTCGCTCTTCAAGAGTCGTCTGGCAAAATTATGCGATTTTTATAGAAAAAATAATACAGCAGATGTATATTATCTGGTCTCATCTAAATTATTGGTAGAGGAGTAACCGAGCTGTTTATATATGAAACTTACTCACAGACTCTATCTTGGGTTACTTGCCAGTCCGATAACCACTGATATCACCAGTCGTTAAAATCCTCCTATCACACAGGCTAAAAAACTCAAGCAGTGTCGTGCAAGAATTCCTTATTAAAGATACTAGTCATTTTCAAATTTGAAAAGAAAAAGATGAGGCTCTCAATGAGTTTTGACATGAGATTAACACAAATCACGCGACAAAAACAGAACGGTGCGAGATAACGGTTGGGTAAATACCGTTAATAAGCTGCTTTCCGCAAACTATCTCATAGTGATGTCAGATTAAAGGGGTCGTGCGGATTGTTTAAACTTAATTAGGAAAGCTGTTTGGTTTAAATATCGGACCGTTTTTCGAAACAAAAAAGATATTGTACAAATGTGAACAAGATTTATTTAACAAACTATTGATATAAAGTAAAAGGATTTTATTTTATTATTTGAAATTTAAACATCTATGTTACTGAGGGATTTTTAAAACGCTCGCAAAATTTTATCATTTATATATTATTTTCTTCATTAAATGTTTAGCTGCATCAAAAAAGTTTTACAAAGTACTGGAAGAGGTATACTCGGACTAGATCCTATATGACCGCAAAACAAGTGTAGCGTTATGTTTTTAAAATATGTCTTTGGTTATGGTCAGTTCTGCAGCTAGCAATTTTAATACTCACAATAAAGAAAAAAAAGAACAAAATACAATCATTATCTTCGTGACTTTTTTTTTTTTTTTTTTACATTTTATAATTCTCCTAGAATATGTAGAAAAATGCAAATGAAAATAAAAAGAATTCATAAATAAAATTGAAGATAAAAGTTTATGAATAAAATTTGAGTGAAAATAAGTGCTCCTAAAAATCTTTCTACAAAGAAAAAACTATATATGACTTATTTACTTTAAACGAGGAAATGGAAAACAAGCTCTTTTTAGGTGAAGTTATTATTGATGTGAATTTATGAGAAGGTACATGACATTACAGAATCAATTAGAAAAAGGAAATGAAGGGTGGGATTATAAACAATAAACACAACAGAGAAGTTCATCGATATTTTAACATTTTGTTGATTAAAATAACGTGATTAAGAATTTATCAGACATTCTCAGGACATTGGGAGGGATCTTTGAGGAAGTAATTTCTTTGCAGATGTTTCTGTGTTAACACCCTTGACTACTGTACAATGGCCCGCTTCGATCATAGTTACAAATCGTCTGTCCACACTTAATTATTAGCAATGAAACAAATTGTTTTGCGAAGGGCAGATGCAAGTGGAGAGGCAAACACACAGGTGTTTGCTTCTTATTATCAAAATCTTAAAAAGTTTATAACGCACCAGAAAAAAAAGTGCTTTAATATTCTAGGGTTTGAATTAAGTCGTCTATGTTTTCAGTATATATATGTTTTTGCTTGTGACTTAGTGATAAAAAAGCTTAAATATGATTATATTTTTTTTATATGGATAATTAAAAATCATATATTACAAAGCATTCTAGGATCTGTTGATGAATAATGGTCTAAATCCTATAACATTATTTAAATTTTTTCTACTGTAAGACTACTTCGCTATTCTCAATACTGAAGAGTAAAGTTGCATCATCCAAAAAGAAACTATTGCATCATATATGTTTTCTCCCTATCAGCATAACCTCATTAACGTCTTTGGATCCCTGCTCACATTCTTCTTTGGAATGAATTCAACATGCGGAGATCAACAACGAGCGGATTACAACCAAATGGTTTAATGGAGCAATGATTTGGATTGTGATTAAACCAAACCCAACAATTTATAAAAATTCAGATTTAAAAAGAAACCGCAGTAACGAAAAACCTTATCTTTCATCATATTTTATGGATTACACTATGAATACTCTTATTGTAAAGATTCTGGGCTAATAAGTTTAAGTTAAAGAAAATTTTATGTTACTAAATAATTTCTTTCCTTTAGATTTTTCTCTTTGAAAAGAAGGAATTTGCTGCATCAAAATTAATACATGAAGTAATTTCTCATTATAGTATCGCACTTAGCTTAATTCTCAATGAGATTTTTACCTATTTCGAATTTAAAAAATATATAAATTCTTTATTTTATGAATTACTATCAAACCTACATGTAGTCGCCAAGTTTTTATATTGAATTATTTGTTATCAAGAATTATAAATCAAACAAGAAATTGTAAATACCAAACTTTGTTAATTATTATTTGTACCTTTATGATATCAAATTATAAATATATGAATCTATTTTGGTTAATATACTTTTGAGAAAAAATCATGAAAATATGAGCATCTTGTTTGAAAAAAAGACGAACATTTGTCAAAAAACCTTCCTTTACAGAAGAGTAATAAGAGAATTATCCTTATTAATTAAAATACATGAACGGATTGACAGAAATCAGTTCTCTTTACCACTGTTAATTGACCGATAGGTGAATTCCTTTCTTGTTGCGAAACGATTGGATCTTATCAAAAACATCTCCACATTATTAGCTTTATCTTGCGCTCGAACCCGATCGTAAAATTGTTCACAGTTATATTGTCTTAAATGATTGATGCCTATTCTGTGATTTGTATCATAACCATTAAGATCCTCCTTAAAGTTGCGAATTCAAATGTTTTGTTGATTCTGTTTTGTTGTAAATCAAAAAACATAAGGGAATTAAATTTCTAGAATTAGAATTTTCTCTTAACTGTTATGATAAGATGATGAAAAAGCAACAAGCTTGCACAAAAATTCGACAGCATACTTTTATTCTTTATGTTCGACTTGAGGCATTGTTACTTAAAGCACATGGCCGTATAGCATGTGGATGATCAACTCTGAATAAAATAAGACAATCACATGGTAACCTTTATTTATCAACTCCTCTTTTTTTCTTTCGCTCTTCAAACTTTTAACTTTGTTTTTAACATTCTTGAAAGCAGTAGCCGGACTAACAAAAGAGATTCAACAATAATCTCAGAAGTAAAACTACGTTAATTGGTGCTCTTCATACCGAAGAAAGAATTTATTTCTGCGGTTGTTAGAAGTGCACTAGATATTTTCTTGATGATTGTTTATATGTTAGACACATGTTTTCTTTTCTCTCAAAGAATATTTACATGTACATGAATTGAGATTTGTGAATGAAATTGTATATATCGATTCAAGGAATGCTCGTAAGACATTGTTATTCCAAGGCCGTATAGTATCTTATTACAAATTGCGCTCCGTTATTAGCAGACTTATTTTTATATTCATATGAAGCAGAATTTACGCAAAATCTTATGCGTGAAAAGAAGAAAACACTTGCTGTGGCCTTCAACTCGACATTTAGATATATCGACGACGTATTGTCAATTAATAATGATAATTTCCATTCCTACGTCGACAGCTCCTGGTGAGCTTGAGATAAAAGATACCACAGAGTCCGACACTTCTGCTTCATACTTGGATATTTTACTTGAAAAAGACACTAATGGTAATCTAACAACCAAGCTATATGATAAACGTGATGACTTTAATTTTTCAAACTTCCCTTACTTATGCAGCAATATACCTTCATCACCTGCATACGGAGTATATATACAGTATATATCTCAGTTGATTCGATACGCAAGAGCATGCTCTACGTATGAACAATTTCTTAAACGAGGTAAATTATTGACAAGCAAGTTGATGAAACAAGAATATCAACAGTCTCGTTTAAAGTCATCATTTCGTAAATTCTATGGTCGATACAATTTATCATTGAGTCAAATGCTGACTGATGTTTTTCATACCAATTGTTAGTCCATTATTTATACACTGAATTGACGACGGATTTTTTCCGTTATTTCATGATCATGACAACGAGCACACGGCGGGTGTGACCGGTCGGCAGGGGATGCTCACTCCTCCATGACACCTGATCCCACCGCTGATGTTTCGGAGTCCGTGTTTGCTCTGCTCTTATTTTGTATATTGTTTAATGGACGTTGAGATTGAATACTGTTCGTTATTTCCATATCCTTCTTTCAGGATGTGATGATAATCTCTTTAATGCTGACTCCAAAGCTAGAACGTGAATAACACTGTACAGTATACATGAAAAGGAAGAAATTAAACCACTTTAATCTTTTTTTTCAAATCACATGTAAGCTCACACTTTTTTGAGTCACTTTAAAGTACTCAGTGTAGATGGCTTAAATAGGCTATGCCTGATGTCCAGTCCACTTATGTATTTATTACATAATAAAATATGTTCTAGTAAAAAAATACTCAACAAAATGTACACATTTTTCAAAATGAATGTTTGTGAAAAAGCAAATCATTAAATATATATTTGTATCAAGAAAAAAAACGTTCAGGGTATGGTTTTATGCAAATAAAATCTTGACATTAATTGCAACAATTATTTTTTCAATTTTGTATTTTGAGTTTCTACAACTTTTTTTTTTTTTTTTCAAATCATTTATTCAATAATGTACAACTTAACAGTGAGGCAAAACTTCCGCAGAAGCCCTCTGGTAATACTTCACCAGGGATGCCAGGAGCTCCCTGGATCGATATAATATTATATAATATATTTCCAATATTTGAACACAGAATTTTTCACATTATACTTATATATAATTATTGACGCTTCATTTTCATACATATACATAAATATCTCAAAGGAATTTTTTACCATTTTTATGTATAAAAACAAAGTATTCGTTTAACACCAATAGAAGCATGACCTTTGTTGCAGTGGAGATTGTGTGAAAAAAAAAGAATAAAGTCTATATCAATCTCACTGTAACTAGTATTTAGGGCCAGGTCACCCTAAAATACTGGTCTTTTTTATGTTTTACATCTTAAAAACCGGATCAATATGCAGAGTTTTGTGATAATAAAATTAGACTATAAAAAACACATCAGAATGAATGAATTTTACAAAGACATGAATATTTTTCCCTCACATACATAGTTTGAATCATATTTTAAACATAAAGTTTCCAGTTACATGAAAAATAACATAGCAAAAAAACTAGTGTGTCTTATAGTGGATTTAAAATGTGAATACATGTATATATAGTTTATCACGGCAGCATATACTACCAATACTATAACTAATATTAGAATC